TAAAAAATGGACTTACACAGATAACTTAGAATTTAACACAAGTACACAAATTTCTCGATATTTCTGCATAAGCTTACAATTGTTAACGTCGTTGAATAATAGCGTAGTAAATATGATATTCATTAATACATACACAGCAATTCTTTACGTGAAGCATTACTTGTTCTTAACATATTCCAACACAATGTAATTGTTATCCTCAGCATTCATGACTAATCCATGATAAGTATATAAATAAAACTTTAAAAAAATAAAAAAACCGACTTCCAGGCACTAAAATGTAAAAAATAACTAAACGGAGGTTTTCATTTAGAATAGATACCTAATCAGATATATTCGAAGTCGGTGCCAGCCGATTCAAAGCAAATCTAATATACAAATATATATATTGTTGATTTTTTTAAAAACCGCTCGACCGATTTCGATTAAAATTTATATGGGACCACCTGGGAAGGGTGTACCCTTTGAAACAAAAGAAAATTTTCCAAATCGGTTCAGGCGTCTACGAGTAATCGGTGAACATACATAAAAAAAAGAAAAAAATAATAATCTAAGCTCCTCCTTTTTGTAAGTCGGATTCACCCCTAGGTTGATTCCTCATACAACATTTCATCCCCATTTTCACCTCCTTGAGAGATGATTTCAGGGACACAAACTATTCTGTATCCTTCCCAGGGTCTCAAACTATCTTCTTACGAAATTTCATCTAAATCGGTCCTTTTACTTACTACTACTACTTTTTATCCGGAAATCATCCCTTAAAGGGATGAAAATTGGGATGAAAATTTGTATGAGGAAACAAGCTATCGACGAATGAGTCGCTAGTAATACAATAATAAGAAATAATAAAAATAAATGTTTGTGTGTATGTCCTCAGTGCGTTCTTAATCCATGGATGCGATTGTAATGAATCTCTGAGGGTTATTCTGTATACGCCTGCGAAGGTTCCTGGTGCCTTTTTCTTTGAACATCTTTTATGTTTTAACAAAACATTCAAGCTTAGGGACGCAGCCGTGCAAAGCGAGGGTAAGCGATAGTCTATACAGATAAATAAAATTGTTTTGTAATGTCAAAATAACAAACAGATTTTTAATACATGCTTATGATAATTCTCTAATAAAAAGAAAGACACAACTTTTAACATTTTTGTCTGTCTGTCTGTTCCGGCTAATCTCCGAAGCGGCTGGACCGATTTTAGCTTAGGTACCTAGGCTCTTTTATTTTAGAAAAAGAATTAGGGTTCCGCTCAAAAAAATTAAAACGTCATCAGGAACACACCCGATCGAAGGGAGGTAAGTCGCTAGTCTATACTAATATTATAAAACGGTAAGGTTTGTGAGTTTGTGACGTTGTAGGGGGTAATCTCTGGAACTACTGAACAGATTTAGATGAAATTTGGTAAGAAGATAGTTTGAGACCCTGGGAAGGACATAGAATACTTTTAATTCCGGAAATAATCCGTTAAGTGGGTGAAAATGGGGATGAAAGTTTGTATGGGAAATCAAGCTCGAGACGAACCCCAGCGAAGCGAGGGTGAGTCGCTAGTAACAAATAAACATAAGAATTTTTGTACACTCAGTAATAAAATATCGCTGTAAAATAGATAGCCTCTAGGCTATATGCATAATATAAAAAGTGTGTGGTCTTCAACCATCCGCGTTCTAGCTATTAGCATAATAACTAAAATGTGCAACATTGCCAACTGGCTGGGCGAGGGTTAACATTTATAGCCATTTATTACTATTACATAATCATAGTAAAGTAGACTCGTAGTAAATTACGCAAGCCGCACGCGAGATTTCATTTAAATTGTAAATAGCTGTACAAATGTGTTACAATGTTAATCGCTTGTTTTTTTAACTTGGTTGATGGAATATCATGTTGATTATGTTTACAAAACAAAAGAAGCAATATTTATGAAATAAAACATTTTTTAAAGTGTAATGAATAATAATATAATACATTATTTTTAGGTATATTTATTTTAACACACACTTTACAATATATTATCTCGTTTTCTAAAATTAGTTTCTTAAATTTTGATCTGTTTCAATTGTCATGGTTCAGTCAGAAATCTTGACAATGCTTTAAAAAAAAGTATTTTTTTAATTTAAATTAAATGAGTTAAATTAAAAATTAATATTAGGACAATCTCAAAACAAGCTCTAAAGAGAACGGAAGCGGGCATTACGTCAAAAATGTTTTCATTGCAAATATTTGCATTGCTAATTAACAACTTCATCAAAGAGATTATTGATTATATAAAAAAAATGATAATTTTATGTTTAATCCCTCCACGACCGCGGACACGCCGGCGTTACAGTTAACAATAGATTTCTTAGAAATTTAATTAATTTCTTAGAAAATTACCTGGAGGTGTTAAAGTAATTAAACTATAAATTTTATATATTTGTTTAGGTAAGATTGAATAAATTTATACTTGATTTATAGAGCCATAGTGCACGATGCGGTACACAACTGTACGGTAGAGCCTATATTATACATACTTCCACATAAAAAAAAATACGGTTACGGTTAGCAATACAAGTAAATAACATAGCTCAAGACACGTAATATTTAATTGCCTTATTAAAATGACTAGAATTACCTAACGCAACCTCATAAAGAACTTTTAATATATGTAGATCTCATAGTAATTTATAGAGACTCATTGAAATTCAAATAATTTAAATGAATCTTGTTATATTGTTGTATGAATTGTACTACTACATCATTTACTTTTCTTATTTATCCATACTAATATTATAAACTTAAAAGTCACTCTGTCTGTCTATTACAGATTATGGTGTTTGACAAGGGTATGATTGCATTCTGGGGACGTACATACATAGGCTACCGTTACCCCACGAGTGAAGTTGCAGGCAAAAAATAGTTATACATAATTTTCCAATTAAAATATCTTAGTTTTCTTTTTCATTTGAATTTTTGCCTAACTTTTGACTTTTTCGTAATCTTAAGTTAGTAGTCTTAATAAAAAAATATTATCGTCACCACTGATTTGAAAATTGTCGCATAATATATCTCACATACCTATTGATTCACACTAGGTTATAAAAATGTACAAGAAAAAAAATGTTTTATTTTTCATATTTATGTAGGTGATAGCTACAATTATTTGAGTTATTTCATTTAAAAACCCCTTTGCAGAAATCCTTTCAAAATCCAATTTCTCTTTTAAGCCTGCCAAAAATGTACTCGGAAGTGGCAACTTCGTATGCGCCACATTTCCCCACAAGTACTGACGCAATAGGAACAATGCAAGATAAATGCTTTACCATTTGTTACGTCTGACGTTGCTTAAGGATTTCGTTTATGAATCACAGACCTTATACTACAATTTGCTGGCATGATTTCTGCGCAAGAGTCGTGTTCGGACGGAATTATAAAATGGCGTTATCGCCTTATGTAAGCTGCTCAGCTCTGTAGAAGGTTGCTTAACGCGACCCACGCTGAATTTAATACATTTAAATCTAGTCAACAATAAGCCTTTTACCTAGGGAGCTTAGAATTAAAATTGACTGTAATTCTTTATTCCTAACATAATTTAGTTCAATTTTGAGGAAACAACGTGCCACATTGACTGACGGGTAAATGAACAGGTAGTTGAGGTTTATCAAGTACACCAGGTTTTACGAGAGCTAGTTGGTAGATTTATTAACTTTGCCGTTTCAAATATGCTTATGTGGCGACATTTTCACGATTTAGTGGTTTTTGAAATATAGGTTGGTATCTACTCAATATATTACACTGTTTTCTAAAATTATCTGCCTTCACTTAGATGCCTCGATTAGAAAAGAAATGGTCAAATGCTAGTGGAACTCGCGCGAAGTAGAGAGAGTACGGCGGCGTTTGTATGTTTTATGTTAAATATAATAGAAAATTCAAAATAATAGTGTTACAAACGGTCGAAACGGATATATAGGCATGCAAGTTCCCTTTTTCTTTTAAAGAATGGAATACTTATTATGTTATATTTGAGTGCGAATTAAAATAAAACCTTATGAAAACTACAAAACTCTCTCTACATTACTTACCTGCTAAAACTCTCTATATTACTTACCTGCTAAAAGTCGCTCACGTATGTACAATAAATATGATTTCTTGCATATATTTTTCTAGTTATTATCAATCATATAAGTCATTAAAATAAAAACTTGATGTTATTCATACGTTTATAACATTTTTAAAACTTACTTAACGGGATATTGGATAATGGATTATATTATTATAATATATTGGATGGAGGATATTTTGACTGCAGGATGTTTATTTAATTTTACTCTTTCCATTTATAAATTGAATGTAGATTAAGTTAAAAGTTAAGAAATAAGAACCCCCTAATAATTATTAATTTTGACTTGTGAAATGTGACATTGAATATTGCTTTGAATTTCGCGCGAAAATAGTTTGTTCCGTTACAAGATATTTTGTAAAAATAATGCGTAACTTTAAATATGCGACTGTCTATTAAATAGCATAATAATTATCTATCATGCCTGTCTATAAAGATAATCATCGATTTTATTTATTTAAGTCACACTTTTCATTTATTTTATTACCTAAGTTTACGTTCCGTTTTATAATGCTGTTCTATATTATGTACTTATTATTTTACTGTGTTTTGTGCTGCCATCTTACAAAATTTACTTCAAAATTGTAAAATGATTCATGTATTTTAACTATGTAAAATTAAAAATAGTTATAGAGGCCTAATTTAAGTAGTACTCATAATTGATGAATTTTGTTGTACCTAGTTTTTTTTGTCTTAATTTATAAAAATATACTCTCGTTTCGAAGTTGTTGAAGGGCATTTGCTTAAACAACAGGTAAAATGCCAAGCCGTTGACTAATGCTGTCAACACTAAAGAACAGTCATCATTATGTCATTTACATATTATTTTGGTTGACACTTGACCGTTTATTATTTAATTAATATTTAATAAGTAGATTTTAAGAAGTCCGCAAAATTTTATTGAGTTATGGATCCGAATAAAATTAAAAATGCATCAGAGGGTATTGCTGTAAGTCGTAGAATAATGAATAATTATTGATGTTTAATACTTTTTTTAAAAATAAAATTCCGTTTTAAAATACAGCCTCTTCTGCAATTTTTAATAGAGGTCACAACAAGTTAGTCACTCAAATTTGAATATTTAATACTTTAAGTATTTAACATTTTCTGTTTATAAATCAACTAACAATTATTGTTACTACAATTATATTTTTTTAATAATGTCTTTTTTTTCTTTTTAGCCAATGGGTATAACAGCCTTAAATGAAACAGTACTTAGCAATCAACCAGAATCTCGATATGAATGTCCAGTATGTCTTAATTGGTTACGGGACCCTGTTATCACAACTTGTGGCCACAAATTCTGTAAGAGTTGTATCACTTCTTGGTTACAGTAAGTAATAGCTTATAAACTATCTTATAGGAACAATAACCTTCTAAATAAAAATCTTGTTTTATTAGTAAAGCAATATTTCTAAACACAAAACACCAAATTAAAGTAAAACCAAGGGTATCCTTCCATTATTACACACAGCTGATTCTTTTACCACTCCTCTTATATTTCACCAACTTTAGAAAAAGTAGAAAATACTCAATTCCAGTGTTGTGTTTCCAGTTGTGTGGTTATTGTAAGAGAGTATGTTCCTTAGTTGTGAATTCATTTTTGTAATTATTTTTTTAATCAATAGATTTTACCTCAAGGGTGTCAGGGGGTCCTATGCATGGAATAATAAGAAGAAATAAATATAGTGTGGTAAATATTTTTTTACAGGAATAGTGGCCATTGTCCGATAGATAACATAAACCTTAGTATGAAAGTAGATATCTTTCCAGATAACTATACTAAAAGAGAAATACAGGAACAAAGAATGTCTTGTCCATTTGCATCTAAAGGTAAATATATTTTTTCATATATTGAGTAAGGAATAATTTAAAAATTATTAATATTTTTAAAATAAAAAAATACACTTAATCTATTTGACTTAATAAAACTTAGTTTGACTTACTAATGAACTCACATGGTATTATTATGTAAAACCACTTGTTATACTACTAATATGATACATAAAAAAGTTTGTGAGGATGGACAAATGTTTGTTTTTTACTCTTTAAGACCAGAATGGCTGAACAGATCTGGATGAAATTTGGCAACGGTAGATTATTAGTCTAGAATAGCACTTAGGTTACTTTTATCCTGAAAAAATGTATGGTTCCCTTGGGATAGATTTCTTTTTGTCTAGGGACAAACCCGAAGGAAAGCGAGGGTGAGTCACTAATACTAGTACTCGTAGTAGTAGTAGTGTTGTGTATATATATGTACAACATTTAGCAATCGTCTTTCCATCTAAGTGACAGTAAAGTAAAGAGTGCACTTTAAGTTTCATACACAAATAAATGGGTGTAATAATATCTCCTGCGGGATTGGCTAGTGTTCATAAGCCTGTATGTATGTATTCAGCCCTTCTTAATGTCCCACTGCTGAGCACGGGCCTCCCTTCAATATGAGGGGGATCAGGCCATAGTCCACCACGCTGGCCAAGTGCGGGTTGGCAGACTTCACATGTCTTTCGAAAACTTGCTAGGTTCTCTCAGACATGCAGGTTTCCTCATGATGTTTTCCTTCACCGTAAGGCAAGTGGTAATCATGTTGAAAATGATTCGCACATGAAAATATCAGAGGTGCGAGACCCGCGATTTGAACCCGCCATGAGCCTGAACCATGTATAAAATATATATAATTAAAATGAAAAAACATATTTTTAGGTTGTGCAGTAAAAGTAACTCCATTAGACCTAGATTCACATATATCTATTTGTGAATACAATCAGCCTGAAATGTCTTCTCAATCAGAAGTGAAAGTTCCATGCTCATTCCAAGCAGTTGGATGTAAAGAGACATTTAACAGCCAAGAAGAAATGAATACTCATCTTCATAATGATATTCAAAATCATATGAGTGTAAGTGTAAAAAGTTTTAAAATATTGTATTCCATTACCAATAAATATTTATTTAAGTAAAATTAAACAACTCAAAATTTTTTTTCATTGAAAAACAAATGAATGATTTTTTTTTGTAAGGATTAATCATAATCTTATCAAAGAAAAGAATGATAAGTTGACATACAATTTCAGTTTTTAATGAATGCTTACTCAAAAATCCAAATAGATAATGATATATCAAACGCAAGTATAGATGCAAAAGAACAAGAAGCCATGAGCCTGTGGGAGGCACCCAACAAAGATGGCACTCAAACATCCACTCCACCTTTAAATAATACCAGTGCCCTTATAAGGTAATTATACTATTTGCTATAATATATAAGTATCACACTAATATTGTAAATGTGAAAAGTGATTGAGGTAGTGATTATTACTTTTGCACACTGCCTCAAGCAAAGCCGTGGAAAGAAACTACCTAGTAACTTTTATAAACTATGAACATCCTCCAGCTTTCTCTCTAGCTAAAAATTTACAGCACATGGCTTTCCATAGCATACTTAAATACCTCACTGGAATCATTTGATGTCCCAGGCAGCCTAAAAGCAGCCTATGCCAATCAAAATAACATCGGTTTTTGATGTATGTCTTGAAAGGATAACAAATTGATGAACATTTGCATTTATAATAAGTTCAAATTAATGTTGATAGATGGTGATATGTATGTTTATGGATTTACTTATAAATGGCATAAGATTAAATCAAATTTTACAGTTTTGCTGATGATTTCAAAATCATCAAATACATTTATGCTATGTATCCATAGATGGTACTGTTTAACTTTTGCCAGTTCTTTCAATGTTATAAATAATTATGTGTAAATTGTTTTTACTTTTACATTTCCCTACATTTTACCAATTTTAGTACTAACATTTTCATAAAATATGTTCGGTAACTTCCGACTAAGCGCCATCTATTGTCTATTCAAGCAAAACAAAATACAAAAACATTTCTACTACACAATATGTTCTTAATTTGAAGAACATTAACACTATTATTTGTAGTTTTACGAAGTTATATAATAGCTTGAATTAGGTGGTTTAATTTCTTAGTATGGAACTGATAGCTTTACTAGTATAATATTGTTATCTGTGTTTTTGCAGAGCTTTATATGAACGGGTAGTAGTACTAGAACAAAGAAATCGGGAACAAGATATAGTGATAGCAAACATGTCTAAACAGCTCTCTGCCTTTGCTGTAGCTAAAATGAAACAAAATAATGATATGCTTCTACGATATTGCATGGGAAATTATATATGGAAGATAGATAACTTCAAGGCGAGATGCGACGCCATGTTGAAAGATAATTTTAAAATGTTGTACAGCCCTGGCTTCTATACTTCGCCGAATGGATACAGGTAATTTACTATTTGAATTAAGTCGATTTTAAATTTTAACTGTCGTGTCATTTAATCCTTCGAATCCACATAAAATATAGATAATAATACAATATTTTTATAAATTGATGCCATTACTCTGATAAATATAGCCCGGATGCTATTAGTAAAAGCTTCAAAGCGTTCATTTGATCCATCATATAATATATTTTTATAAATGATGTATGTGATTTTGATTATTTTTTAAAATATCTTAAAGACACTAACTGATTAATGATAGTAACTGATTAATGATAGAATAGTATTAATATTAATTTTATATAAAGACAAAAAAATGCATTATATGTAACATTAGGCTACATAGGTCCTCTGAAATAATAAATAATACTGCAATAGTGGAATTTATCTATTACCTGCAATTGTCTTTTATGTGGTCCACAACCACTAAAATATAACAATCAATTTTCAGATTCTGCGTGCGTCTCAACATATCCCCACAAAACCCGCGATGCTTCGCTCTCCACTTGCACCTGATGCAAACGGAGCACGACGGTTGTTTAGAATGGCCTTTCAATGGCCGCATCACCATCGTCATGGTGCACCCTCGAGACCTGGACCTCTCCCAGAGAGACACCATGATGTCTAACTCCACCCTCGTGGCCTTCAGACGACCCCTCTCAGAGATATGCCCTCGAGGGTTTGGGTACACGGAGTACGCGGTGGTTAAGGACGTGGTAGCTAACGGGTTTGTTCAAGACGATATGCTCATGATTAGGTTTTGTATCAAGTGTGTATGACGGTGTGAGTGACTTTTTTTAATCTCTTTAACTGACTACAATTGTTCGTCGAAATCCCTTAATTATATATTTAGTTTAGTTACATAAAAATGCTGTCATTCATTCGGTATTTTTATGTATATATAAAGGTGCACAAATTGTAAATGTGTTTTATTATTAATACAAGGAGGATATATTTTGTCTATATTGGTGCATTATTAAGAACAAAACAAATGTAATGATGTATGAATAAAATGTTATTTATGTATATAATATTTTGACAAAAGCACTAATGGAATTATTGATTTTTTTTTAGATATCATTATTATATATTAAAATAATCGATTCATTCTGATTCATTCGATCTGAAAAGAATAGCATATATGAAGTTTTTACAGAAGAAACTATGATTATAAGCATCGATCAAAAATAATAGATACACAATCCCATACAAAAGATCTTTTAAAACTGTCACCAACTGTGTTTAGGTAATTCTAGTCGAAATAAATATACAACAATGTAAATTCAACCTTAAATGCAATGCTTAAAATTGTTTACACATGCTATGTTTAAAAAAGTAATTTTTTTTTTACGACTGACCGCTAGAACAAGCAAATGGTGGAGTCAACTTAATTAATATTTTTTTGTTTATACTGTAATTATAAATCGTCATTTTATTTTAATTTTGTTAAGTTTAATGTTTAAATATGATGTATTATATGTGAGGTGTATAAAAAAATTATTATTATAATATATTTTTTTTTAAATAATTATAGTAAATATTAAAAATATTTGATTCTACTCTATGATATACAAATGTAATATAATAAATGTCCTTTTTTAAGCATCCTAGACGTTGTGATTTTTGCAATTTTTAAACAACCAATGAGGTATTTTAGTTTACAGTCGGAGCGTTTGAATACTACTAAAATAAAAGCGCACCCAAATGATTCAAGTGGGTGCTAATTCGGTGAGGACGTTTTTTTGTTGCTGATTGTGTACGTAGTTCTTTTTGATCGATGAATATAAGCTAATAAGAAAAAAATAATTGTAAAATTAAAGGAATTAAACTATTTCTTTATCAAAATATCCCTTTTGTAGATGTTATACCATTTTTATATAAATATTAAATATTGATCTGATACAGTATTAAATATCTTGTATTTTCAATTAAATAAGATTATATGAATAATGTAATAAGTATTGTTATGTAACAGAATCCGTCCCTTAAGATTTAACTTGTAAGACTTTTTCAAGAGTTATATTTGAAATACTTTGTTGTGATCATATTCTTATATGCTACATTCCGTTTTGTTTATGTTACTAAGGTCATTGTAATATTGTTATATTTCTATTGAAATAAATTATATTATTTTTGAAATAATTGTTTTTTATTTATTTATATCTTTTTTAATAGTCCGGGATTCCGGGTCCATTTTGATCGGTTTTTAATCTCAGAGACTAAATTGACACATGCAAATGTCAAATTTACAAATAATGCTGCCAGCTATTTTATGCAGGCAGTGTTTTACCTACGATGTCGGTTTGTTGAATCGTAACTTATTATCTTTATTAGACGATTTGGTTCAAAGTTGTATATTACAAAGTGTATCATTAAAATTCTCATTTTTATTGTAAATTATTAAATATCACATTTAATTTTAAATATCATTAAAATCCAAATTTGCATTATTACGTTGTAAATAAGTACCTACACATTATTTCAGGCTAACTTATAAAAAAACGATACTTGATTTTATAAATGTTAATTTTCGATAGTGGCACATCACTATTTAAGAATTGCAAAAAACTGGCAACCCACGTAATGTCAGTTTTGTTTCTGAGAATAAAAAAAAGACTATACTATCTAGCTAATTTTCCGTGAGTAGCTTCTTTTGATGAGAAGCCCAACTTTTTCTCTTACAAAATTCTCGATTGTGGTAGCTAACAGGGGTAGCAGGGATAAAATATGTCGATTTGACGATTCTCAAAAATTTATTACTAACTGTGGGGTTTTCTATTAAATCTTAAGATAATAATTAGCAATATTCAAAAAAATATTTGTTCTACAAAATGTATGGTTTGTTCAAACAGTCCCCTCCTTCCAGCATGTATCGATAACGAGGCCATCAAAAATGATAACTACCCAGCTGATTTTTTACTGTTGCTTAAATAATATTTATATTATTTAACAGCCACGTTGTCCTACAAATTGCGTGGTATGTTATCCCGGTCCTACATTTAGAAATTGTTAATACTACAAGACCATTTTTCATATTACTAACTGTAAGACTGGTATAGATGTATGTTACTCTTTCACGCAAAAAGAGCTGAACGGATTTTGATAAAAATATACAGTAATATAGAGTATACTTCAGAGTAACAAATGGGCTATAATTTATATAGCTATACATATTTAAAATACGCGGTCAGAGCCGCGAGAAAACACTGATCTTAAATATTACCCTAGGGCGTTTGTGTCACATTCGTAAAATACTAATGCGACGCGATGTTTTATCTTCTTATACCCTCATTATGCTACGTCACATTTTCTTAAACAAATATAACCTCACAAAAACTAGAACGGTCTCCCTTTATTTAGTTGATTAATTAATAAGCAATAAATTAAACTTATCGTAGCAAAAAAATATAAAAACATATCAAACTTAATTAAAGGTAACCAAAATGAAAGACAAAGTGTTTTATAATACACATATATTATGCAAGACTTACAAAACACCGTACTTAATAAAATATAGGAATATCGCTTAAATTTATATTAATTAATTATTATTAATTAATTAACGTCCAAGTCCATATCACATTCAACCATCACATTTTTTCTTCTAAAAATCATCATTTTTTTAAGTAGCAACACCAATTATTTGACACTTTTATACCATAAATATAAAATTTATTAGAACCGCAAAATTCAATGTCCTCAAACTGTTGATTCACAACCAAATAAATACAATTGTTCTTCCAAATCATTAATAACATCAAACAAAACTATTATATATTAAATTCAATCTTTAAATCATACATTTATGCAAAAAGAACTATGTTTTTATTAAATTGATTAATTTAATATAATTTATATTTAACATGGCCAAATATATTGCGCGTTACATTATTAAATGGCAACTTCGATTTAATGATATACTCATTGGTAACTGTATTCTAATAGAAAAAAAGAGCAACACAATATTTTCAAGAAATCTTACAATTAAAAATATTTAAAAAAGGAACTGAAATATAAATTTAAAAAAAATCATCAAAAAATTTGAATCCAATTTGGCGCAAAATTTGGGCATTATTTTCACATCGGTGGTCACAATTTACATATAAGTACAAAAATAGATTTTTTTTATAGAAAATCGCAATTTATTACACATTCTTGACAGTTACGACCCTAGCTTCGAATTAATCATAACATATTTGATATTGTAGCAAACTCTTAAAACTAAATGGAATACAGGAAGACTTAGGGGGGAGCAAATCATCTAACCGAAATGGACTAGCAAAATATAAAAAAAATAACACATCAAATCGGAATGTTGATAAACCAATAAAACAGAAAGTACACCATCAAACCAATAATCCAATATTGTAATGGACTTCTAAAATCTATTGCCTAAACATATCACAGTTACGGTAAAATAAAATGCGCGTTTTTCTAACATATATTTGAAAACTATATTTGATAACTTTCGAAACCATCTATATATTTACGTTATCATCACTTATGCCATTGTAAGGCAAAGCTTCATTAAGTAGAGTACTGGCTCACCTCAAGTTTAACCATAAAATGTTATGCACAATAAATGTCCGGCATCTAAGTTAAAAATCAAAGTGCCCGAGTATAAATCGCTAATCCATTTATAAATATAAAAAACTACCTTACAATGCATTACTGAACTATCAATATTAATATAAAATACTTATATGAAGCAAAATTTAAACAATTAGGACAAAAAGTACGAATATACTTATCGATTATAAAAAAGATTACAGAATGAATAAAAGATCTTATCTTACACTATATGACTATATTTAATTAAGATTCATAGATATTCCTCCTTGAATAATGACACCGAAGATGCAAAATCTAAAAAAGGGTCTCTTACAAAATAATAAGACCAGATAATGGCTTTTAAACGCTTTTACTTTTTAGAGTTGCATTCATTTCGATATAGAGCCCAATGTAAGACATAAGGCAAAAGTCATTTGTCTGACTGATTGTACAACATTGTACATGTAGTTATGCCAACAGCTATTGTCAACAGAAATTGATATTGAATATAAAAAGCATATGAAGTACCTTATTTTATTTACTCATTGTATAAAAAATATCACTTATTCATATTATCCCTTATACTAAATTTGTATCTGAATAAACATCTTAAATATTATTTCCAAATATTTTTGTAACATTTAGTATTTGTATAAATTTCGATATTTCCACCAAAGTATTCCATTTTCGTAACTAACATTAATTGTTTGTTTTATTTCAATTTTGAATTTTATTCGCAGACCTGTTTTAAAAAACCACATAACATACATAATCTTGTTTCCAGGCATCGATCAAAAAAGTTCTAGATACACAAACAGCGCCAATAAATCTCACCAAATGAGCGCTCATTTGAACATTAGAGCGATTTTTAATTTTGCTTTTTTTGTGAAAACAACTTTAAGCATTGCAATTAAGGTTCAATTTACATTATTATATATTTATTACAACTGGAATAATTACCTAAACACAATTGCTGACAGTTTTAAGAGAATTGTATCTAGTACTTTTTGATAGACACTTTCAGGCAACAAATCTTAGTTAGAACTGTTCCGTTAAATAAGAACCTTAATAATAAATAGTCGATTAAATAAATCGTAGACCTCGATATTATTTATTCCTATGATAAAACTACTGAGACCGATATGAAAGTTTGTGAACTCAACCCCGTTATAAGATATAACATTTTGCTGCCGCCGACGCAAGTTTGTCTTCTACACTGTACCGCCACACACCATTGACAACTTAAAACTATATTCCATTCCGACTAACACTTGGAACAAGTCACCAACTTCAATCTAATAACTCCAATAATCTACTTTTAACTAAACTCACCGTCTTCTAAATAAATTTGGCATTTCCAAAACCATTTTCTAAAGAGCACACATGTCCCATTTGGTGGCAGTATTCGAAACATGTTCAAACCCGATGTATCTGAGTTCCGAATAGGCAGCAAATGTTAACGAAAGATCAGAGGGAGCTGCTTGAGTCGCCTGGGAAGTGCATCATGTCGCCGCCGCAGCTCGGCGTGGGGGACGACGGCGGGTCCAGAGACGCGCGGGACGCAGAGCTGAAGCTACTCGAGCTTAGTTCTTCCTGTTCCGGCTCAAACCTACCTGATATACCTGGAATTGATAGATTGTAATTAGATATGTCATGGTTATATGATATATGAGAGATGTAATTAAGTTTATTTACGATGTAAATACGGTTGTAATTATTTTTTATTTCGCCCAATTTAAATTTTAAGAATAAAGGTGAAACCATATTAATGTAATGCGTATAAATATTAAACAAAAATAGGATTAAATTACTGGTTTCTTTACACTCCATTATTTTATTGGCAAAGTAAAAGTACTAAAAGTCTGTAACTGCTTTAAACTAAATATTTTTTATAATTTGTAAAATTTAGATTAAAATTACATATTATGAATTGGGTATAAATAAGTTAAGCACATATAGAGGTGATAAATAAAAAGTCTGTATGGTTGTTGAAATGTAATTTTAATTTTACTAATAATTTTAAACACTCCATATCATTATCAACATACTGTTAAGTGCTGCCAAATCTAAAATTTTACATGTAAATTTCGCCTACATCAGATTTTAATAATAAAATACAGGGGAATAAATAGATTAAAAACAATTTCGACTTAATTTGTATTGTAAAATTTCAAAAATAAATTTTCAATTTATTGGATAATAGTTGTCAAAAAGACTAATTCAATCTTAAGCTGCGATTTAAATGTTTTAATTTTTAAATTTTAATTTTAATTTACTGTTTGGACTGCTCTCCGATGGATCTATGTAGCTTTAGTGAATGACTGTGTTGTGATAAAAAATCACAATTCTCTAAAGTAACTACTTAATTCTTGCCACAAATAAATAGATAATTAGCTATTACAATACGTATATATAAAGTGTTGCCAAGTTTTATAAAATATTGTTTAAATGTATACTATTTCAATAAACATTTTACCATGTTTTATATTTCGAAATGAAAACCTGGCAATACTATTTGATTGTCACAATATGAATATTTATATTAAAATAATAAAATCTGATTCAATTATTTAAAATTATAATAAAATGAGCAGTTTTTGTTATAATGAAACATTAGTTATTATTGCAGTAGTTAAAAATGTACTACTTAATTCCTTGTGAGACCATTAGATTATCATAAAAGAATTTTAGAAGTTATACTTCTTTAGGAACGTTTGGAAAAAAATATGGGAGTAAAATTTTTACGATGCGCGCGCACACCGACAGCTAAAAAGCGACATGATGAAGTTAGCTGCATCCTTTTACAAACAGAGAGTTGTCACATACGGTATGAAATCTTTAGCTATTTTTTTTCTGTTACGCCAAAGAAGTATAACTTCTTACGTGCGTACAGAAGTACACACACATGTATTTTTTTTATAATTATTTACATATTAGAATACGATTTCATAATGAAATTATATTATATTTTAACTCGATATCCATACATGAGTCTCTACATACATCATATATATTTCTTTCGAAATACACAAAATGTCAATTACGCTAATATTTTTATGGTAAATAAATTATTATTGAATTATGTATAAAATTTGTTTTTTTTTTTAAATAACTAAAATATTGTCAAAAAATTATTTTTTCTATTAATTGTATACTGACCAATGTGTAATTGGTATTTTTTGAAAAAACGGACCCAAGCCATAATCTCAAATCCAATTAAACTAACTATAATAATATTTTTAAATTGATGTACAGTGCCTATGATATGTTTTAAAAACAATTATAAAAGTGCACCTCGTTAACGATCAGTACCGCAAAGTACGCTAAGAATTTCACAATTTTTGGTCATTATAAATTATAATTATACAAAAAAAAATAACTATTTGCAATAAACAATATATATAATGCACCAATGCATTCACAATTGCAATGCAAAAAATTTGTCTAAAAGTAGGTACGTACGTGTCTTTAACAAAATCACATAGAAAAATAAATATTTGTCATGATTCAACATATTACTACTAAATATAATATGAATAAAACAATAAATAATACTCGTTGCGAAGATTATACAGAAAATTTGTACATACAGACAGCAGACATGGCGGTATTGTATACCGGAGGTGACTAAGTCTAAGAGCCCGCACGCACTAGACGACCACGATCGCAACGAACAACTATATTTCTGACAAACGTTTGCCAGTGACTTTACTTACTTATAATTTTGTTTACATATATATAATTGGTTCGCCACTAGGGGTTATAATTGAGCTTAAATAATTTTTATATTTCCGCCATTTTTTTTCAAATACAACTGATATTACAGCGTACGTCGTAGTTTATCCCTTCGCCTTCCCAATCGACTGTATCGTAAAATTAGATATTCCAGATTAAATAGGATATAAATTACAAATTGAAAAAAACTTTTAAATCGGACTTTTATAATTTCAGATATAACGCGTTCAAATGAACTTCAGGTATATATGTAATAATATTATATACTAATCATTTATTTGTTTGTTTGTTAGTACTGAATAAGCTTCGAAATTACTGAACATAAAGATGAAATTTGGTAAGAAGATATTTTGAGATCCTGGGAAGGATATAAGTTCGTTTCTATCCCGGAAACCATTCCTTAAGGGGGTAAAAATGGGGATGAAAGTTTGTATGTGGAAGCAACCTAGGTTAAACCCGAGGGAAGCGAGTGAGTCGCTAGTGTGTAAAATATTATAATTCGTGGTCGCAGGTTGTTGACGTAGTGCGGAAACTGCATTATAACATATGTATCGCTTGCGACCGTGGTCGCGGTCGTGGTCGCCTAGTATACAGTTTATGGAACTTTAAATCAATATAGCAAATAATACTGAGGTATTGAACATATTAAATAAAAATAACCAAACCAAAAGTACTCTCTCTAGTAGTTAAACTATAATAAATTTGAAAACTTCGTAGAAAAGTTTGATCAAAATACAAATAGTTATTAAAATTTTAGTAACCTGACCTATTATGAGCACATCAAAAAGACAGAACAGCTTCCTAAAATAATCATTTCATAAAAAAAGAAAACGTACAAACTTCTCATTCCTTTTAAAGTTCATTAGATTCAAAGTAAGTGTTTTTAGACAAGTGTTAAAAAGAGATTAAAGTCGTATAAATTAATAATATTACGTAGATGTGCCTATACAAATTAAAATTAAACCTCAGTATAGATATTATAAATAAATAAATAAATAAATTTAGAAGAATATTTAAACGATAGTGGATAAGTTATTAAATTTCGAGATTCTAAACACAGGAGTCGTACGAGAACATAATGTAGCGAGCGATCTATTGCGATTATACAAGTATCCTTACTGGCCTTGCAATAGCGAGAAGTGCGATGCACAAAGAAATAAACTAACACTAAATTACCTAGAAGAAAAGCAAAATAAGTACTAAAAGAGCACTGAACTGAATGTATGAACCTAGGTTCTTGTCAAGACGATAAGTACATTAAAATTTCTTATCTATCGCATTTAAATGAACTACATATATCAAACTTCACTTGTTTCTGAGTGTGGTCCGGATTGCCATATTATTTTCTGTAATCCATATAATTCGTCTCAACAAGAATCTTGGCTGAGAAGATTTTTTATAATTTTTCCTACATTTTTTTAAATTTTTATTTAAATTTTTTTATTGATATAACGCTTGCATACACGGCTAGTTCTTAGTTCTTACATCGAAGCTTAGTACGAGAACTACCAGCGATGTACACCACGTTTAATATATCAGATAAAGATTTTTTTTTTGTATTTTATGTGAATCCACATCATAAAATTGCTTAACTAAGTTACAACGATAGCTGCGAACATCCCACTAAATAGTACGCGTAATCTAATGTGACGAAGCTCATATTGAACACGTATCTTATTTCTTCTTCCTACGTGACTTTTTAGATTTAGATTGCTTTGACAAAGGCATATTTGAATTGGAAGCTTCACCACTCTTTTTATCTTCCTTATCGCTATCAGTGGATAGAACAGGGGACGCGATGTCGTCGTCAGACGACTTCTCTAACTCCTCCTTATCCAATTTCATCTCGTCGTCCAACTTGACCTCCTGAGAAGTTATTTTATCACTTTCTACAACATTGAAACCTCTCTCCTTCCTAGTAGGCACTTTCTCGATATCAATTAAATTAAATGTGCTGGATTCGATAACTTTTGTTGTTGTTTCTTTAATGGATGACAAAATATCATCTATATTGATTTTGCAAATAGGGCTAGCTACTTTTGGATCGCTAGTTTCTAAGAGACTATCGCGCATAACTTCCATTTTGAAGTCATCGAGGCCGAAATCGAGGGGTTCTAGTGGGGGGAGTTCTTGCATTACCGCGTGGTGTTCTTCTACGAAGTTAAGCTCAGTGGGTGCATCGCATTCAGCGACCATTATATCTCTTCTTTTGCACAGCTCCATCAGTTTTTCTTGTAAAGATACTTCTGATTTTTTGTTATTTTCTAAAACTGTCGCTGCGTCTTGGTTATCATCTTTTACCACACTCTCAACAGTCTCGACTATATTTTTTTCTTCTACCATTTTAACATTTTTGGCAGCTGCTATGGAACTCCAAGATTTCACAGGCATTTCAATTTTGCCGGTGTCATGGCTCTTTTTTTCTGGCATTAGTGGTGATTTTTTATGGGATTTATTAGCTCTAGTGATTTGTATTTCGGGAAAATCTTCTTCGTTTGTGTTGATAACATAAACTTCTTTCTCTTCTATCTCGCAAGACTTTTCTGTTTTACGAAAATCTAATTTTGGTGAAGAAGATTTACTTTTGATAGATTTTGGAGATTCTTTAGAAGAAAATGAAGTAGTGGCTTTGGGTTCAATGAGTATTTTGGATTGAGTTTCTTTGATTACTGACTCCTTATGTTTAGTTTCTTTTAAAGTTTCTTTAACGTCCCTAGAAACACAGTGGGTAAAAACTTTTACATCATCACACAATGATTCATCCTTTATTTTAGTTTTTGGCTTACACATACTAATAATATCATTATTTTTATCATATTTTGTTTCACTTGTTTTTGGTTCTTCTATATTTTCTTTCCGTTCGGGGGTGCGGCTTTTAGATGAGCGTCGTTTCCTAGATTTCGCTAAGTACGAGGAAGCTAAATTAGCATCTTCTAAAGGAGTAGATATGGACACTAAATCGTCACTTAGTGTCTGTTGCTTATCCTCAATTGTATGAATTTCTACAAAACTATCTTCGTCTTCTTTAGCTTGTTGTTCTTCCGACTTTTTGGGTTTGCGATTTTTCTTTGATTTAATTTTTAATTCTTCAGTTTTATTTTCGCTAAACGAACGAAGTGGGTCTTTGTTAGGTTTTTCGTCTTTGTTACACTTTTCTAGTTTTTCGGGCTCATTTAAAAGCATGTCCCAGGCTTGCTCCTCTGTCTTTATTTCATACTGAATGTTTTTAATTTTCTCAGCTTCCGATGCTGCAAGCCCAGTAGGTTTTGATGACTTCAAAGATGGTTTATCTTTTTCATCTGGACGTTGATACTCTATATTACGTTCGCTACTAATCACTAAATCTTTACGTAATCTTTCGTCTTTCGACACGGGCTCCACGGGAGTTTCTAATTCAACTCTTACTTTCAGAGGCTCCTTTTCTATTATAGATTCGATCTCTCTCTCATCTGACACTATACTCTTAACACTAATATCGCTAGCGGCACTATCACTAACTGACTTGGTGGTGGGAGATTTCTTAATCCTAGATCGAGCCACCGGCTGAATATCATCGGGGGCTCGATTCAATTTTGGCAGTGATGTATCCTCTCGCCCAATCTCAGCGGGGCGAGTCGAGGGTGCGGTGTCCTCGAAGGAGAGGCGCAGCGGGCAGGTGGAGAGCTGCGCGGGGATGAGCACGTCGGTGGCCAACGGCAGCGGCTCGTCCTCTGGCGAGGGGTCGCGCGGCGCGGCGGGCTGTGCGGGGATGGTGGTCGCGCGCGGCAGCGGCTGCGCGGGCCAGGCGCGGCGGCAGCGCGGGCGGCGCGGCGCGCAGCTCCACGGGCCGGAACGCGCACTCGTCGGCGTTGGCGCGCGTGTGCACGTCCGCGTCGGGCGGCGGCGCGCGCGCGACTGCGGCCGGCGCCTGCACCACGGTGCCCTGCGGCGCCACGGCGCGCGCCACACCGGCGCCGCGCGCGCGCTCGGGACGCTCCCGCGGCAGCCCTATACCAACACCGAAGGCACATTAGTCTAGAGATTTAGAATAAAGCTATGTAGTGGAGTTAATTCGAAAGCCAAGAGGAATGTCGCCGGGTGCCTTTGGCTTCGGTATAGAGCTGGCCGTATACCCAATGAGAGGACGTGTTGGTCCTAGAAACGACATATTGCTGATGTGTGTATCTTAAATGTACATACATCGTTTTGTTTGTGTGAGCACTGTCAATACGATGAGCTGTTACGATTGTATAAAGTATGGAAATCAAAAGTTTTGTATATTATTAACTCACACCAACAAAATGACATATTCGATACATAGATCTTCAACATGTCGTCTCAATCAGTGTGACTTACGTGGCAGGCGCAGACACGTACTCTCATTTTCAATGTTAATTAAGCGTTCTTCGACGAATTCTCGAGTTAATTCTCCACTTGCTATGCTTCGGTCTTGTGCACTACACCATTGTCATACACTTCGCAAATTCACATGATCAAACAATTTAATTTATAAGATGTAAACTATAAATGTTTTGATAAATTATCGACACACTGTAACATAATTACAAGAATTCATTCAAAACGTTTAACACAAGAATTCAAATTTAAACTTGTACCAAAAATATTTTATATCATATAAGATTAAATATTTTTGAATATTAAAATTTGCTTCATGCGGCATCTCAGAAAAAAAATATTATTTTTGAGATAAATCACTAAATGTGTTTATTGTTATTATCTAGTTATAAATAAAGTCTGAAAATCGATTTTCCCAAAAAAAAACCAAAAATTCTTGTATGTATTTCTGTCTGTCACTTAAAGTCATTTCCAAAACTGTGAACAGATTTAAAAAAAAACTTTTACCGGCTTTTACTAGAATTTGAGCGAAAGATACATTTTAGCGATGGGTAAACGAAAGGCTCTCCAATATATAGTGATCGAAGTAAACATTTTATGAGTTATGTTGAAAGCGAAGCAAGGAGTGCTGCTTTTCCTTTCAAAACCTTTCATCTCTCAACTTAGTAATGTTATCAGGATGCAAATAACAATCTCATTAACATCAATAGTATTCGATTATATTTTTTACAACTTTTTGCTTACTATTATTTTAATTGTAATAAAAAATCAAAGACTCTTACCGTGATCCTCCTTCATAGCTTCAGCCAGGTCCTCTTTGAGCTGTACGTCACACACAGAGGTGGTCCGACCCGATTCCGCCAGCAGGGACTTGCGGCGGAAACTATCCGATGGCGAATGTTCTAGGGAACCTGGAAATAGTATATTTTTAGTTGTATAATCTGTACATCATGTTATAATAATAATAATCTGTCATTAAACTTTCTCTAATAAAGTCATAATACGGAAAATGCGTGAAGCGTGATTTTTTTTATTTTGTATTCAATAGCTAACATCGTTATATAATTGTAAAAAAAATATATTCAGCTCCAAAAAACTAAAATTTAGTACACTTTTTGTTTAAATATCATACCGATACGGATACTTTAAACGCCCGCTATTTTGTACGCTCGGTGTGACGTCACAGTATCATACATCGAAAAATGACGACTTTAGATTGTACCGACAAAATCGCTAATCGCTCTGTTATGATAATACTTTGATGTCAGATTCGGTCTGACCAATGACATTGTGTTTCAACTACGGAATAAATATCTTAAATATGGATCTTTAACGACTAAATTTACACTGTAGCCAATAACTGCCACATCGTAAAAAAATCACTTTCATCATTATTCAACACGCCAAAAGAAGTATTATAAATATAATCATATCATAAACAAGTGTCCACAAACTCACTGGCCGAGCCGGAGTCGACGAGCACGGGCACGACGGGGCGCGCGCCCGGCATGTTGACGGGCGTGGAGCGCGCCGCACCGCGCGCCGCCGACGTGTCCACCTCCACCGCCTCCGCCTCCGACAGCGACGAGTTCGACCTACGGATGCCATTATATGTAATAATCTATACAGATAAATAAAATCCAAGAGTCTGTTTGTAATGTCAAAATAACAGCATTTTACTTAATGCATATGAAATTATATACGGTACTTATAAATTCGAAAAACACTTTTTTTTATATTTTGTCTGTCTGTCTGTTCGTTCCAGATAATCTCTGAAACGGCTGGACTGATTTTGACGGGACTTTCTCTGGCAAATAGCTAATGTTATAGGGAGTAACATAGGCTACTTTTATTTTAGAATGAAAAAAATTGGGTTCCGCTCAAAAAAATTAAACGTGTCTAGGGACGAACCCGGACGAAGCGATGTCGAGTCGCTTAAATATTTTTTAGAAATTTTATTGAAATAGTCAATATTACCGATAGATATAAAATCTATAGTTTTTAGAATTTTTGTCCGTCTGAATGATGCATTACGAGAAAACCAGTGAATCCCAAAAGAATCCCATTCAATTGTGTTACTCTAAAAACCAAAGAAACCAAAATATATTCTTAAATATAACATATATAAACTGTCATTATTCTCAATAATTATCTTTACAATAATATAATAATAACTAGCGACTCACCCTCGCTTCACTCGGGCTCGTCCCTAAGTTGATTCCCCATACAAACTTTCATCCCCATATTCGTCCCTTAAGGGGTTAAGGGATGATTTGCGTAATACAAAATATCCTTATATATTCCCAGTGTCTCAAACAAACTCCTTACCAAATTTCCTCTAAATCAGTCCAGTAGTATTTGCGTTCATTCGTTACAAACATACAAATAAAAAAACATACAATAGTGTAAATAGTGTAGAAGTGTAGATTAAGTCCTTTTATCATCTCTATACTAAAATATAGTGATCCGAGAAGGACAGCCATAGCCGTCACACTGGCAAAATGCTAGATTAAAGATTCTTATATATTTCTAAAACAATTTAAAAAAAAATTGAATTATTATTAGACAAATCATATTATATTCTTAGCCCATATTTGAAAACAAAGTTAGTAAGAAATAGCAACATACCCAGTGATGTTGTAAGTCTTGAAGACGAACTGCGGTCCCATCCACAGGCGGCGGTGCGGGCCCGCGTGCGTCACGATCTCCACCTGCGACAGCCAGCGCTCCTCCTCGCTCATGCAGATGTCCGCGCATCTCTGTGTCATCACGTCGTTTTTATTTTATTATTAAGTTTTAACGTATAACATTGATTTCCCAGAGATGAGATATTTTCTCGAAGTAAAAAGTATCCTGTATGTTGACCCGGAGGATAACCAGCTAACACCATATCAAATTTCATCAAAATCTGTCCAGTGGTTTTCTCGTGATGCGATCACAGACTGACAGACAAAAATTCTAAAAACTATAGATTCTGCTTCTGTATCGATAATAATGACTATTTCAATAAGATTTTCCAAAAAATATTCAATGTACAGATTCGACTCAGTGAGAATTTTACTATATGTATAGATTAAACTTCAAAATTACATAATTAAATTAATACTACATAAAAAACTAATGTCTCCCAGGCTGATTTCGGCCACAATATTAAATATTCGGCAAAATCGAGAATAATAGTAGCATTGAAAGCGAACTTTAACATTTTTTATGGCGAGCCCTCTCTATATAATTCTTTAGTCTAAGTTCTCATTGGTGAAGTAATTTGTGCTCAACTGGCCCGCTTTAAAACAAACCAACAAGAGAATTGAACTGAAGTTTTATATACAAGTATAAGACAGTAGAGTGCACTGACCCGGCAGCTCATGGGCTGCAGCAGCGGGTTGGAGGGCGGCAGCGGCGCCAGCAGGTCGGCGGCGGCGGGCGGGCGCTGCAGCGGCCACTGCGCTATCGGCTCCACATCCAGCTCTATTGGGGACTCGTCGCAGATCTTCTCTTTTGGTACGTCTGGAGTATTTTATAATATTATAGACTAGCGTTTAGTTACGTTTTAACTGTTAGTATGAAATACAAATCTTTGAATTTCTCGGCTTTTCTGTACTATAATATGCATGTATTATACATATAAACCTTCATCTTGAATCATTCTATATATTAAAAAACCGCATCAAAATCCGTTGCGTAGTTTTAAAGATCTAAGCATACTTCCGTAGATAGGTACTGAATAAATAAACCGAATTGGCTTTACATTAGATCTCATAACTTTTTGAGGTAGACGAACTGTGTTGCGACACTTGAATTTTTTACATGTTTGTTTTTGATGGGATCCCATATTCTAGTAGCCAATATAACCCGTTAGTTAAGACACATAATACTATAAAATTACATTCTGATCTCCATGTAGAGTCGCACTGCAATCAAATGAAAAAGAGGTCGCATATAATGCAAATGTAAATTATAACAAAATAACTCACATCAAACATATTGGGGTCTCATTGGCTCTCAACAAATAGAGCGGCACAAAAAACTTTTTACAAGCCACGCCGCTTATGTTGAAAAGCGCACGTGTTATATTCCCGACCATAGCAAAATCAAAAGAGAGGGTTATCATTTTATTTTCGACCAAAATGTTAATTCGACCAATAGGACTGTTGGGTCTCCAGTTCAAATAAAGACCAATACTCACTACGAGCATGTCGAGGGTTAAGAGCGAGATGCAGCAGGGCGCCATTGGCGGCCATCAGGTAGAGCGGCACGGACGCGGCCTTGCCCGCGACGCCGCTCACGCCGAAGCACGCGCGCGCCAGCAGCGGCGCCGCGCCCGCTTCTTCTGATAGGGAGGACAGGCGTTGGCGACCTGCGTGGGATATGGGTTAACTTTTTAGTATCGGACAACGGACTCATTTTGTGTGTATGTTTGTTAGTCTTTCATGCTAAAACGGCTGGACGGATTTAGATGGCATTTAGTATAAGTTGTGTTATGTGTAAAGTTTTTGTTTTCACTTCACCTTCTCGTACGAAAACAAATTATATTTATTTTTTTAAACTTATGCATGTATATTATTAAATTGCATAGATGTATCGTTTAACGTAGTAACTTGTAGCTGTCATTCGATTTATATGAAAACTAGCGACTCACCTTCGCTTCGCTCGGGTTCGTTCCTAGCTTGCCTCCCAATACAAAGTTTCATCCCTATTTTCACCTTCTAAGGGATGATTTCCGAAATAAAAAGTATCCTATGTCCTTCCCGGGGTCTCAAACTATCTTCTAACCAAATTTCATCTAAATCGATTCAGTAGATCCAGAGATTACCTATAACGTCACAAACTCACCATCTCACAAACTTTACCTCTATATAATATTAGTATAGATAAAACAAAGATAAATAGTTATTCCTATATATTTTTATTTATGAATGACAGTTAATTAGATGTTACCCGAGCTAGTCCTGGTGATGGTGTGTGTGGCGAGGTTGTGCGTGGGACGCAGCTGCGCGAGCGGCGCGCTGCTGCAGGGCAGCGGGTAGGGCGGCAGGCGCGGGTTGGGGAACCACGCGCCGGAGCCCTCGCACACCTGCACGGTACACTTATTAGTTTGGTTTTGTTAAGTTAATGTGATAATATTATACTTCCTTTATTATATAGTGATAGTTTGTTTTATGTGACAATGAATTGGCATAGTAATATATGTACCAAGCGACTCACTCTCATTTCGCTTGGGTTCATCCCTAGGTATGTTTTAATTTTTTTTTAAATAAAACTAGCCCATGTTACTTGCTATAACATCAGATATCTTCTAGTGTAAGTTCTATCAAGATCAGTCCAGCCGTTTTAGAGGTTATCCGGAACAAACAGACAGACAAAAATTACAAACAGACATTTCAATTTTATTTATCTGTATAGATTTACTGATTATTCCCGTCCAATAATAAATCTAATTGTCAAAAACGTCTAGATAGGACAATCAGGAGGCGCATCCGACTGTCATTTGTTTTTTTATATGACAATCCGCTTTAGAGTTGGCGAGTATAACTATAACTTGCCCGCTTGCGTAAAAGATAGTTTTATTTAAAGTGACATATATTCGCGTAAATCTAAGAAAGTATTAATATATACTTAAACATATATAGCTAAACCCCATTACAAGAACATAGTATAGTAGCAACTATCAGCACTCACAGGGCTGTGCGCGCAGGCGGCGGCGTGTATGGGCAGGCCGGCGGAGCGGTGGAAGCGCGACAGGCGGTTGACGACGCGCGGCTGCGTGTGCGTGCGCACGCCCACGGCGCCGCCGTACGGGCTCACCGCGAACACGTGCGTGGTGCCGCGCAGCGTCGACACCGCCGCCCACCGGGAGTCCCCCGATATTGCTATGTCCTGTGTTTGTATGGGTGGCTTGCTTTTTTCAATAATAAATGGCTCGAAAACGATCTTTCATACAAAAAATGTTTGCCCTGAAAGACCTTATTTGCACACTTAAGAATTTTTACAAAAATTATTTGCGAAATCGATTCAGTCGTGCTTACCAACAAACAGCATTTCATTTTTATTTACATAGACATTGTAACTTAATATTATGGTTATAATATTTGAAACAAAAAAAATACTACATATATCTTTTAATTTATATTTATTCACTATATCTTTTATATATTAAAAAAATAACCGCGATATTTGCGACTAAAAGAAATAAAAAGTATTTTTGGAAACTACTTAAAAAATTTATAAAATATATATTGAAAATATGTCTAAAGTACGCTTTGGCGTTCTTATAACCAATAGCAAAGCAAGAAATTAACATAATTTTTTCGACAAAAATAGTCTAAAGGACCAGAACGTGTTATAGACATAAACCCAATAAGTGACCTTATAAAGGATACTGGCGGCTCACCCTCGCTTCGCTCGGGTTCACCTCTAGAAAAGCACAAACAGATCTATCCCACGGGAACCGTTCATTTTTCCGGGATAAAAATAAAATAAAATAAGTAACCTGTTGTTTGACCTGCAATATAAGGTATCAGCATGCCAAATTTTACTAAATTAAGTGCATAAGTTGTTGTGTACTGAGCTGTATAAGTTACTATAATTTTTTAACTATCCCACGGGAACTCTTTAATTTTCCGGAATGAAAAGTATCAAATTTCATTTAAATAGGTTCAATAGTATCGGAGATTAGCCCGTACGAACAGACAAACAGACAGAGAAACAAAAAATTTGAAAAAATCTGGATTTGTTCTATTTCTCTCCTTACGTGATTTAAGAAGAGAACTGACTCGTTTTTTAGCAATTTTTTCTACCATCTATGTACAGACATTCGACCTCTACAGTTTTATTATTCATATATGTACCTATATTCAGATAGAATAAATAACGTATAATAAAACAGAAATATATAATAATGAAAATAGTTATAGCGAGTGTACCTTAGGAGATAGAGATATACTATGTAGAACTTTTCTATAGACCTTTTTAAGACTTACAATTTTCTTGTACAATGTTTTGATCTATCTCTTAAGGTTGAGCCAACGTTAGCCATATAAATTTCTAAGGACAATTCGATAGAACCAGTTATTGTATTTTCCCGTGGGAATGAATAATTTGCCTGTCGTAAAAAGTATTCTAATGTTGACCCGAGCACTAAGTTTTATCACTATACAAAATTAAGTTAAAATCGGTTGAGTACTTTTTGCGTGAAACGCGCACATCGATTTGACTAAGTTTTATTATAGGTATAGATAAGAATAAATATTGCGAGTGTAACTTAGAAGATAGACATATACTATTCACAACTTTTCTGTAGGACTTTTCAAGACCTACAATTTTTTAGTATATTGTTTTGATGTATGTCTTAAGGCTTAGCCAGAGGAAGGTTTCTAGGGAGGACTCGATAAAACCAGTTATTGTATTTTCCCATGGGAAAGAAAGATTTTCTTTAAGTAAAAGGTATCTAGGCAGTGGTATCCCAGTGGTAACGCGCTCACTTGGGAAACCGAGTGAAGCAAGTTCAAATCCCTGGTCTCGCACCTCTGATATTTTCATGTGCGAATCATTTCTAACACAGTTACCACTTGTCTTAACGGTGAAGGAAAACCTGCATGTCTGACAGAACCTAGCAAGTTTTCGAAAGACATGTGAAGTCCACCAACCCGCACTTGGCCAGCGTGGTGGACTATGGCCTGATCCACCTCGTACTGAAGGGAGGCCCGTACCCAGCAGTGGGACGTTAAAAAGGGCTGAATACATACATACATACATACATAAATACATACAAAAGGTATCCTACTGAAGGGAGGCCCGTGCATGTGTTAAAAAGGGCTGAATACAACATACATACATACATACATACAAAAGGTACCCTAAATGTTGACTCGAGTAATAAGTTATCACTTCACCAAATTTCGTTGAAATTGGTACATTACTTTTCGCGTGAAACGCACACACAAAAACAGACATACAGGCAAACAGACAAACAGGCAATTTTTTTAATAACTATTGTTTTGGGGTCTATGTTGTGTACATAATACGTTACAAATAAACAAAAATATCTATCCCACGGGAAAAGTACATTTTTCCGGGATACACAGTTACCTATTTGTTATTCTGATGTATGAACTATATTATTGTAAAGTTTCCTTAAAAATCCAATCAGTGGTTTTTGTGTACTAAGCTGTATAAGTTACTATAGTTTTTTGACTATCCCACGGAAACTCTTTAATTTTCCGGGATGAAAAGTAGCTGATTTGTTTTTGTCATGTATGAACTATATTATTGTAAAGTTTCATTAAAATCCAATCAGTAGTTTTTGTGTACTAAGCTGTATAAGTTGTTATAGTCTTTTAACTATCCCACGGGAACTCTTTAATTTTCCGGGATGAAAAGTATCTAAGATGTTGCCCGGGGATAAAAGGTACCACCATGCAAATTTTCATTTAAATAGGTCCAATAGATCCGGAGATTAGCCCGTACAAAGAGAAAAACAGACAAACAGCTCGCTCGGGTTCGTCTATACCTACGAATATGTTGTATTATCTCTTTAACCATTTGTCCAAATTATATGCAGTAAAAGGGAAAAGTCTTTTATTTTAAACATTTTAGACGATAAATTTACTTATTTTGATAAGAATTCATAATTGTTGATAATATGACCAATAAACATGACCTACCGATTTAAATGATTTTTTTTAATATAAAAAACTACTTTTTGTGACTTAAATATAAAAGTTAGACATATGCTGTCGCTGACTTTTTTGTAGGCATTATTAAGCTCTACAACTTTTCTCTAGAACATAATCATATATCTCTCATCGTTAATGCAGCGTTCGTAAGAAACGTTTTCGTTCGACCGTTTTTTCTCCGACTTACTTTGCAAATCCGACTACCACGAAAAAGCCTTTTCATTTTTCGGGTTAATATATAGCCTATGACACTCACAAAGAACGTGGCTTTCTATTGGTAAAAGAATTTTGAAAATCGGTTCAGTAGATCCAGAGATTACCCCCTACAACGTCACAAACTGGTTGACATTCCGACCACTCGCACTAAGCGCTATTCATCATCTTTTATATTGCGCACAGCCAAGAAATGGAATGCCCTGCCTGCGTCTGTTTTTCCGAGAGCGTACAACTTGAAACTTTTTAAGGTGCGTGTCAACAGGCTTCTCCTGGGCAAACTCGGTACATCATAGACCTTATCTATACATTTAAAGTAAGATGAAGGTCAAGAGTGAGCCTATTTTTAATAAAAAAAAAACTCACAAACTGACAAACTCACAAACTCACAAGATCACAAACTTTACCTCTTTATAATATTAGTATAGATAACCAAACCAAAAAAGTTAAACGTACATTAATTTACAAGCAAATTTTACCTGCACTTTAGCCGTAGTATCGCCCCGGTGTAATATATATAAATGGTGCACAGACGCCAAGCTAGGCCCGCAGGGGTGTGGATTTATGCGGAACACGTGAAAGTCGTGACCTCTGCGGTCGGCCGTCACCAGCAACATGCCACTGGGATCGAACTTCAGGGCGATGATGGCTTCAGAGTGCGCAATGAAGTGAGCCACAATCGGGTCGCACGGATCCTCACAGTCCTGACTGTCTTCATCCTCGTTACCCTAGAATGTTGACAAGATTATTTACACAGTATAAAAATCCTTACAATAGATGTTCGCAATTGATTTTAAAGGAAATTCCGCCAAATTTAAGAGTTATCAAACATACCTCTTATTGGTGAACCGTTTAGAAATTAAAGCGTTGTAATGCTATCCTCGTGGCAAGTTACAGTTATATCCATCAAACCTCAAGCCATTTTCCGATTATAGTATGTTTGTCGACTGCTTTAATATATTTTTATTGTTTAGAATATAAACAAGAGTACATATCACTTAAACACATAAGCAGTTAAGGAGGTAGCACTACATAATTTAAATAAACTTAAATAAATAATACATAACTTAAACCCCGCACACCAAGCAAAACCATAGAAAGTCATAATTCTTAGCTATGCCAATTTTTAAAGCAAATTAATAAATCTAACTTACCTCTATATCTAAAATAGTGACGATTCCTGGCTGCTGTATATCAGCGTGGGGAGGTGAAGGTGACTGGGAGGTGCTGCGCCCGCCCGCCAAACTGTGGGCCACACTCTCGCCGAGGCCACGCAACCCTTTGCTTAGCGATTTGGCCGCGTGAAGAACGGTTGCTGTGTAACTTGTTACCCCTTCGCCTGTAAGAATGTTAATTAAATATCTTAATTGATAAACTATTATTAATTCATTAAATCCATTAATTAAATTAAATTCATTAATGTCTAATCATTAGCATCAATCAGCTAGCAATATTCGACATTATGTACTAACAGAAAATTATAGTATTTTTTGTCGAATGCTAATAATTTTTTACAGTTCAAATAGTTTCATAAATATGTACTTATAGCGATATCTTGTCTCATAAATAACGGTTAAGTGTATTAAAAATTGTTTCTGTATTTCGGTCTTAATTTTATTCGGCATCTCGTTACCACATTATCATGTCTTTATGATTTTTGATATGTCATATTATGATTAATATGCGCTACTGTGACCTTCCTTTATCATAGTCCCAAATCTACATCTGCTTAGTATTTCCAACTGCTAGTGATATATTGTATTAAGTATTTAAGCACCTTGTATTTGTCTGTTTGTAAACATACTTTGACTAAGATTTGCTAAGACACCTGCACTACAACAAAAACTAAAAGTTTTTTTTACTGTGTATCATAATGAAATAATCATATTTATGTATATACACGGAGTATGTACTACTGTAATAATTATAATTTATTATTTAGTTCGTCCCTAGTTACGTTTTAACGTTTAGTGTACCTATATTTCTCAGTGATGAGATATTTTCCCGCAGTTAAAAGTATCCTATATGTTGACCCGGATAACCAGCTATTATCCAGTACAATTTATAGTCCAGTGGTTTTCTCGTGATGCGGTCACAGACAGACGGACGGACGGACAGAAAAAAATTCTAAAAACTGTAGATTCGGCCTCTGTATCGATAATAATGACTATTTGAATAAGATTCTCCAAAAAAAAATTAATGTACAGATTCTACTCAGAATTTTATTATATTATGTGTAAATTACGTTAATTTATAAAATTCTTCAATAAAAAAAATTGCCACTTTTAAAAATATAAGAAATTCAAGATGAATTTATGAGCATATTAATGATAATTGCAAGATTATTAAAATGAAATATTATATTTTTTTGCAGGTGCGATGTTACAGAACGCATAATGTGACGCCTAAAATAATATACTAGGCATATATTATGAAAATTAACATTTGCTACGAATAGCTTGCTTCTCATAGCTTAAAGCCTTTATAATTAAACTAGCGTTACGTTTTAACTGTTAGTATGAAATACAAATCTTTCAATTTCTCGGCTTTTCTGTACTATAATATGCATGTATTATACATATAAACCTTCCTCTTGCATTCACTCTACCTATTAAAAAAACCGCATCAAAATCCGTTGCGTAGTTTTGATGATCTAAGCATACATATGGACAGACAGACAGCGGGAAGCGACTTTGTTTTATACTATGTAGTGATAGCAGCGTTTTAAACAGCATAATTATTTAAGAGCATTTCGCACTTAGATACTTCTAAAGTACATACAGATATTAGTACCTACGTAAAGATAACCTAAACTTGTACAAATTCTTATACATACCTATCAGAAGTAAAGTTATCACAAAAGATATGCAAATATAAAATTCACAGTTAGTCATTAGTTCTTATTTATTATTTTTTATTTAACACCAGAATAATAATAGCACACATAACTGTAAAACTAAGTAATTACAGATTTTAATTAAGTACTTGTTTTAAACAAATAACACAAAAACAAAAATGCTGTGTACTGCAACGATTATAAAGTCACATGAAGCCATTAGCCTCTATAGACAATCGATAAACACAAAGGATACACATTACACATTAATGTTAATACATTTTATACGACATATACTAAATTTGCATTCTGTTATATAATGATTTTATTTGTATTTAGATTTTTTCGCCCGTTCATGCTTTGCTTAATTCTTTACTGCATCTTGATACATTCTTTAAAAATTTTAAGAACTACTAATAAAAATTGGCATTTTCCGGTCTAGAAACTATGTCTATTCAAATAAACACATTGCTCTATGAACAAAAAGATAAATAAATATATCGTTGAAGCGATTGTTTCATGTCCAAAAATGCCTTATCATGATTTATATGTTTACATTCATTATATATTTGGCAATGTGAGCTGGAGCAGATGTTTTGGTCGAAATAAAGTTTTTAGAATTTCCAAATGACCTATAGAGAACCCTTAAAAACACCTGTAGAGAACTGTTTTATTACAGATATTTACTATCTATAAATTAAAATTAGTCGAGTAATTTCAAAGATAATTTATGAGCCACGAACTTTTCGACGCTCCTATATAATGTAGGGTCATATTTGTATTCAGCCCTTTTTGATGTCCCACAGCTGGGCACGAATCTCTTCAATGCGAGGGCGATCAGGCCATAGTCCACAACGCTGGCCTCTTTCGAAAACTTTCAAGGTTCTCTTAAAAATGCAGGTTTCCTCATGATGTTTTCCTTCACCGTAAGACAAGTGATAAAGTGGTGATGGCGATGTCATATTTATTAATAGCTGAATATCTCGTATAATAAAAATATACAAGAGGTTAATATGAACCGTAAATAATAATTATAAAAGAAAAGTAGATAATTTTTTTCTACACTACAAAGAATCAGTTCTAATACAAACATAAATTATTATACTAATTAGGTAGTGATTGAACATAATATAATTAAACAATTACTTGTAAATAATCGCATTTTATTTCAATCTGACATTTATTCGACCTGTTCTACTACAATTGTATTTTTATTTTGTTTGCTTATTGCACTTATAATGTAAGTGGCTTAGTCACTTCAAGGTCTTGCAAATATCGTGCATTTTTAAGAACAAATGATAAAGTATTCAAACGAACAACCGATGTAACCTTCAGATACTACGAGAATTAGTACCTAAGCTATTGTAAATAATATCCATACTAATATTATAAATGTGAAAGTGTGTTTGTTTGTTTGTTTGTTTGTTCTTCTTTCACGTCGAAATGGAATAACGGAATGGCGTGATTGGAGTGTGGAGATAGTTAAGTGCTGGAAAGTGACATAGGCTATTTTTTACTGCGGGAGATTATCTCATTCCCACGAAAAAAACACGTTGTAACGCAACCCAAAAAATATTTGTGATACAATTACTTGAAACTTGGTATTAATATTCTTCAATACAATTAAATAAATACGAGTTTTAGCATTTTTAATATTTACCCCATAAAAGGATGAAATAGGGGATGAAAGTTTGTATGAAACCTACCTTTTTATAGATTTTTTGTAGTTTTAGCGCGAGCGAAGCCGCGGGTTCTGCTAGTAAACAATAATTGAATTGTCAAAGCAGAAAATGTATCGCGTGATTGCAACTTCATAACAAAACAGCTAACAGTGAACACTGGTGACGTGTAGAGTAAGAATAATAATAAGGTATGAATCTTGTATCTATTGTTCAACCTACAATAATAATTATACAATTAAAATAGTGTATAATATTATTTTTTATATGGCTTTGTTAAACGCAATTCTACCTCATAGAAATTAGAAGCATATTATATTATTGTTGAGAAATATTTTGGACTTTCTCAAAAATAACATGAAAGAAACTACATTTTTCTATATCAGATATTATAAGTATGTATATGTATGTAGATGTAGATAGTAATATTAGTGTAGATAATAAAAATACTCACTTTCACATCCTCCACTGCTACGTTTCGAGGGGTTCAGTTTCTTATCAGCGTATGCTAGCCAGCGATCCCCCAGGGCCAGGGGGTTGATTGGCGAGGGGTTTCCCAACGGACAGGGGCAGGGGTAGCAGGTGGTTATAGCTAGTCTATCCTCTAATGTAGCCGCGTCGAATACTGCAAAACGCTCGGAAAACGATACCACGACTGAACGTTTGTTTGCTAGCACATCCAGGATGGGATTTTTGAATTTAATACTCTTTACCTGGTGATGGGAAAATTAGTTTTTGTTAATTTTCAATAAAATAAAATGGACTTTGAAATATGTTATATAGCTTGCTAGATATTATTATCTTATAAAAACTCTTCGGTGCTATAAAAATATTTAAATACAATCTAAGCAAATGTCTTCTATACAAAATAAATAAAACATACCTGTTCACCGCCTCTAATAGATATGAAGCTTAATGAGCAAAACGCTGGTCCAGGGCTGGCCGAGTCACATAAAGCGATGAGGGGCCTCTTCGATGCAAAGCAGTCGCCGTGCTGCGGAGTGGGCAGTATACGGAGCACCCTCACAGTGCCTTGTCTCCATGACAACACCTCCTGAGCCTCCCCCGTGGGAGGAATCAACCACACTTGAACACCCGAACCATAGCCCAATATGAGCAAAAGTGGTGGTACGTCATTATCGCTGTCTCCTTCAGGTGTAGGCTCGTTTATATCCGCGGTTTCGAACCTGACATAATCATAAAGAGAAAAAAAAACTATTAAGAATAGAATTGATAAACTCTGACCAAAATACAAAATATTATTAGTATGTACACTATACATTTTTAATATTTATGTAATTAAATAATTTATTAAAAAAATATTACGATAACAGAAAAATGTATTTACTATACAAATAAGTTTTATTGCTTAATAGCGGCTCACCCTCGAAAACAAACCTATCCCACGGGAACCGTACATTTTTCCGGGATAAAAAGTAGCCTTTGTGTTATTCCAGACTATAATCTATCTCTGTGCATCCAGACCTGTTCAGCCGTTCTGGCGTGATATAAAGGTATTTAAGATCGCATCGCTCAAGATTATCGCAAAGTTACATACAAAACATCGAGCGTGCTAAATTAATATAATAGTTTAAATATCATTATGACCCCGCTTTAATTGGTATTTAGTAGGCAAATAAACAAACGAAACTACAGTCAATAATCTTTATGGGCATACATTTCATGGATATTGTTATTGTATTGACAGACTTCCTAAAAAGATGACGTGTTATGTTCGACGCGTACCAACATTTTTTTCGTTCGTTTGGGCTTACTTGTTTTGTTCGGACAAGTCAAATACCTTACACTTAGGTTTGAGAACCTGATTTAGACATAATAGGTCTTTTGAAAACTTGTTAGGTTCTCTCAGACATGCAAGTTTCCTCACGATGTTTTCCTTCACCGTTAAAACAAGTGGTAATATATAATCATTAGCTTCCGGCTCCTCAACCGGGCGCGAAGTCAAGAAACGCACTGGGACCCACTTCGGTGGGCGGTGTGGCTTGCGGGTTACTCCTGGTACTTATCTGACAGCAGAGTAGACCAAGGGAGCAACTACATGACCTGCCGTTGTGGCGTCGTGATTGAGAGCGTAAGCGATCCTGCGACGTCTGCAAGACGTACCCATGTTTTTCATAATAGCTATAAGCTTTTCATCTTTGTTTAATCCATCAAGAACAAAGTTACGGGTTTTGCTAATGGAAACATACACTATGGACTACGGCCTGATCCCCTCATATTGAAAGAAGGCCCGTGCACCAGCAGTGGGGTGTTAAAAAGGGCAAAATACAACATAACAAAATTTGCAATACGCAAACTAATTTTATAGTACATTAACTAAGTACTATTTCATTTAACTGCAATTAAGAATAGTATAAAAAGCACAACTCACCTCGCCCACTGTATAACGTCCTTAGGATCAACAGTGGATGAAGAAGATAGCGTGACGTCGTTAATGAAGCCGGACACCGCGTCGATGATGCTGCGGTCGCTGGGCGGCTGCGACGGCACCGTGAGCGGCCCGCCCGAGCGCGCGTGTCGCGGGGACTCCGCTGACATGCTGTTTGTTTGACACTGTTTTCTATAAAAATGTATGCTTTAAATATACATATTATGAAACAAGTTCAATAAAACCTCTGGGGTAAGAGCAACATTGATTATTTCTTTAAATATGTATGTATGGTTTTCTATAATATTATAAGTATTGTTTTAAATGTATATGAACTGGCTTGAACTGAGCCTCTAAAATATTTAAATATTGCATTAAATATGTATGTAAAAAGTCTTTTACAGGCAAAGGTAAAGCTTAATTATATATAAGACTATAAATAAAATTACTTAAATTTTACACATTTTAATTTTATTTTATTTAGGAACTAAAGTAATAAAATGTTGCAGTAGAGTTTTTAAGGCCATTACAAATACATAAAATAAATAAAACCTTTAGATCTGCAAGACTAAGAAGTGATTCTATAACTACAGTTTTGTTTTTATTAACTTTGATTATCATTGGTTGAACTTGAATAGCGGGTAGTATTATATAACTGTTTATATTTAATTGAATTATTATTTTTTCTAAATACACTTTATTTTTAATTTTGCTCAAATTAATGTTTTAATTAAGTAAAATGAATATACCAAACCTCTTACATTCATTTCTAAAAAAATATTATTTCATTTTCTGTTTTACTAATAAAATCTCATATTTCACAAAAGTTAAAATATATTTATAAATAAATTTTAACATTACCATTCTTTCTATTACAAAATTTTACAAAATTACTGAGTTACTGATATTAACTAACATATTGTATTTACTGCACCATATTATAATGTATGATATCTATGAACCTACTTACATGTTTATATTTTATCAATAATTAATGTATGTAGTTTTAGATACATTAGATAAATACAAAAAAATATATAAATGCAAACAAAAAAACTAATATTATCCGCTCAGTCCTCACATTGAGATTTCATAGAAAATATTTATTTGATATAAATAAAGATGCACTTATCATTAGTTGAACCTTGTAAATATACAAATTATTATTATCTAACACTAAGTGTTACCTGTTATTTTAAGTTGTTATCAACACAATTTATATATGACATAAAATGTAAACAAGTTGTTTACAAGGAGTATGTATGAGAAATAGTAATTTTATCTATAGCTAACCAAAATATATATTTCTAACAATCATAAAAAGAGGTAAATTGTTTTATTCAAATAGCAAAAAACAAACATTCACATTTTAGGTACCAAATTTAATCTTTATTTTCATAGATGATTTATTACTTGTTTGCTTAAACATAATGCTTTTGTAAAATAGATAATGTAGATATATTCTTATATATTATAATATAAATATTTCTTATTTCATTTTTTTTAGTGAATAACAAAGTATATAAAAAATAAAAATTACCTTCAATTCATTACCCTTTTTTTTATTTACTGAAGTAATGACAGAAGCTGAGTTCAAAATTGTGTTAAATTAAGAAAGGAACAAACAAAAATTCGCTCTATTACATTGATTAATGTAATAAAACAAAACGATGTCAATTTTATAGAGATTACATAATTTACGAAAATAAACAATGTCGTATGAATCTATCAAAGTATTTCAAATTCACTGATGTAACAATATTGTAAACATAGTGTATTATATATTATTAGATTACATTTTCGAGGCACGTAGTTTATACGTAGTGTATCGCAGTATACGAGTATACAATTTTATACGAGTGCAAACCTTAGGGACCGAGGACAAAGGAAATCGATGCAAGTTGAGCCTTGCAAAAATATAATCGATAGACAAAATAGAACAATTATATACTTTGAAGTTGTTTTTAACAGAAAATATTACGTTACTTACCTTAATTATAAAAATAATTTTCATTTTAATTCCATATCTGAAGAATGGTGCAATTGCGTCGTTTTTACTGGCAGTCGAAAACAATGACGTCACAACAAATTTAATATTATGATAGCACTCACTCAACACTCGTTTTAATTTGTTATACAAAATGCTTTTTAAATTAAATAATGAATGAGGAATAAAATTATAATTAAAAATACAAAACACAACAACATACAACAGATGTTTTGAACTTTGAATGACAAACGCGCACAGTGAATATCTACTTGTTTATTTGAATGTGTGAGTTATATACATAAAAGAAATCACGAAGAAATCGAACGATATTCATATAAGTGTGCATCGGGTGAATGCTGTATTACAGCACACTACTACAAATTAACGTTTAAAAATACTCATAGACAAATTCAATGTCATTAAACTTAAGTCTATTGCCGTTACAATATTAGAAATATTTTATATGAACAAGGAATATTGAATACTAACAAAATCATTATTTTTTATTTATACAATATCACATTTTTTTTATTATTTATACCTTCCTCCCACTTCTAACCCATATTTATAATCTGTCAAAAATAATTTCTAATATCATAGAAAATATAACTCCTTTAGAAATGTAAATAATACTTTTTCAATATACAATAGTTTATTCATTTGTGTTTCGTAATATAAAATGTGGGTATTAATAATTATTCTATATGGATTTTTATTTAATATCGGAAAAACAAACTCCAATATCAAGAAGAACAACATAAAAAGCAATGTATTGATTATATTTATTGACGATATGCGGAAATTGTCAGACGAAGAATTCTATCTACCAAATATTCAAAATTTGGCGGCAAAAGGCATTACTTTTACAAATTCTTTCGCGCAGGTAAAATACTAACATTAATATTTTATTAGTAACGAAATGTATATTAACTTTAGACTACTTTCTTCTAGCAGGCGCTATGCGCACCAAGTAGAAATTCTATATTAACTGGTCGTCGGCCGGACACGTTGCGGTTATATGATTTCTATAGCTACTGGCGCGAAGTAGTTGGAAATTTTTCTACCTTTCCCCAAGTATTTAAAGAAAATGGATATGAAACGTATTCTATAGGTAAAATATTTCACCCGGGTAAAAGCTCAAACTATACCGACGATTGGCCATACAGTTGGTCAGAAATACCATATCATCCACCCTCTGAGCGATACAAAGATGCTGCAGTTTGCAAAGATCATCGGACTAAAAAAATGCAGAAAAATTTAATATGTCCTGTCACCTTGAAATCACAACCTAGTAACACATTACCTGATCTACAATCCGTAGATTTTGCTATAGATTTATTGATGAACAGGAATAGAAGCAAACCATTTTTAATGGCTGTCGGATTTCATAAACCTCACATACCATTAAAATATCCTCACAAATATATAAGTAAGTGATAATCACTTTTTTTATGTAAAAAATAATGAATAATAATGTTGTCCTGATCAATTTTAACCACGGCGCCTAATCTCACCAAGACTGACAAAACTGTACAAAAGATCTATAATATACCCAATATTATAGATCTTTTGTAAAGTTTTCACTTCAAAGTTTCAAGCGCTTACCAAGCCTTAAAACAAAAAGCAAAAGGAAAAGCTGTCACAAAACCAAACCTGTGAAGAGCTAGCGTTAAGCTCGACTTGTGTAGGTTTGCCGGGACTTGTGAGTTGTGGCCGTTCTGATCGAGTTACGATTTTTGTGCACAAATCAAAGGAAGTTTGCAGCAAACGCTTGTGATGCATCCGCACTCTTGTTTTTAATACATTTAATCATTTGTACTTATTTATTTGATTAGTTCCAAAAAATACTACCTTGCACGGTTTTTATGAATTTTTAACATGCACCATCAGCTATCTCCTTCATTGAGTTTTCCGTTTCCTTCCATTTACTTTCATTACATTTGTTTTTTTTATGTATTATTTGTATGAATATCGATGTTTGTCTTTTCTAATTTAGCCAAGCATCTGTAGAAGTTTGAAGTTCTGGCAAATACCCTACTCGGGTTTCGAACCCCGGGTCTGCAACTACGCATTCTAGCCACTATCCTTAAAAAGATAATGAATGATCAATAAGGCTAAATAATAGGTTAATTATTTCGTACGATTGATATAAAAATTTAATATTTATTTTAGGACAAGTCCCTATTAGCAAAGTGAACCCACCATATATGCCACATATGCCAAAAAATATGCCACTAGTGGCTTGGCATCCCTGGACAGATGTACGTCATAGAGATGATATAAAAAACCTTAATATTTCTTATCCATATGGAACGATGCCCTCTAAATGGACATTGAAAATACGGCAGAACTATTATGCAGCCTCCTTGTACATAGATACTTTAATAGGAAAGCTAATGAAACATATAGATCAAAGAAATACTATAGTTGTTTTAACTAGTGATCATGGTGAGATTATTTTATTACTTATAAATTTTACTCAATTTTTACTTGTAGCATTTAATAGTTGTATTAATTACATAAGTGGAATAAACTATATAACTAAATTATTTATATTTTAGGCTGGTCATTAGGAGAAAATGGTCTGTGGGCAAAGTACAGCAACTTTGATGTTGCTTTAAAAGTGCCTTTAAAAGTGCCTTTAATATTTGAGCTACCAGGAGCAGTCCCAAAATCCATATCAACGCCTGTTGAATTAATAGATATATTTCCAACTGTACTGGAACTAGCAGATTTAGATGTAGTACCAAAGTGCAAAGCCAGTGACAAATCAATCCTTTGTTTCGAGGGAAAAAGTTTGGTACCTCTTATGAAATCTAAGGTTGATTTTAATATGAAGCCATTCGCTATATCTCAATATCCAAGACCCGGCGAATATCCTAAAAGAAATTCTGATAAACCGCTTTTGAAGGACATAAAGGTCATGGGTTATAGCATCCGGACTAAAAGATATAGATACACTGAGTGGATATCTTTTAATAGTACATTATTTTCTAGGAACTGGTCTACAATTTATGGCATAGAATTATATGATCATGTCATAGATGAATATGAATCTTATAATTTACACTTAGAAACAAAATATAAACATGTAGAAAGCACATTATCTTACTTATTAAGATCACAAATTGATCCATACTATTAAAATGAGAAAATTATTATGCTAAATTAAAATACAATATGAATACTACTGGCAGATTTATAATATAATGGAATTAATAAAATTAATAAAAACTACACATCAAAACAGATGTAAAACTATCTAATACAATTATTGTACGTCCATACTAATATTATAAATGTGAAAGTGTGTTTGTTTGTCCTTCGTTCACGTCGAAACAGCGTGACGGGTGCTGTGATTTTTTGTGTGAAGTTAGTTGGAGGGCTGAAGAGTGGCATAGGCTCCTTTTCACTGCGGGAGATTATTTTATTCCCACGGGAAAACACGTTATATTACAAACCAAAAAAATATTTGTGATCAGAATTACTTGAAATTTGGTATTAATACTCTTTAATACAAATTAATAAATATGTGGTTGTGGGTGGTGTACCGCGGGTTTTGCTAGTTACTACATATAATAAACTATTTTAAGTATGTAATTTCAATATTCATAATATATAAATGCATAATTGAAAATATGTCTTTCTAAAATCTAATTGAAGATTTTATATTTTTTAATTCACAATTCATTCCATTAGATACACACACATACATACATTATATATAAGTAGCACAATGATTATAATCATAATTAACTAAATACATATACAAATTATTGCACACATAAAACATGTGAATTGTAAATTAAGTATGTACCTATCATCAAATTACGACAATAGCATTATCACTTCCAAAGTTAAAGTCTACTCCTACTTCCTTAATGGAATTAATATGGTAATTTATTAACAATAACTTTTGAAGCCAAAACAAGTCACCTATAGAATATTCTGTTTATTTTAAAAACAATAATTAAATTAATGGGTAAACATTATTATTTTCTAATCCAAATTCTCTTTTTACTTTTCTATCATATAGGCATTTCTCCCTATTGCATATAATATCTTGGGAACTGGCATCCTCTTAGCACATTAAAAATTTACAGTGTATCCATAAAAATAAAAAAATATGTAAAGATGATAAATTTTTAAATAATAAGTACTTAGAACTACAATAATAAATAAAAATTAATTTCTTATATTTACATAGTATACTCTGGAACTTTGGCATCTACCAAATAATGATCAACATCAATAAACATAATTTTATTAAATAGTATTTTTGAAGTTATACTTCTTTTGGCGCGTTATAAAAGAAAATTAAAAATGATGCAAGTGAATTTTATACGTTGCAACAGATTTAGACTACAGTATGAAGTTGGTTATAAATAGACTACTGTATGAAGTTAGTCGTTAAATCTTCCTTTAGTATAGTGTAAACGATCCAATGAAGTATAACTTCTTACGTGCATACATAAGTACACACACACATACATTTTTATTATATTATATTATAATTAGTGCATATTAAATTATACTAAGCTTTTTTGTTCTTCTGGTACAGGTTTTCGAGAATTTTCTTCCATTTCTACTTGCTTGAATCTAGCATACAATGCACTGCTAGCTAAAACAATTACATTCGATGTCCACCACAGAGTGTTCTTCGTTTCATTATACCATTGTGTTGCCATTACTGTTTGTGCACAAGCTTTTGCTGTTCCGGATATATTATGTGTTAATGGTGATGTAACCTGAAAATGTTTCATTTTTCAATTATTAAGATAGCATTGATCCTTAATAGTTAAATTGTAAAAAAATATCTTATCTTAAAAAGTAAAAATATTTTTATTAGTTCTTGTTTTTGGTTTGCTCACATACATAGTATGTTACTATGTTGATTAAAAGACAAGTCCTTTGTGTATATAAGCTACCTTAAACAATGTGGTACCTTTATTTGAAGTGATGTGACATATCCAATGGCAAATCCACAAAAACCTCCAATGACCATTTGCATCCAAAAGTGAGTGCTATGGAAGTTGGTATAATTGAGCAACACACTGACTTCTCCGTTCATTACCATTAAAGGCAAGAATAAAATAATAGAGTAAGCATTGTTGTAGTATGACAGTAACCATACTTCTTGGTTTACACTGGGTAATACTTTTTTGGTAAAAATTGAATAAAGCGATAACATCAAAGAGCCAACAACACCATATATTGTTCCAATTAGAGAAAATGAACCTGTAATTAAAAAATTAACTTGTTATTTAAAAAATATGTAAAATAATTATTTAGTAATATAATTAGTTAATATATGCTCCATAGATAATTCTTGTATATTTAATTAGTATTCAGCTCTTTTAAACATCCCGTTGCTGGGCATGGGCTTTCCATCAATAGAGGATCAGGCCATAGTCCACCACACTGGCCAAGTGCGGCTTAGAGGACTGCACATCTTTCGAAAACTTGCTAGGTTCTCTCAGATATGCAGGTTTCTTCACAATGATTTTCTTTACCATAAGACAAGTGGTAATCATATTGGAAATGATTTGCACATGAAAATATCACAGGTGCGACACCCGGGATTTGAACCTGCTTGACAGTTTCCTAAGTGAGCACATTACCACTAGGCTACCACTGTCTTACTGTTTAATTAGAATAAAAATATATTTTTAGCTAAAATTACAATTTATTTAAACTTTCAATATCATAAAAACACTAATGTAAGCTTAAAAATATATTTACCTAATAAATTTTCTTGATCAACACCCAAATAGAAACCAAAAATGATAAAACCACAGCAAAGGATACATCTATAGGATGTGGCTTGTCTCAACAGAACCCAGCTGAATATTACATTAAACACTGTTGTCAATGATCGTCCAATATAATAAAACGAAACATCAACATACTTTAAACATAGATTATTTGTTGCTATCATCAATGTAAACATAATTGATAATGGAATTACCTGCAAATAAGTAAAGGTATTTAAGTTACATGTAATTCTACTAAATAAATTTCAGCAATAAATAATTCAATATGAGTAACATAGATATTGATACATTTTGTTTTAAACTTACTTTTCCAACAACTTCTTTAGACCATGGAGTTCCTTTTGGAAAACTAAATATACCTGGAATGCCACCAGTTCTGCTTAAGGTAAAGCATATTGTGAATGAAACTATACATTGGAACCATGTAATGAATAGGGGAGCTTCTAGTGCTACAGTTTGACTGCTTAATAGGCTTTTATTTACAAATACAGTTGCAATTGATATCACCCTGAAATAAATAATTATTAAAATATGATTTTTTACTATTAATAGTAGTTTATTTGGTTATCAATATTTCTAGTTAATTATCATGCTATCACATTAATCAAAATTCTAATCTGATTGAACACAATAAAGCAATTAAGTACATATAATAGAGTACCTGACTATAATTGTATTTCGTTGTTTTAAATGTAATAAAAACTAAAGTAGGACTTAATTTAATTGTCTTAGGTAGTAATTATTAAAATATAATAGAAAAACTCACCAATAACACGACACTACGATGAATATCTTTATATATCTGGAACATAAATCTGATTGACGGTCCTTCATTTTCGTAGGATCAGATAATCGTAATAATTAAACCTGTGTTATTGTATTTATTCTATTTACTATATGCTTTTTATTATTGAACAACTACCATTGATTAAATTTATAAATACTATGATAATTATTATAAACAATAAGTGAACCACCTCATCACGACACCGGAATGTAAAATTAAATGTCAAATGCACGGATGACAAATAAAAGTCAGATGATAATAAATATTTTGACATCTGACAATATCATTATTGATATTTTTTCATTTGACAATCTATTATGTGTAGCCCTTTAAAATCCTATTAATTACTACTACAAGTTCAAAATCAATTTTCCCGGCGTTTTTTGACATGTAACACTCGTTAAAAACCGAGGCCTGCGCGTCATTTTTCCCCAATACAACCAATAAATAAAAATAAAATAAATGTCCTGTGACCTGTCTATCAAGTGATTCTTTTTACCAGTAGTTTCTTTAACGGGAGTCTTTCATACTTTAACGTGACACTGGCGAAATAATTGCATTGAAATTAAGTGATTTTCACGAGGATATCTTTAGTGGGAAATCGAAAAGGAAATGAAGAAAATGGAAAATGAGAAAGCAATGGCTAATATAATTATTTATTTAAATTTTAATTAATTTGTTTTACTTTATTATGTAAATGCTGATTTACACGTCTTTGGTTATTAAATAAACATGATATACAATTTACATAGACTTCGTTCCTAAATCCTAAGTTCCCACATTGAAAATATATTTTCTTGCTTGATTATAACACGATTGTATAATTTTGTAATGTTTATTTTGGTTATTTAATTTACTTGTACATAATTTTTCATAATAAATCTTACGCCAATTTTTTAAATCTCTTTTTAATAATACCCATTTAAAAATATTAAATTATGGTATTATTTTATTAATTTTATCCACTATCTAGTAACATTACTTGATTGTCGAAGAACCGAACACACGTTGACGTCAGTGACTTGATTATTTTTCAGACCCGACAAAATCGTTCAAGAGGTGAAATACTTTTATAAAGTTTGTACATAAATAAAAACCCCCAGTGATTCAAATATTGAAGATATATATTTTTTTAAAATGGAAGCAACTCCTGAGACTAAACCAGTAGAAACTGAGAGTCCTAGCTCTAGCATTATAAGTGAAATTCTCTATAGCCCGGTAAATTTGCTGTTAACAGTGATAATAGTTGTGCTAGTGTATAAAATAATAAGGAGCAAATTTGGAAAAACGACAGTGGAAGTGCAGTTAAGCGAGCTTCCTAAAATCCGAAAAGACATGACTGTTGCTGAACTGCGTAAATACGATGGTACTCAGGCCGATGGTAGGGTATTGGTAGCGGTAAATGGGTGGATATTCGACGCGACGCGAGGACGCCGCTTTTACGGACCCGGTGATTGCATCTGTTTATTAATAGCATGGACTTTAGTGACTCAGTGTTTATGTATTCATGATATTGTAATGCATAACACATGAACGATTTGACATACGACTTGACGAAGATTTAAGTTTAACTATTATACAATTCCTTTTCATTATCTTTAACTTCATTTCTCTTATCTTACTGCTTCTGCATTGTTTTTACTGCTTTGATTATATAATGCACATAATTGAACAAAATTAATTGCTTTATAGCAATATAATACATGTCATATCAAAATTAGTCGTTATATGAATACCTTTTTAACATTTAAGGTGGTCCATATGCTGCATTTGGAGGCAAAGATGCATCTAGAGGTCTAGCAACATTCTCTGTGACCTCATCAGACAAGGAATATGATGACCTCAGTGACCTTAACTCTATGCAGATGGAATCTGTCAAGGAATGGGAGGCACAATTTAGAGGTGGGCCTAAAAAGTCATTTTCATAAAATATTATTAACTTCAAAGCTCATATCAGCTGTGATAATAATTACTAATTTTGTAATATTTATAGATTTAGTATTCATTTATTCGATTTCTTTTTAAAACAATTATTTTGTGTATTGCGGCACATACATAAATCAAATTTCATTGATATTTGATACTAAAAGTAACTAACTAAACTAAATCAAATATGGTATACGAGTATATCCATAGCAAGTCAATAAAATATACTTTTTACTTGTCACCAAGGCTTAATTTTTTTTCTTTAAAACAAAAAATAAATAAATGTGAATATTTATACATAAACATATATACTAATATATTAAAACATAAATACTAATATATTATGCTAAAAGCACATGAATGAACAATTAAAATGTTAATGTACTACATTAATATAATTTACTACAAACAATAATTATAACACATTTTGATGATATATGCATTTTTTTAATAAAATCTATCTTATAAGTCTAATCCAAATAAGAATTAAGCCACTTAATTGAGAAATATTCTACAGAATGATTTCTAACTCAAACTTACAACATGCCCTGTTTTTATCCCTACATTTTTTAATTTGATATTTGATTATCCATAGTATTTACAAAAATATATAAAAGTTATTAAAAACTTTGTACAATACAGAATATGTCTGCATGCACCTATTCATTTCAGATAAGATAATTTGACCAAGTGAGGCCATCAGAATTTTGGTATTTACATAAGTTAATATTTATTATACTGAAAATTATCTAAAGTGATTTTAAAATATAAGTTCTGCTGACTTATGTTGTCATGGCAGCCATTCTCACTCTCTAGCTAGCCACTACACCAATAAGGCAGACAAAATATATGTTTATAAAATGTAATTGTTTTTGTGTTGTTTTGATAAACATTTATTTAAATTAATATACATATGTATTGCTTATATGGAAATTAACCTTGATTCTACACCTTGAGTAACTAGAATAAAGACAATTTGAATTTTGAAGTATTTTTTGTATATAGAGCAATAGTCAAGATTACAGTGAATGATGGTTCTAAGTGAATATAAGTAAACTATCATTAAGCAGCAGGAGCAGGAAAATTATAATTGGTCTAATGACCATCCATAAAATCAACATTGTAAAGTAATAAAGAAATACATTCCTGTTGTACATAATGTATATAATATGTTACTTATGTAATTATTGAAAAGATACTTGTATTGTATTCAGCCCTTGTTTTTTTAACGTCCCACTGCTGGGCACGGGCCTCTCTTCAATACGAGGGGGATCAGGCCCTAGTCCACCACGCTAGCCAAGTGCGGGTTGGCGGACTTCACATGTCTTTCGAAAACTTGAGAGAACCTATCTCTCAGACATGCAGGTTTCCTCACGATGTTTTCCTTCACCGTAAGGCAAGCGGTAATCATATTAGAAATGATTCGCACATGAAAATATCAGAGGTGCGAGACCCGGGATTTGAACCCGCTTCACTCGGTGTCCCAAGCGAGCGTGTTACCACTGGGCTACCACTGCCTTCTGAAAAGATACATAATAATTATATTTGAAATTTAATTAATATAGGAAATTATAATGTTTGAATCACAATTATATTTTATAAACATAAATTATATGACCCATGACAATATTATTCTATTTAGTTTGTGTAACTCATTCATATATAGGAGCTAAAATTCATTAATTTTAAAGAGTAAATAAAACTTATATGTATATTATGATTTAATTTCAAGTTAAAGGTACAAGTTTCATTGAAATTCGTTTGAAGACAACTTTCGAAAACTGTTAAACTTGTTAATATAGCTACAATTAACGCAAATATTTCTTTTTTTTTTTAATCTTTACCAACAGATACTTTTTTTTTTAATTCTATTATATATACACATATTTTATACTTCAATAAGCTCTAGCCCATTTGTGCCAATATCGTGTATCATATACGCGTATTAGTTTGTATTCTTTTCTTGGTTTACATTCAATAATACATACTTAGCTTTTAGTTCTATTTTTTGCATACAAAAGATTTCTTTTTATTTTCTGATCGTAAACAATATCCAGTTTCACATATAGAATAACCTCAGCCTTTTTTGTGTTACTGTAGAAAATATTAATAATACACGTATTACGTATAAGAACTCGATATGGTATGTTCAATTGCGACGCGTCTGACATCGTATGATCATGCCAGGCTGCAATAAAATTCAAGCGTACTTCCGCGTTATAACATCTATTATATTCAAATTAATGTTTGTGCTCAAAAATTAACTACAAAAATTAGGAAACGTGAATTCATCACGGTTAATGAGATATAAATATGAAATTAAATCCAAAGGCGGTACTAAGTGAAAGGTTTTTTATGAACCACTTATGATTTAGGGCAAATATACTGATTGCCTTCACTCGTGATGTTGTTAAACAGGGCCGGTACTGAAGTTATAAATCGACGAAACATTTAAAAAAATATTTAATTTGTTAAAATAAGCCACGCTAAAAGTACAAACAATTTTTTTGGTTTGTATTATAACGTGTTTTCACGGGGAAAGAAATCAACCCTCCAACTCCCTCCACACAAAAAATCACGCCAATCCGTCACTATTTCGACGTGAAAGAAGGACAAACAAACATACTCTACATTTATAATATTAGTATGGATATTCTTTCCGTATATGATATTCCATAAATATATGATTGTAAAATGCCTAATATGCCTTATTTAATCATTTGAGATAGAATACATTACACGGGAAGTGAAAAATAATAAAATTAATTACTGAATAATATGTATGTATATTTATGTCAAATAAAATGTAAAATAACTTTTAAACTTGGTAAAATATTATAAAAAAATAAACCTTATAGAAATTATCCTACTCCTGATATTCTATATTCATCTCATTCTCTCGTAGGTTACTTTTCTGAAGTTTCACTTCTACCATGTGTGAATAGCACACACACGCCCTTTTTTTGTTATTATTTTGCTTCGCTATAATATAAATACTTAGTACATTTTTCCACTATTATTTTTACTTATATCGGTAATATTAAAAATCCATTGAAATGTTTTACTTTGGAAAGTAATTATTGGAGCTTCCCTCATCATCCATTTTTATTATCTCATCTAATATCGGAACTTACCGTCGTAGCATCATTTAAATAAACCTGCCAAGCGGGAGTCGGACTCGCGCCTGAAGGGTTCCGTACTATTATGTATAAAAACGGCAAAAAAAATCATGTCTGTTGAAAACTGTGAAAATTTCAACTATCACGGTTCATGAGATACAGCTTAGTGACAAATGGACGGACAGCGGAGTCTTAGTAATAGGATCCTGTTTTACCCTTTAGGTACGGAACCCTAAAAACATTATTTTGAACTGGGCTCAGTATAGTAAAGGAGAAAAAAGAGAAGAGAAAAACGGATTTTAAAAATGTTTCTGCTTGATATATGTACATATACGTACATATAATTATTGTACAGAATTTGACAAAATTCTATGAACCAGACAGGCTTACGAATAGATAGAAGCTTATTAAATTGCCTATTTGGTTTCTATGACACGGAATAACAAAACCGGTCTCAAAAGTATTAAAATTAAAATCTGTCAAAAAAAAAAACTTATAATTAAATTCTAAATATTTCAGAGAAGTACGATCTCGTCGGTAAACTATTGAAGCCTGGGGAGGAACCGACGAATTACTCTGATGAGGAAACCGAAGAAACCGACTCGACCAGCCCCGACGACAAGAAGGAACAATAAAATTTATCTATCCGTAACCAACGTTTATCAAACAAATATAGTAAAAATATATCAATCAAGTATTTTACATTTATTATGTTGGGAGTTTATTCTATATTTTTCCCCTAAAACATTCATCTTTTGAAAGATTTGATCGTTTAAACTTTTCTGTTCAACCACAGGAGTTTATTTTCCCTAAGAAATGTTAATTTTTTTTAATAGTCGACATCAATAAAGCACATTTATTGATAGTTATATTTTTAATGAGTTTCACGATACACTGTCTAGAATATTATGTAAAACATGGTACTTATACATAAATATATTTTTATGAAATATATTTGTTTGGTGAAAATGGTATTGTTACTTAATGGAAAGGATTGTCTTAAAAGTTTTTAACTCTTGTTCCGTCCTGCTTTGATACAAACGGTAACTCAAAAATTGTACTAACGCGTTGTAAAGCTTTTGTTAGAAATGAAATGGAGTGGCTGTGCTAAGTAATTTTTATTTTTAATTTATGATTTTATAGATAAAATCAATTTTTATTTTTTAATTTATGATTTTATAGATTAAATCAATTCACAGAAATAACATAACATCAGTATTATTAAAATAAAAATAAATATGCGCGTGAAAATACTTGAAAATTATTAAGTGTTGCTTCATTAACATCGTTACATGGGATTTCATTAGCGTATTCCGATGAAAGACGAGTAGAATCAGATAGACGATTTCTTTGTGTTTCAAGTAAAAAAAAACACATTTATATTATTGATACAAGAATAATTTTTTTACGTATATTTTGTGTATTATACACGAAATTATATCAGATAAACTTAGCTTTGCCTTTTCATGATAACTGTTCCATACACAAGATAAGATTATTGATTGAATAACATTACTTAGTGCACTGTACTCTGTTTTTAATTATTAACGTGGTCGCCGCGACGTTGGGAATTAATGAAAATTATATAATTAAATATTTATATACGATAATAAATTTATAACTTTTTCGTTTCCTTTACATTTTATATTACTTTGTATTAATTAACATTTTAATCCCAAAACTAATCACTAATCAAATAAGACAGATACTGTACATTAAATATTCTTTGGAAAATCTGATTAAAATAGTCATTATTGTCGATACAGAGGCCGAATCTATAGTTTTTAGAATGTTTGTCTGTCTGTCTGTTACCGCATCGCGAGGAAACTACTGGATAGATTTTGATGAAATTTGGTATGGTGATAGCTGGTTATCCGGGTCAACATATCGGATACTTTTTACTGCGGGAAAATACTTTATCTTTGAGAAATGTATAGAAAATGTTAAAACGTAAGTAGAGACGAACCCGAGCGAAGCGAGGGTGTCGCTAGTATTGTAATATAATTTTTTTAAACAGTTTTTGATTTGCCGTTTCGTGTAACCAGCAGGGCTTATAACGCTTTATTTTACAATAGACAACTCGTGGCCACTTGCTAAGGTTTTATGTAAAACACTGTTCAAAGAATTATAATATATAATATGTTTTCTAATGTGATATAAATATCCAGTAAATACCTGTATGTATATATACAATCGTTAGGAAATTATTTTTACACTATTAACCATGTACGTAACGAATTTCATGAAAATTATTAAGAATATAATATAAAGTCGAGTAAATGCTATATATAAAAATTATTTTATATAAACCTTAAATACGTGAGGCCTCGGTGACCATTGTAAATCAAGTTTACTACAGCTTTATTAAAATCTGTATATGTATACTAAATTATATTATATTGTAACTAATAGAAATGGACGATTACGAGTGATTGCTTGATTCTTTAAATCGAATCAAATTAATATTTAATACAGTCGTCTATTTAGAAATTCAGTCTAATGCTGTCTTTCAACGTTATCGATTTTGAGACATGCGATTAATCAAAAAGAATTCCGATCACTCATAATCGCCCCCTCTGTCTGCAGATTTATGAATTGAAAGACTGAGATGGCAATATAGGTTGATATCGTCAAGGGATTTGGACAAAATCGATAATAGCACATTCCTAGTTCAATCGGATTGTTAAAATTGTATCAACTTATTACTAACTGCCATTTTGTTGTGTTATTATTATTTGCATTTATCGCGTGTCGTTTCCTACAGTGTTCATTTCATATGAAATTCATATATGAATTTTTATAAAATTCATTTTGTTAATTACCTTCAAGTTTAGGTTAATTCATTAAGTATATATTCTTTTATTTTCCATATTTTCGAACGATACTGATTTACTCAATTAACGAACGACTGTATCTCGAAACCACCTATTGCTCGGTACTTAACGTAAGTTAATTAATATCGTATAATATAAAATATCTGTGGCAAGGAAAAAAAATACAAAAATATGGAAATGTGCATAATAAAATTGTTAAATGTTGATACTTTAGTTATATTTCGATCCGTGGTTGGTGTGTGTGATGTCAATGAATTTGTTCTCCCCCTTTTAGTTCCTATGCAGCCTGAGCAAAATAGCGCAGTACTTTATGGTTGGGTACTTATTAGAGAGTGGTAATGATAAGAATATGGCTTTTATATTTTTAGGCATATATTTTCTAACATTTTCTATCTATTTTATATTAATTTTTATAACAACATTTTTTACAAAATTTTTGTGTTTAAATAAATTCTTTAATTTTATAGTGATGTGCTGCGTTGTTTTCGCATCAAATCGTCCTGAAAATAGCAGATAACTTGTGATCCAAGTTATTTTATTTAACGTTTTCCATAAGTACTTATAGAAACTAGTCAAAGATCTCTTATTCTATCGACTTAAAATTGAAATTTAAAATTATTATTATTAAAAATTAAAAAAAGATTAAATTATATTGAATTTCAATGTAATTTTAATTTTCCGCCTAGTGTCTTTCATATTCATAAGACTAATAAAAAAAATAACAAACGTGTCGAACATTTGTGAATACAGATAAAATATATGCACTTATCAATACCACTTTCTATTAAAAAAAAATTATTCAATGTTGTAATATAATTATTGTTTTTTTTTTTATTTAGCGTTTATGTTGTATGCGAATAATATAGCTGTGGCGGGGAATGGAAAAATTATTGTTAATAATAGGTGGCTATTTATAAGCTTTGTTTTAAGTTGGGAAACTCTGAATATACTTTTTTATCACTGGACGAATGCTTTTATTAGATGGTTTGCTTATCATTTTGTTTACACTATGTTTTATTATTTTTTTATCTGTATCATAAAGTGAGTTTAGTTATCTGTTCCAGGGATGTGCAAAAATTTTTTGGGTTTTAAATTTAAAAGCTTCATGTTTGAAATTTAAAAAATAATATGTCTGCTGTTATTATTATATGTGGATATTTTTCTATTAAATATTTGCACACTCCAAATAAAAAAAAAACTTACTTTTTTATATAGTAAAAAGTAGTTGATTTATCAGGAATATGTTTTTAAATTATATATTTTTTTATTATCTGTTCTGAACAGTCGCCTGAGGTATTAAAATAACGCGGTAAATATCTCACAACATTTAATTAATTATTGTTTTTATTATGTTTCTTATTGATTTAAGTAAAAATTTACACAATTTTTTTTAACTTTTTATAGTTTTCTCAGACTGCTTCAATATTAGTATGGATGGCTATATTTAATTAACTTTAACTTTTTTATTTATTATCTTTGCACTGGAGCTAACTTAATGCATTAAGGTCCTTGTATACAACTAACAGCACATCGAAATGTTCAATAGATCGATATATGATTGCATCTGTAACATTGCCATTTTAATTTAATTATAGTGTTTTCTCAATATTTTGTTTTATTTCATATTTTTATCTTTTAAGATTATATGATTTTAAAAAGCATGTGTTCTAGTGATTTATTGATAGCTGCCATGAACATCTTGATATTGTACTTATTAATTCCTATACAAAAGTCTGCTTTCACGTTTCATATTAATATCTGAAATAAAGTCACTTTTAAATAATTTTTACGAAGAGTACAAACCGAATCAATCTACATAGTTATGGTAATCTTCGTAGGTTTTTAGTGTTTTTTTTTTAATATATGTGTATATGTAGATATATAATAAATCTATATTTTGCTTTAGCAGAACGCCTTAGAGATTAGGTAAAGCATTCTTGGCTATATATTTACGTCTACTTCTGCAGTCTAAACTACTTGGGATTTGAAAATGTCTTAACAGTGAACGAGCGACGTAAAATAAGGTAGGTATATAATAAAAAAATAAATATAAATATGTTGGGACATTAACACACAGCAGCATAATTCCATGGTAAGCTACGAGGCTTGTGTTATGGATACCAGACAGCTGGTACACTACATATATATACATACATATTATAAATATAAACACCCATGAAAGGAGTACAAGCGGGACTCAAACCCGCGACCACTGGCGCAGCAAGTAAAGTCGCTACAAACGTGTCGTCAATATCTAAATTAAAGAGGGGATAGAAAATGAGAAAATATTTCTTAATTTTAACATCGTAGCTATTATATGAGAGTAAAATTTAAATAGACATCCCAAGAAGTTTAAAGACTTACAGTAGACTAGCGTTGCCCGCGGCTCCGCCCGCGTTCAGATGACCCAAAACAAAATTCTTAGATTTTACATATTAGTACATATTATACTCTTATATTATAGTTTTTGTGTTTTTTCTCAGAAATGAGATATTTTCCGACGGTAAAAAGTATCCTATATGTTGACCCGGATAACCAGCTATCACCATACCAAATTTCATCAAAATCCTTCCAGTAGTTTTTCTGTGATGCGGTAACAGACAGACAGACAAAAATTCTAAAAACTATGGATTCAGCCTCATTATCGATAATAATGTTTATTTCAAGATTTCTGATTTTTTTTTTGTTTATTTCAGATTTTCCAAAAAATATTTAATGTACAGATTCGGCTTATTTACAATTTTATTATATGTATAGACTTATATTATGGTACTCAACAGAGTGCAAGGTATCCCCTCTTATGTTAATGTGTCGCGCTTGAGTAAATACAAAAATCCCCTCTTGGGCCCCTATAAAACGCGACTACGTGTAAAATCGCACTTGAAAATATTTATTTAAATACAGTACTTTGTCCTCTTGAGGATGCCATATTGAATTTAGTGTGACGTCACGTAACTCTTAATCAGCAGAGTATTAGACGCTTCTAACGACATCCCATTTGTTAAATTATGATAGGTAGATAAGAAGATCCCATCAAAAATATAAATGTGAAAATAGGAGCCAAGTTCAATATTAGGAATATGGTAGTGGTTGTCAACTTCACCGACGAAAGGATTGAGATCTAAATGGGTGCCAAGTTCTGTACATAATCCTGAATTTTTTTCATAAGAACATACAACATTCTTAAATAAATTCTAAACACAATTTCTTGTTTTTTTTTTCTGTTATTAAGGTGTTTGCCATTTAAAAATAGAACTTCTTAAATTTGTATAGTCGAATTATTTACACAGAGTAGATAATTTAGGATTAATTGAAGTTCAAGGTTTGGCTTGGCTAGTTTTTACCATGTTATCGTGTAGTGAAGTGTGTAACGTCTTTACACCAAAAATAAGAATTTAAAATGGCACGTCTGAAGCATGCCTACTACATCCTAAGACAGTTGTAAATGCGTGACATTTAACGACAAGAATAGTTAAACGTAAATTGTCGTAAGTGAGGGAGGGTAATTGGTGTCAGTTAAGTGGGATCGTAAAATGCCGCTGCTTGGTGGTACCTAGGCACGAAAAGGAAGGTATCACTACATGCGCGGTAACAGATTCACAGTCTTATTATAAATATAGCACATACAAAATTACATAGGCATCAAAGGACATATCCGAACAAAACGAGGGTAATTCGCTAGTGTATGTATAAAATAAAGTCCTCTGTGAATGCCCGTTCTTTAGTTTGGCGGTAATCTGGTGGCGTCCCTATCTCCCAAACAGTATACTTACGTATGTAAATAATTATCGTACATGCATAGACGTCAAACACATAACCCTCCTTTTTCCGTCGCCACGGTTGAGTAAACAAGTTATTGGCTAACGTAAAAAAAACAAGTTATAAGTAAAAAATAAGAATCCGTTATCGTCATATTTAGTAATAGGCATACTTAAATTCTACACAATAATTCATCATTTATTAAACCAAGGTTAAACTACTTTAAAGGTCGCACGGCATATATGTACTCGTATGTAGTAATAACTGACGCCATGTCTATAATAAAATCTATTCTGTCTTTATAGAATTCGCATCTCTGCACAGTGGGCCTTGCTGGTCACTCTTGTTGCCAGCTCACACTCAGGGAATCACGGCGATACATTTACTGCAGCTTGCAGGTGGTCTTAGGTTTGAGTACAGGACTGACCAAAACCTTACTTATTATTTAATATCACAAGAAATTCATTGTAAAATTCTGGACTTAGGAAGTGTATTTTCAGTAGTACAGTATTTAGTTATTGGTTAATTATATTTTATTTATATTTGTTTTGTATTTATTATATGTTTGTATGATACATATTATGACCATATTTATAAATACATATATATTTAATTTAATATATGTATTTTATATTATCTCTATATTTACTATTCGCCTCCTTCTATCTTAGTACTATTTCCTACACCTAAAGTTTGACTGGAAGAGATCGCTCTTTTAGCGATATGGCCTACTATTGCACATTCTCCTATATTCTGTATATTTTCTTATCTTTTTGATTGTACAAAAAAGGGTTATTATTATTATATATTCTTATCTACTGCACAAGTATATCGATTACGATAATTACATTGTGAAATATCAATCTATCCATTTAATATGATGGTCTTTTTCCTTATAGTAAGAAAACATGATATCATCCCTTAAGGGGTTGGGGCACAGATCCACAATCTGATATGGAAATTGGAATATACTTATGTGGTTTACATTTGAGACCCACAACACTTTCTGCTAAAATTAACAATTAAAATGATAGTTACTAAAATGTACTTATTTTAAGTGCGTGTTATTATACGAGCTTTCAAAGAAATAAAAATATATTCATAGCACACAAAACATAGACCTTGTTCGAACTTCGAAGAAAGATAATTAATTACATTAATAACAAATTATTTCCTAGATGTTTGTATTCTATTTCAATTTTTTGGTTATAATGACATGACGACACGTTTGGCTCACTTTGCAGTGACCCTACTTGCTGTGCAAGCGGTCGCGGGTTTAAGTCTTGATATGGGCTTTCATTTGTGTGATGAGCATGTATGTACTCCAGTCATGAGTGTTTATATTTATAATATGTATGTATATAAAGTTATATATATGTAGTGTATCAACTATTTAGTATCCATAATACAAACCTCGCAGCTTACCATGGAAGTAGATGGTGCTGTGTATTAATGTCCCATTATATATATTTATCATATTATTACCTAACTAGCGACTCACCCTTGTTTCGCTCGGGTTCGCCCATAGGTTGATTCCCATACAAACTTTCATCCCCATTTCCAACCCCTTAAGGGATGATTTCCGGGATCAGTATCCTATGTCCTCCCAAGGGTCTCAAACTATCTTCTTACCAAATTTCATTTAAATCGGTTTAGTAGATCCATAGATTACCCCCTACAACGTCACAAACTCACAAACTTTACCTCTTTATAATATTAGTATAGATAGTATAGATAAGGACATACATACATACATGATACTTATATTATTATCGATGTTTTTATGAGGTATCGATCTATAGTGACGAAGGGGGGACGATAGTTGAAGTACTAATCGAAGATAAATATTGCATTCGACAGTTTAGTATAATTTGTAATTTTTAACCAAAACAATATTAATATTTCCCAACATGTTATCACCTGCGATTGTCGATTGCTTGATGCACCGTAATGAGCACAGAGCAATGGGTTAAAGTCCGCGTTATTTATCGTAATTATGTGGTAATTATTAAAGTACTGTCAGTCGAAATTATGTCATTTTCGGTCTTATTAAATTTTATATGAATTTATTCATGAACCACGTATGAATATTGTCTGTTAATCATTAACAAGCTATAATGCAGAATTAATGAAAATAAATGAAAAATAATATAGGTATTTTAAATTTTAAAACAATTAAGATATTTATTATAATTATAGACGATTAATTATCAGTTACGCAAAAGCGCGAAGAAGCACATAACATTTGAATAAATAAACGCAGTACGAGTATTTAAAGAAATAGCAAAGTTCTAACTACGCACTGGTGTTTAATGAATATTTAATAGTATTCTAGCGATGTGTATAGAGACGATAACACTATGATTTAGTGATAAAAAATGAAGATTTTATTCATTGTTCGGGCAAAATAACAGTAGAATAATTTATTGCATAATATATCTACCAATCAAATACGTCCGGACAATCATGTCACCTTGTGAGCGCACACTGCCGCGTTGTGCGCAGACAGTTCAAGATTAATCTTTAAAACATTATCTCGTTTTATTTGCAAATGCCGTATGATGTTAAATAAATACTGGTATTAAATTCAATATAAATATAATAAAACATAAAGACACTACTCACACTTACATACTAAATTAATAGCGACCCTTTCATATAAACACAACACTATTTTACATTTCCCAAAAGTGTATACCTACGAGGATTTCTGCTGGTGTCACACCAATTATCCACAAATTTTTGCTACAGTTCCATTAAACGAATAAGTATGTATATAACACAGTCACCACCAGCCCTAAAAGCACAGGGAATTTCCACGAGCTCAAAAAACTACCATCGTTCTTCTCGGAACCAATAGCCTGCCAATTGATGTTATGTTTTTTCAACTCCACTTTGTCTTCATCCACGACTTCCCCAATGCAAAATTTCTTCATCATCTCTTTCGCATCGGTGCTGTGTCCAACATCGTCGAAATCCTCACTGGCATCCTTGCCAGCAACGTTCAGCAACACCTCATGCCCCCCTGGATGATCATCCAGAAATTTTGTGATATCGTACACTTCATTATCTATTACAAATACTGCGTCTATAGATGAGTTTCTCGTTTCGATTTCCTTCCGTGTAAATAATTTTTTGTCAGACATTTCGGCGCTGCGTAGATTGTATTTACTTTTTTTTTCTACGATTTTGTGCTACGCTCGTGACAAGCGGTGTCTGACGTTATAGGAAATTGAATGATCAATGAACCAAGAACCAGCCGCCTGTCCCCTCCAGTTGTCAGACTCGTTATCGCAGGCGCAGCGTGTATACTATTAACTATGTAAATATATAGTAAATGTGAAGTATAATGTATGAAGATGGCACCGACTACGCTTGTATAGGAGACTGTAGTGTAGTGTCGACTCGTTTAAAATAAACGCTATAAAAATTGAAATTTAAAGTTTTTGTTGTATGCAAATCAGACAAAACGACGTATTGTATTCATATGAGAACTGAGTTATATCTATTATATTATATATTTAAAACAAAATTATATTTTTTATATATTAATAAAATGACGGTTGCGCAATAGTTGCCCGATTAAAACTATTTACTGCGTCAGAAGTCGCGGGTTCGATCCAAACTAAAATGTAAAATCATACATGCCATAATGCTAACCTAGGTTTAATCAACCAACGTCCGACACCTTCCATGTGTTCACCTTGTCGTCGTGGAGGTGGTGGGATGGTGGCGGGGACTCCCTATGAAGACAAAGGAGGTTCTGTTGGGTTTTAGTAGGAGTACTGGCTTTTCCTGTATACTGGCTTCTAACCGGTGAGTCCCACATCACCACCTGTATTTATGCAGGTGGTATGCGTAAATATATTTCCCATTATAGTAAAAAAACAAGAAAATTTAAATTTACCAACGCCCGAAGCAATTAATTTAACAACCAGCCCCTAGAATAACGTGGAGCGACATAAGCGGCAATTGGACAACACTTTTCTTCCAATGAATCTATAGATAAATTTTCAGGTATGATGATATTCTTAGTCAAATTAATTGAACCCGCCAGTCGAATGTGTTAAATTGTATTAAAATTTTATTCATTAGTATAGCAATTCATTAATATGTAACTTTCATGAGTGCGCGGTATTGCGCCAATGTCACGTTCTAGAATGGAGGATTGTAAAAGGAAATAAAAGTAGGAACTTAAATAAGATAACGATAATATTAAAACGCGTATATATGTATATATGTACATTGAAACATAATTATTAGAAATAATTGTTTAGTAAACAATAATCATTTTACAAAGTTGTCTATAATCTAAATTCATTTAACTTAATATATTTACATTTAGCCTAAACACAAACATTTACAAACAATTAACATTAATAGGATGTGGGAGATTTACAATATTGAAAAACTCCAATAGAATCTCATAGAAAGCGACAAAAGCCACATACATAGAAACCAATAAACTTTTGATGAGATCCTATAGGAGTTTTTAAATAAGGTAAGCGGAAGAACATCATAGGTAAATGAAGGATTCTAGGACATTCAGAGGCTGCAGTCAGTACCTTCGAGACCACATTCACACACAGAATGGAACGGTCTCCTTGACCCTGTTCTTAGTGTATTAAAGTACCACCACTTTGGTATATACAAAATATGTTATTGAATAAATAATGGAAGAGGCATTCTTTCTCTACACAGATCTCAATTTTTCCAATTTTAAAAGACAGAACCCAGATATGAAATTTTCAAAATTATTCTCTTTAGTGATTTTTGATTTGATATCGGTTTAATTTTTAATTAAGGTTTAAGCCTAAATCTTTTAAGCTAATTAATAGTTTGGTACTGACTTTCGTTTTAATTTAGTTTATTTATGTATTGATAACGTGCATTCCCAACTTTTTTAAAATATATATATATATATATATATATATATATATATATATATATATATTCCTGCACTTGGACGCTTATATTATCTATTGATACAAAAACTTAGCGTTTAGAGATAAAAAATCTGTCATAAAAGTAATGAAGGAAGTAAAGGGCTCAAGGCGAGCGAAAAGGACAACATAAAATTTTATCCATTACTTATAATATTATGAGACAAATTAAGTTCTATTTTTGGCGAATTAAATATTATTTTGAAATAAATATTATTATGTCATTTTTATTTAAATTAAAACATTATATTCATCGTTGAATTATTCCAATTTTTTACGGAACTTATTAATGAGTCTACGATAATTTGGATTTGATTTTAAAATTTCGCCAATTTAATTTAAAAACCTTTTTATAATGGTATATCGTTTTTACCAGGAATAAAGAAAAATATTAATAAATGATTTTATATTTGTAGTGTTTATATAAAATTAAAAACAGAACTCGTCACAATTTAATCAGCGAGCACTACTTTTTGCCACTAGGTTTATTGTAAATTATACCTAGGTTCACTTGACTAACTTCCGCTATTTTATATCTCTTCTTACATATAAAAATGAATCGCTAAATGTGTTGCTAAGCGCAAAACTTGAAAACGGTTGGACCAATGCGGCATTTTTTTTTAAATATTTGTTAAAGTCCAAGGAAGGTTCTTATGAAGAAAAATTTGGAAAAAATCATGGAAAAATATAAAAACACTATTTTTCTTATCGGGTCTACTACACACTTGATTTGACAGAACAAGGTCTGTCAGGTCTGCTATTACATAATAAAAACAAAATTCTATTGATAGATATTCTAATTCATGGAGCATCGCTTCTCTCATTCTCATATCTGTTATTTAGTATATTCAGTAATAATTTTTAGAAATGTAGTTTATTGTTGGTTATCGGTTAAATCACAGCGTTTTAAAACCCAGTGCGGGGTCCAAAAATACAATGTTAAATATTTCAATTACTTTGATGAAAACCTTAGACAAAAGCCGTAGGTACAAAAGTCTAGCCAATTCTTTACACATTCATTTGACTGCAGATAATATGAAGTAGTTCCAAGTCTTAGTTTTCCCTATGACCATTCTAACTTCTAACTAAAATATGTAAAATTTGACAAAAAATATTTCGCATTTCAATAAGTGTCCGACTTTGCCACCGTAGTTAACTTATGAAATGTAAACAGCGCCATCTATGAATATGCATTACAAACTCAGTACTTAATCACTGATTAATGATTATTTAATCATCATTCAAAATATGGAAAATTGGTTTATACATCCTTTTTATAATTAATACCAGACTATACCTTAGGATTTTAATTTTTGGGATCTATTTTTTCTATTATTGATCTGTTAGCAATTTTGAACTTCTCTTTGTTCCTGATGAGACTATGAAAGCACCTAGAACAGGAAGCTATATTTATTTTAAGGTCTAGGATGATGTAAGAATAACTTTTTGTAAAATTATTCTATTTCAGACTTTTCTGTAGTATACAAACGTATCCCAAAAATAAATTTAAATAAATAAAAAAAAAACAAGTAAACTTTGACCATGTAACAAATTTATTAAATGCCTATACATTATACTTTTGTTGCTAAAATATTTTACTTCGAGAATTATTTAAAATCTAGCTTATGTGTCATTTACATTTCAAGGGGTGCAACAATAGAAACAACAATGTATAATCATCACATAATTATATTATAAAATGATTTAATTACAATAAACAGAATAAGTATCATAATGTACCTACACTACGAACAACTTACATTACGCAAAAGCGGACAGGATGTACTCTCATATTTACATTTGTACATTGAGCGCTCGTTCGTTCATCGTAATACTAATACGTACGTCCTTCGCGTCGCTAACGTATCGTCGACAATAAATAGTGCGGGGCGCGGGGAGCGCGGGGCGAGCGCGGGGGCGCGGGGCCGCGTTAGCTTATATGTTACAGGGCGACCGGGCGCGCCGCGGCTATGTACACTACAACTGCTCCACGAACTTGGTGAGTTGGTCCTGCGGCGTCATCGGCGGCAGCTGGTCGTCGGGCGGCGCGTGCTGCGCGGGCGTCGCCGGCGACTGGCGCATCATCAGCAGCTCGGAGGGCGTGGGCGGGCGCGGCGAGGGCGTGGCGGGCGGCGAGCGCTGCAGCACGCCCGACCCCACGGCGCCCACGCCCACGCCGCCGCCCGGGAAGTAGCGCGCGGCGAGCCGCGGCGCCGTGTTGGCGCCCGCGTACGCGCCACGGATGCCCATCATGCCGCCCGCCGGTCCGCCCTTGAACCAGCCGGGCGCTCCCGACGACATGCCGCCCACTCCGCCCACACCGCCGACTCCACCCACGCCGCCGAGCCCCACGCCCGACACGTTGCTCACGTTCCCGCCTACGACACCAGACACGCCTAATCCCTGTATCGAACAACAATCATCATTAAAATTGCTTCCAATAAAGCGAACGTATAAGTAGTTATTACTATTAGAGTGATAATTATTTTCATTATGCTCTTAATACAGAAGAATAATACGATTAAACTGATCAAATGGAATTAAAAGAAAGAGGTGAAAAACTCTTTATATATAGTAATATGTTTTACTGCCAAATTAATTAAGTATATATGTTCTGTTGGATTCGTATCTCATATTAAGTCTAGCAATAAACCCTATTTTACTTTAGTCTATAGACAATCAATATCAAAAAATATAGTGTTTTATTTAGATATTTAAATTAAGATGAATTACTAAATATAAATAATAATTAATCAAAAACCGTGCGTACTGGTGTCTGTTGCGGTATCATCTGGTGCATCTGCTGCAACCGCTGTTGCTGCGGCTGCATCATGTGCTGTAGTTGCTGCTGCTGCTGTGGCACGGCGCCGAGGCCGACGTTCACATTGCCCACGCCGACGTTGCCAACGTTGCCCACGTTGCCCACGCCGACGCCTACGTTGCCGACCGGCACGCCGCTGCCGGCTTGTTGCTGATTTTGATTCTGTGCATCGTGAAAAACATTTTTAATGGCGTTCTGGTTGGTATTTAAAGTAGGGATAGTTTATTTTAGCCGTTGTCTTAACTAGATATGTAATTTAATACAATAAGAAACGATCGATTATAAGAGATAGATATAGAAACAAAATTACTTAAAAGGGGTGGCAAGAGATTAACATTCTCACATGTATAAACTTGATAGCCTTTAAGAGGCCAAAGATTATAACGAAATATTCGTCTCCAACAAATTTATACGTACGTAGGTAGTAGGCAGCTATACGTAACAATAATAACTTAACACAAACGTTTATTAAAACATTTAGCCATTGGACAGTTACCAATTGAAAACAGGTCAAGTGCGAGTCGGACTCGCACACGAAGGGTTCCGTAACTCGAGATATTATTAAATTATATATTTTTTTCTAATTTGTATGGCGGCCATTTTGAAATTGCCCATGTTGGATTTTTTTTCATTTTCGTATATTGTTAATATTATTATTAATAGAACTGAACACGCTGACCGATACCAGGATGATTTTTTTGTAATTTGCATGGCGGCCATTTTGAAATTCGTAATCTTGTTTTTTTTTTTAATTTGTTGTTATATCAGCAATAGAGATACACACTTTGTGAAATTTTCAACTCTCTACCTTATGTTCACGAGATACCGCAGATAGACAGATGGACGGACAGCGGAGGTTTAGTAATAGGGTCCCGTTGGCACCTTTCGGGTATGGTACCCTAAAAAGAAACACTAACAATTTCCCAATGGGCTCTTACTGACTGAGATTTATTTAATAGAAAAACTCAGTAATTAAATTGGCTACACCCGGGACCCGAGCCCAGGACCTATGGATTTACAGCCATATAGTAATAATATATATAAGATATATAAGTATAGTTGCAAGCACTCACCTGTGCCCGTTGCTTGATAAAAGCTGCCATGAGTGGCGGGTTTGACTTCAGTATCTGCAGTATCTCCTGCTGCTGGTTGTGGCTGGTGGGCGAGCGCAGCGTCGCCATCAGCTGCTGGAGTGCCTTCTGGTGCATGGGGGGTTGTTGTTGTTGCTGCGGCGCTCCGGCTCGTTGCTACACATAGAAATATAATAAGTCTCGCATAGAAGTAAGAAATTATCACATCGAAGTAATTCTGAAAATTTTTAATTCTTTATTCCGATACAAATGTTTTTACTATCAGTAACCTATTATGATTTTATTTGAAGTAGTAAAAAATCCGGTCGTGAGTTGCTTGATCGGCGTGCGCTGCTTAAACAATAAAAAAGGCAAAAAAACACTAAGGGATGCGCCTGAGCAAAGCGAGGGTAAGTCGATAGTTAATTCACAAAGTGACTTAAGATTATATGTACATATATTAAATTGATATTGATAGTATAACTCATCAGTGAATTTTTCGTTTCGTTTATGATATTAGATTATAAGCAATTGCTATTACTTTAATTTACTAATTTTTTAAAAGTACGTTGACTGTCTATTTACATATTATTTACATAATAATATAAAATGGAACGAATTTCAGCAATGCAAATGAAGAGTATATTTTACTATAGTTCATTCGCGTTAAGATAAAATTATAAAATCATATTTCACAATGACCAGTTAAAGGCAGACTTGAAAATATATTATTAATGACTTTATTTTGATAGAAAATTATGTTCATTAATTACCTCAAATCAAAATAAAGTCATTATCATTATATGATGACTTTATTTTGATTTAAGGTAATTAAGTTCATTAATTATCTCAAATCAATATAAAGTCATTATCATTATATGATGACTTTATTTTGATTTAAGATAATTAAGATGATTAATTATCTCAAATCAAAATAGTTATTATCATCTCAAATCAAGATTTGAGATAAGATAATCAAGTTGATTTTTGTGTAATAAACTTAATCTTTTGAAAAATTGAATTTGTATTGAAGTTTTACTTTACACTTTGTACACACTATACACCTTTACCAGTCGTTACACTTGATGACTCACTATTTTCTTAACGCGAATGGACTATAATACTAATATATAATGTATTTCAAACACAAACGTACCTGTATAGCGGCCGGGTTGTGCTGCGCGTGCTGCGGATGCTGCGCGTGCTGCGCGTGGTGCGGCATCTGCGCGTGCGGCGCGTGCGCGGGCGTGTGGTGCGGCAGGCGGTGCAGCGGCGCGTGGTGCAGCGGCGCGGGCGAGCGGTATCGCGCGCCCCACTCCGCGCCGCGCACCGCGCCCGCGCCTACGCCCACACCCACGCCCACGCCGCCCACGCCCGGCGGGCCCATCGCCGATTGCTTGCCGTACGACGGCGCTTGTTGTCGCGCAGCCTCTTCTTGAACCTGTGCACAACAAATACATGTTTGAAAGTATTTCTCGGTAAATTTGTTAGTAAAAGCTCTTACTACCTTATTTCATTGATGTTAATTCTCTTACCCTAATTAGAGGTAGTGTAATAAGACTTAGAGAGCAAGGTTCCTGATTTAGAGCGATCTGGTCGTCCCGATTAGAGAATGTAAAAACAAATAGGGTGGTTAGAGCACTCAGATGCCGTATAACAAGCGCATAGAGCGGTTGTAAACGCACGTACGCTACGTATACTTTCTATGCAAGTTATCACTAATTTTAATAACTTTTTAAATTATAATGTTAGGGGCATTAAAAATATTTTTTTTAACTCTCCTGGTTCAAGCACAGCTTATTATACTATACTAAGTATTTACAAATATGAAAGCTTGTCTTGCAACTGCAAATACTGTTTAATCCAGGTTTTTATATTTTTTTATTGTATGTTGCTGCAACTGCCACAGCTGATGCAACTTTTTATTTTTTCGATATTGTCGAAGGCATGATAAAGTAAAAAAGGTCTAACTCCTTTAACATTCACATATAAACTGAGTAAAGGGCAGATTGTCAGGCTATGTAATAAGCGCTGCAAGTGCACTAACTAGAGCCAATGGCCATAGGGTTTTAAGGACTAATGCAGGAACAGTTTTTCAGGCAGCTGCCTATAGCTATAGGCAACGAGTTTACATATTTTTATGCTTGTAGTTTATGTGCTGTAAAGATACTTATTATCTCAAAAAAACTAAACAAATATACTAATAATGAAATGCTTAGTTTTAATTAATTATTTTTATGAAAGCTATAGATTAATATTAGTACATGAGATCTGTTTCAGAATAATAAATGTTCTTTTACTGTAATTATACATAAAAGAAAAATTACATCATTAATACAATAGGAAATATGCATGTGATTTAAATAATTTTTATTATTTTACAATCTTTAATGCTTCTGAATTAAGTCTATATCAATATTTTTTAATTTCTTTTCGATTAAGAAAATAATTATTGAAAAGTGCGAGTGAGACGTCAAAGTCTATCATAACAGATCGCTGGTGTTTGGTGTTTGCGATTGGCAATAACAAACTAGACCTGTTCGTTGATGGCAATGTTGTCATAGATTATGACATCACACCAAGCGCGCCAAAATGGTTGGCGTTTAAAGTAACAGAGTCTGTATGATATTTAAAAAAAATTACAGTAAATTTTAGTTTTTTGGAGTTGTATTAATATATCAATGTAAGCTATAGTATAAAAAAATCACTCATATTCCCTATTATGTAACAAGGTGAAATGAAATAAAAGAAGTGTCTAATTACCTGTTGCAACGCTTTCTGTACATTGTGTGGGAGTGCGTGCGCGGCGGGCTTGGCGGGCGGCGGCGACGCCAGCGCGGGCGCGGCCTGCGGCGGCGGCGATGGCGCGCCCGACATGCCGCCGCGCGTGTTCATGGCCGCCATGCGCCGCCGGAGCAGCTGCTGCTGCTGCACGCGCTGCTGCACCTGCTGCTGCTTCAGCTTCTGCTTGATGCTGCTGCAGAACGGCACCGAGCACTTGGTCTCCATACAGTGTTTTGCGTGGTAGCAGCACAGCGCGATCAGCTGCTTGCATATCGGGCAGTCGCCCTTCGTCTTGCGCTTGCATATCTTGGTGTGCGTGACAACGCGCTTCATCTTCTGGCAGGACGGCAGGCGGCAGTTGGCGTCGCGGCACTGGCACGCGTGCACCAGCGACTGGATGCAGCGCTGGATGGACTGCTTGCGCGCCTCCTGCGGGTTGGCCTGCTTCATGTCGCCCGGCGACGAGCCCACGTCCAGGTCGAGGCCGAGCTTCTCCATCTTGTGCGGATGGCCCTCCTTGTCGTAGCAGGGCACGCACAGGTCGAAGTCGTCGCACACGGTGCAGTGGTAGCGCGTTTCGACGTGCGACTTACAGCTGTTGCACGTGTACACGAACTTGTCCTGGCCCTGGTTGTGCAGCTCGTAGAGCATGCAGAGTGTTGAGAACCTCGCTCTACGCGTCGATGAGAACTCGTAGTGACGATCTCGCGCCATCGTCAAAAACGCGTCGCGACCGTCCATAAGGTCACAGTTTATGAGCGGGTCTGGATCTTGAATTGGCTAAAACAAAAAATATATATGTAAGTAATTTCTCTAAACTTTACAATTATTGCAGAAAAATATATTTCAATAAAAATTAAATATTATGAGTTTGTTTTAATTGTTAATTGATTTAGAAAGTTTAGATACTATTTTATTAATAAAGTATATAAATAACGTGACGTTACTTACAGCTAAACTAGCGGCAGACTGCGCGGAATGTAGCCTAATAACGAAAAACACCTCCTTGTGTTTCTCCATTGTAGCGAATATCTTAGCACTGAGATCACTGCCTTGTTGCTGGTCACTTTGTTTCTTACTATTTTTTCTCTGGGCAGCTTTAGATTTATTTGATTTCTTCGCCTTCTTTTGCCCTTTCTTCTTTCCGTCAGGGCCTTGCTCGTTTTCTTCGGAAGACTGGAATATCTAAAACCATGTTAGAAATATTCTCACACATGGCAATCCCTTACATGATGATTATTATGGGATTTAATGAAGTGAGATTTGTGTATGATTTTATTATATATTTTTATTTTCTACAAGTAAACAAATAATTTAAAAGAGTTTACAAAAAATGACTTATGGCATGTGTAGAAAAATAATACATAGTGAAACATAACAGAATAAGTCAAAACTACAAAGCATAAAATAAAATACTCTTACAAGTCAAAACTACAAATGATATGAATATAAAATACTGACCACTGCCTCGGCGGCTTCAGCCTGCTTTCTCTTCTCCTCCTCCTCCTGGTCCAACTCCTTGATCGACTCCTCCAGAACATTGGGCCAGAAATCTCCCTCGAAATAAGGCAACTCCGCGGCCGACGAGATATTGTCCTCCATAGCTTGCTTAAGAATATCTTTGTAATCTAAAATTATCCTCTCTATAATACCCTTGTCTAGCATTTTCTTGTACCATTCTTGTAACCTCTTGGGTTTAGGTATTTTTTGTTCGGGCGGATGGCAGTGGAATATATAGTCGTCGCCCTCTGAAGGCGGGCAGGCCCATATGTGGGCCATAGTGTAGCCCAATTGCTTAGCGTAATCCAAATAGCCTAATAAAATCTCGTGATATACGGCAGTTCGATACTGCCTCGGTTGGAAGAAATGTACAGAATCTAGATATGCTATATAAACTCGCCTCGTATTCGGCGATGGACTTTCACTACCGTACTCCTAAAACAAATATTTAACAATAAGTTAGAATACTTTATATATTATGTATGAAAATATATATTTTTTGAACTTGTTTAATATTTCAAATAAAATAAGTATATAAATGAGTAATAGGTTGATTTTAAAAACATGGCACATTATTCATACCTGCACATGCATGCCAAAGAAACATATATCAGTTCCGTCGACTTCTTCAAATGCAAACAACGCTTTAGCCCGATACGGGAATTCAGCGTGCAACTCTCCAGACTCCACGAACCTCGACCTCATCCCGGGTTTCACTTCCACCATCTGGAATTTTTTCCAATATTAGAATAATATTCTTAAAATTGGAGACAACAAATAAACTTGATATTAATAAAGTTAATAAACGAAGGTATAAACGTTAATTAGTTAAGTACCTTATCGGACGATGCGACAACCCTGATATGCACTTCACCAGCACCAGCCTCTTTTTTCTTAAGGAAATTATTGACTCTGGTCTCGATATAAATGCCGAGTTTCGACGTTGGCAGTTTCTTAGCACTAAACTTGTTCTCTTTTCGCTTCGCAGCCTTTTTCTTCAGACAATTATCACAGCAAAAGCCTTGAGGCCATATTTGGTCATGATGCAGTACGCATATCTGATGTTGCTTCCTACCGCAGTCCATGCACACCACAAATGGTTCTTGTTCTAAATGATCATTCTTCATTTCTTTGAACTGATCCTTTTTTATTGCACTGTAATATAACACATAAGTTAAATAGTGTAACTTATTACATTTGATAAAATTTTACTATACATATTTTTGTATAAACTAGCGATTCACCCTCGCTCCGCTCGGGTTCGTCCCTACTTGTGTTTTAATATATTTTTCCGCAGTGAAAAGTATCCTATATATTGACCTGGATAACCAACAACCATCATACCAAATTTCATCAAAATCCCTTCAGTGGTTTTTCCGTGATGCGGTCACAGACAGATAAACAGACAAAAATTCTAAAAACTATATTTTCGGCCTTTATATCGATAATAATGACTATTTCAATAAGATTTTCCAAAAAATATTTAATGTACAGATTCGACTCAGTTAGAATTTTATTATATGTATTGTAATGGATGGTTCCTAATACTGCGCTTTCTATCATTAAAAACATCTTTATGGTCCATTATTAATATCGTCCAATACAAACAAACAATTAGGTCGAATATCGATTTGTACGACGTGAAGCGCAAAGAATAACATAAGCTATATGTGAAATCAGTAAGTTGTCATTTAAAATTATTGAATACCCGAAGCTTTTCACATTTCCAATTTGTTTAGAGGGATGTTAAAAATTCATAAACTTAGTTTTAATTTCCCCATTTATTTGATTGGTATTAACGCTAAGCAGTTAATCGTATGCAACAAGGTACATAAAAATAAATGAAAATCTAGTTGTTTAAAAATTATAAGGTATTTTACCCTCACATGAGGTGGAGTGGGGATTGTATCAAGGGGGAGGGGAGGGAGGAAATAATAAAAAAGAAAAATACCTCCCGAAATTATTGGACGCTCTCTATGGAAATATATATTTCACATGCTTGGTTCAGTTTGAAGTGACCCTACTCGCTGTGCTAGCGGTCGCGGGTCCGAGTCCTGCTGGAGTCCATTCGTGTGTTGAGCACAAATGTTTGTACTTCAGTCATGGGTGTATATATTTATAATATGTATGTATTTATAGTTATACATATACATACATATGTGTAGAGTATCAACTATCTAGTATCCATAACACAAGCCTTGTAGCCTACCATGGTACTAGATGGCGCTGTGTGCTAATGTCCCAAGATATACAGTTAAGACGTATGAATGATCTCAAAGGGTTCCATTTTTATTTCAGATATATTATACGAAACCCTAAAAATGGCTACAGTACTTTCATTTTGGTGAAGTACTGTACAGTTAACAGTGTACAGTAAACAAAATAATGGCAATACTCACGTCTGGGGCTGCAGCGGGTCGTCGCCGAGCGTGACGGTGTCGCCCTGGATGTCGTTGAAGCACTTCTGGCAGAAGGTGTATCTATCGGACACAACCCCATACGCTTTTAGACTAAGTAGACATGAAGCGTGACGTGCGTAAGGACGTGCGTGGGGCAAAAACAAATTAGTAAGCGTTGAGAACATAAAACGGATCCCAGTAGTGGCTAGTGCTATATACTATGCTCCACTGACTTTCATATAACCCTATTAATTTTGAAAGTTTGGTGATTTTGGATTTAAAATTTAAACTCAAAATAAACCGTATTGACTTCACGAAAATTAAAATTGTTTTTAAACGTTAAATTATTAGAAAATAAAAATATTACGTTAAAATTGCTAATTACCATTTATTAACAAACTTAAATAATATTAAAAGATAATAATTTGAAAATCTCTTAGCTTTTTTCAATAAAAACCCATTTTTGTATCATTATAAAACCACCGGCATTAACTATAAAGTCAGTGGAGCACAGTATAAAAGTAATGTGTTAATATAAAAAAACATGACTGAAATAAAATGAAGACATAGAAACAGAAGGAAGATACAAGTTTTTAATATTACTACTAGCACTGGCCCAGGTATAATCTGTAGCATTTAAGTTCAGAAAAGTAAATAGCAATTTATATCGGAACGATTAAAATGTGTACAGATTAATCCTGAATATACTTCTTAACAAACCATTGAAACCAAGTTAAGAAGCAACGAAAAGCTAAAACACAATACGAGCTGACTATGATTTTAAAATATCAGATAATTTAGATGTACCAAAATGTATGGAACAGAGCTCGGAATCGGTTTGAAAAAAATGTCGGTTTATTTCGGTGATGAAATAGTTAAATCATTGCTCGTTCTTTAACCGGTTAATAAAAACAAAAAAGGCTTAGTAAACCGAAATAATAATGGTTTACCGTTATTCTTCGAGAAAAATTGGATTTCGATTTTAATATCGAATAAACCGGTTAATTTATTCAGGAGTAAGAAACGTGTATTCTTCTACTAGGCTATTCACAATTAGCAAAGACTCGCCAAATGTAAACGCACATGCACTCATTTAACTGGTTAATTTTGATCATGGAACCTTAATTCGTCAAAAACCGTTCTCCGGGATTTTACCGGTTAAAGAACGTAACCGAAACTTAAACCGAAAGGTCGGTTTGGGGTCAATGACCAAAACCGGTTCAAAAATTGAACAGATTTCCGAGCCCGGATATGGAACCAATACCACAAAATTTATAAACTTGGGAATATATCCTTTAAAGATATAGCAGATAGTAGCGTATCCTTTTTAATTATGGCTTTACGTAGTATACATTTTAATTAACTTTTTGAATTTATACTTCTTTTGGCACGTTTGCAAAAAAATATCAGAGTAAAATTTTTACGATGCGCGCGCATACTGACAGCCAAAAAGCGACATGATGAGGTTAGCTGCATTCGTTTTACAAACAGAGCGTTGTGACAAACGGGATGAAATCTGTAACTATTTTTGTTCTGTTACGTCAAAGAAGTATAACTTCTTACGTGCGTACAGAAGTACACACACACGTTTTTTTTAATGTAAAAGATCTCGAAATATTGTTTTCACCTACTTACATAAAAAAAAAATATAAAACACAGGAATCAACTTTAAAGATTGCTAATGATCATGTTTCGTAAAGGCATTGAGGTTTCTTGTTTCCATTACAATGTATTGTTTGTATTATCCTAAGTCATTACTGGCTAGGCATTTCAATTACGACATTCGAACCCTCAAGCCTATACAAAAAACAAATATGAATAAAATACTATCACCTAGAGTTTGTGCGTAAATACTTATTATGGTAAAGAAATATGAGCCAAGTGAAAATCATATGAAAAATGTGTTTACTATGGTTTTATATTAAATTATAACAAGAAAAGCTGGAATGTTTCTCATATTAAAATGTAACATGAAATTCTTTGAAATCAAACAAAAAGTGACTACTTTTTTACTTTTTTTTTTATAAACTTCATTTCAAAAAATATTGAGAAATAAAAAGAAAATAACTGAATGTATATATGTTGTCATATATTAAAGCTTTCTTGTTATAATCAACTACATATTATGTACATACAACTACAAACTTCTAGGTACTGTTAGAAATATAGATTATAAGAAAAACGGCAGGAAGTTACACAGATTATAAAAGTGAATGATTATGGTACTTCTAAAAACAAAACAAAAGCAGAAAATATGCAAGTTTTAAGTTTATGGGTCCATTTAAAATACATCATAGATTATATATATACAAAGAGATAAATAATTTAATAAACTTTAAAAAAATATGAACATGTTATTATTGTTACCCTGAACAACAACTTGTAACACATCAAAATTATTAATCTCTTTTTAAACACTTGATGATTTTTTCAAGTAGGCAAAGATGGCGTTATTCGGAACTACGATATATGCAAATGCGCAATCGAATCATGGGGTGGAAAAAAGTAGCTTTTATTATTATTCATATTTTTTAACCCCTGTCGCAAAAAGAGTGATGTTATCAGTTTGACCGCTATGTGTCTGTGTGTGTCTTTCTGTGGCACCATAGCTCTATAGAGAGAATTTTTTTTTACTTTTTAGAAGACCTTCCATCAAATCACACCTATTTGACAAAACCACGTAGTGACATTAATAAAGTGGTGGGGGGTGGCAAATAGGGGGGAATACCAACCTATTTTGGTAGCTGAAGTACTTGGCGTCGCGGGGGATGGTGCACAGCTGCTTGCCGTAGCAGCACAACACCTGCGGGTTGAAGGTGTACTTGCGCCCGCAGCAGTAGCCCAGGCCCTGCATCACCGGGTCGATATCCACCTCGAACACCTCTGATAACTGGAATTTTATTTGGTTTCTCCTTTATCTCTCTATTTTATCATTAGCATTATACTAACATTATATATTTTATTATGCGGTAATTACAAGTGACGTTAAATGAATTTTGACAATCTGTTTAATGGAGTGGCATAACTTGAAACTTTATGGATTAATATATAATATTTAAGTTATACTATACCTTAGTACAATATCTATATACACGCGAGTTCTTCCGATTATACAACCACGCGTTCTCGAACATAAGCCACACATCGTCCACATACTCCCAAGGATCTTTATATTCGCCACGGTCGAGCTTCATCTTGATCGTTGACAGATCTATAGGTTTCGTAACTATGTCAAAATAGTCTGGGATGCCGAGCGCTTGCGCATCAACCGGCTGACGGAACGGAACCGATTCCGGGTCGAGCCGGAAAAGCTTTTCGAGTGTCGGTATTAACGCTTGTCGGAGTTCTTCTGGTTTAAATGCGAACGTTTTCTTGGGGCCTCTGTCGGACGCGCCCTCCGTGCTAGGCGTGGTATCTACGGGCTCCTCTTTGATTTCTTTCTTTATTTCTTGTTTGTTGAGGAAGGGGTCCGGCTCGCGGTCGCGGTCGCGGGGCGTCTCGTCGCGGGGGCCCTTGCCGCCGAGGTCGGGGTCGTCGGGCTCGTCCTTGACGCGCACGTCGTCGGGGTCGCGCTTGATGTCGGGCGGGCTGTCGTCGGCGGGCGCGGCGGTGATGGCGGCCATCTGCGCCGACACGTGGGCGGCGGCCGAGGGCGGGCGCGAGGCGGGGCGCGCGTCGGGCGCCGGGCTGGCGTGCGCGAGCGGCGTGGCGGGCGTGGCGGCGCCGCCCAGCGCCGCGCCCACCGGGGACGGCGCGCCCGTCTCGTTGCGGAAGGGCGTGTGGTTCATGAAGGGGCTGGCGACGGGCCCGGCGATGCGCTTGGCGTCCCCCGCGCTGTGGCCGGGCGACGCGAGCGGCGCGGGCCCGTTGGTCTGCAGCGGGTACTGAGGCGCGGGCGACGTCATCGGCTGCCCGAACGGCGACATGCCCGGGTTGCTGACGCTACCCACGCCGCCGACGCTACCGCCGTTGGGTGTTTGCGGCATCTATACGTACATGTTATGAATTAGACAATGTCAGGAATTATTTTAGTATTTGACTTAATTACAAAAATATATATAAATTAACAATATAATAAAAATTACCTGATTAGGGCTAGGTCCTGGAGGGCCAACGAGGTTGGGTTGATATGCCATGCGATTGCCGGGCATAGAGAGCGGCATGCCTGGCGAAGGTATACGCATCGCCGGGAGGCCGGGTTGCGTTGCCAGATTGGGCCGGCCGACGCCTACGCCCACTCCCACCCCGACGCCCACCCCCGGCGCCGTGGGGCGGACGCCGCCCATTACTCCGCCGGCTAACACACCTCCAGGCTGCTGTTGCTGCAGCTGACTTTGCTGTTGCTGTTGTGCTTGCTGCGCTTGAAGTTGCTGCTCTTTTCTTTTTTGTCTCTTTTCTTCTAATTCCTTTTGAATTTTATATATTTTCTCGGCAAGTAAATGATAATATTCAGAACGTGTACTCGCCATTTCATACATGTCACCTTCGACTTTCCTCGCATACGCGACTAAATTGTGCATTCTTTTATCTTGCATTGCCGTGGGATCCGGTGTTGGAAAGATAGCTTGTACCCTAAAGCATAAAAAAAGTAGTTTTTTACGTGTGGCCAAGATTCAATACTATCTAGAAAATAAAAAGAAATAATACTCGTATTTATTTTTAATATTTTTACGAAAAAATACTTACAGTTTATGAACAAGGTGGTTTCTGAGATCAGGCGTTATAGACTGGTGCCACTCTTTCGTTCCAGAAACGGGATTGGCAGTGACGGGTCCTCCAGGTAATTGTAATGTTCCCGTACTCATCTACATAAATATAAAAAGCATTACATAGTAGATATTTCTAAATATATGACATGTACTTGTGTCGCGAGTACAAAATACATGGACTTACAAGTTGTTGCTGCTGTTGTTGCTGCGGTTGTTGTTGCTGCAGGTCAGGTTGCTGTTGGTGAGCGAATAGCTGCTGCATGGGCGGTTGCGGCAGCACGTCCGGGAGGGGCGGCGCGCGCGGGGCGGGCAGACGACCGAGGGGCGCTCGCGCGAAACCGCCCACCATCCCTGCCACTGACGTAGGGCACGTGATCCCGAGGGCCTCGTACGCGCGTTTCATGTCCGCCCCCGCGCCCACGCTGCCCACGCCCACCCCTACGTTACCTACGGAGCCGACCCCTACGGCGTTGCCGGTCGCTGCGGACGATGCTGATACGCCGCCTGCACCAACTGGTTTTGTAAACCACGTTAATCTCGCTAAAGTGACACAAGTGAACAAAACAATTTAAACTAAAATATTTATAAAATTCTAATCAAGACACATAAGATAAATTTAAAAACACAAAATGTTAGACAATATATTTTAGCACAACATTTCATAGGAATCAATGATGAGATTACATCGTCACTCATCATCTTTGATAAATCAAAATTATTTAATAAGAAACATAAAAAGGACTAAGAGCAAATACTGGGACTATAAAACTTACCTCCAAGGGGGTTAACGGCTGGGAGGGCGTTGGGCGCAGGCGCAGTGGCTACGTTCACGCTGACAGAGCCCACGCCCACTCCCACACCGCCGCCACCCGCGGTGCCCACGCTGCCCACCGACCCCACACCCGTGCTCGAGTGGGATACGGCAGCCGCTACACAAATATTTTTATTGTAACACTACATGCTAGCTTCTATTTCCGTAGCTCAGAGTCCAAAATTAGAATTAATATAAAATTGAGTCACAATTGTGTTCTGTCAATATGTTACCAAATAAAGACACCTATCAAGGGTGCATGCTTTTGGTGAGAATTTTATCACATGCATACTCAAATAGATACAAGTTTAGTGGATTAGTCAAAAATAATAAGACATAGAAAACAATTCACTTACCATTCATAGGATTTGTTCTAGTTCTGTCTGCTTGTTTGAGAGGTAAGCAAACAGGACAGTCATTTTTATTGCAATGCTTCCAATGATTTATGATTTGTCTTGATGATGAACAATGAGGTACGCCACAATTTTTTCCCGCCTAAAAAAAATATTTAGTTTTACATAATAATAATAATAATATAAGCCTTTATTCAGACATGGTTTACAATAAAGATTACAAACCATGTTTAATTGTTTTCTTTTTACACATGTACAACAAATTACTTAAGATACATATTTGATTTGTATTTTACTTGTTCTATTATTTTATCTATTTATTTATTTTTCTATATAGTAAGATTACTCTGTCTCGAAAACCTTGTCTGTTTACCCTTTGTTGGCAAAGGCCTCCTCCAATTTCCTCCATAACTGTCTATCTCTAGCTAGTCTGGTCTATAATTGTTTGTCATTTTTGCTCCTTTTCTTATATAGTAGAACTATTGTTGATGTAGTTTCACATATTTATACTCAAATACAAAAAATATTATTGCAAATAAACAATAAGCAGTGGAGTGGTACCTGACACGACATCATATGGTTGAGCACGCTCTTCATGGTCTTGCAGTGCGGCAGCGTGCACTGCCACGTCTCGCCGTTGGACTGGCTCTCGCGGCGCTGGCACTTGTGCGCGTGCAGCAGCAGCACCAGTTGCTGCTGGATCAGCTTGCGCTTCTCGGGGTCCGCGATGGGGCCCGTGTTGGGCGGCTGCGCGGGCTGCGCCGACGCCGACTGCGTCGCCGCTTGCGGTTGCGACTGTGGTACGTACTGGTGTTAGTGAGTGTATCATTATTGGATTAGAACATTTGGCTACAAAACAAAATGAATCAAATGCGCGCGCGCATCCGCAGTTATACTTGTTTGGCACACGGATATCGAATTAACCAGTGAGGATTCAGTATATAAAAATTTAACTATTTTTAATTTAGGATATTGTCCAAAAAAGTATAACTTAAATTGTCATGTAAAACGAGTGTTACCTGTCCGCCGGCCGGCGCGCCGGGGGTCTGCGGCGAGGGCGCGGGCGGGACGGCCTGCGCGGCGCCCCCGCCCGCCTCGGGCGGCGGGCCGAAGCGCACGCCGGCCGCGCGCTGCGCCGCGCCGCCCGCCGCCGGCTGCCCGTAGGCGGGGTGGTAGGGCGCCGCGGGGTGGCCGCCGCCGCCCGGCGCGCCCATGCGCGTGTGTGCGTGCGCCGCGTGCGCCGCGTGCCCGGCGTGCGACGCGTGCATGGCGTGCGACGCGTGCGCTCCGTGCGCCAGCCCGCCGCGCATGCTGGGCGCCTGCATGCCCACGCCCACGCCGCCCACGCCCCCTACTCTACCGCCGAGGGGACCATTCTGCATCGCCTGTCAAATATATTTTATATGCTTACTTATTGGCCATTTTAGATCTAAAGCAATCATAAATATAATAAAGCACATTAATATAAATGAGTTTAGTCAAATTATCATCAAGCTGAGATTGCAGTTAAAGATATTTTTTTTTCATGAATCTATATTTGTATACTCTTATACCTGTATATAATGTATTTAATGAACAAAATTGTATACAACAATACCTAAACTAACTCAACAAACTAATCTAAACAAACTATATTTTCACCTTCAGTCCAATTAACAATGTCTCGTACAATCACTTAAATATAAAATGATATTAATCAAATCAGACAATCAATGTGTAACATGCATTGGATACAGCACCGGTACCAGCCACAGGGCCACTGAGAGATCACTTACCTGCGCGTGGGGATGGTGGGGAGGCGTCGCGTGGTGGTTGTTGCCGATGAGCGTGGGCAGCTGCTTGTTGACGTTGTTGATGATGCCGCCGCCGAGCATGTTCGGCCCGGTCATGTTGCTGTTCGTCACTACCATATTGCCGCCCACGTTCGCTACGTTCATCCCACCTGTGGGATACACATTTTTGGCTCACTCAACTACGTTTGTATGTTTGATTATTAACATTATCCTTATTGATTTTGTGGAAGAGATATTTTATGGGTGATATAAACTTTTTTATCCCAGTAAATCGAGTGGCTCCCGTGGGATCGTAGTCTTTATTACTAAAAGATATTAGGAAGACAAATCTTACTAATATTATAAATGTGAAAGTTTACATGTTTGGATGGATGTTTTAACTACTCAATCACGCCAGTACGGCTGAACAGATCTGGATGAAATTTGGCATGTAGATAAGATTATATTCTAGAATAACACATATTACTTTTTATCCCAGAAAAATCGATGGTTCCCGTGGGATAGATTTTGTTTTTCACTAGGGATGAACCTAAGCGAAGCGGGGGTGAAACGCTAGTATATTATAATAAGTGTTTAAAGTTACCTATTTGACAAAGAGTTGAGAACGGCTTAAATAGAAGCCTTATTGGTATGACAAGTATATTAAAAACTATGTATGTTTAGAAATTAGTACAATTCCAATAAATTAACTATGTAAAGTAGTTTTGGTTACCTTTAAAAATGATTGAATTAGTACAGGTTACTTTCAAAATGTACATATTTCTTTTTTTAATATTATAGGTAGAATCCTAACTTTAATTGAAAATCCATAATTATTAACATGTAAGCACAAAATTACAAGTAAAAAAAATATATTGTCATGCAATTTACACTTTTCAAAAATAAAGGTGTAAATCTTGAAAAATTAGCTTTGATTTTATATAAAGTAATATTACTTAAATTAAAATTACGTGAAATAAAAAGAACAAAATTTAAAAATGCACTCATTTTATGAACAACTAAAATGGCGTTGGACAGAACATATATTTAAAGAGGAAAAAGATAAATGGACTATGCCAATAACAGAATGGTACCCGCAAGACAAAAAAGAAACAAGGGTACACCAATCAGAAGATGGGAAGACGATATTAAGAAAGTAGCTGTCCACTATGGACTCGCTTAGCAAAGGACAGTACTGATAGAAGATACATCTATACTAATATTATAAAGGGGCGAAGTTTGTGAGGTTGTGACATTGTAGAGGGTAATCTCTGGATCTACTGAACCGATTTAGATGAAATTTGGTAAGAAGATAGTTTGAAACCCTGGGAAGGACATAGGATACTTTTTATCCCGGAAATCTTCCCTTAAGGGGGTGAAAATTGGGATGAAAGTTTGTATGGGAAATCAACCAAAAGACGAACCCGAGCGAAGCGAGGGTGAGTCGCTAGTTATATAATATAATTAAAAATAAAGTTTTTTGGTTAAAGTTTTATTAATAATATAGTTAATACTCAATAATAGTATTTTTTTTATATTTTCTGTAAAGGGATGTAAACAATATTTTATTTTAATTCTGTAAACAGCAATAAAGGCTTATAGTATAGGTCTCAGTATAAAACGATCGTCACCAAGCTGGTTAATGGATGAAAAGTATTTTACATAAAATTAAATATGTCAATAAATGGGTTGACTAAAAAATTTCTATCCAGATTATGATTAATTGACAATTAAAAAAATTTTTTTTAAACATTTCACTGGTTTGTTTAATAGAGAAATTCCATACCAATCGAAAGTATGAAGCCTATAGGAATACGCAAACGTTAGGTTGTTTTTTTTTCCTGTCACAAATCTTGGTTAGGCAAATCGATACTAGTAACTTGCATTGGTCTGGTTAATTAATTAAAATTAAGTTAAAATAAAGATTATTTCATGACGAAAACGATGGCATAGGGTTGTCCGCAAAAAATGAGTCCTGAATTCCGGTTGTCGTGTTTTAAAAAGTGAAATATTGCTGCAAATGAATACGTGCGACAGACGTCCCAGCGAACCATCCCATGCGATAGAACAGGACACAGCATTGCAGCTGTGTGTAGTTTGTCCATTGAATGAAAGAGCAATCATGCTATTGTTCATGAAAATGAAAAGGATAGCGATAGACACGTAAATGCTGTGCATCATTTTGGAGTAACTTATTATTGTTAATTAATCATATTCTGGACTGAAATTTTTTAGTCAACCCTTTTGCAATCTACTTAAAATTTAATATGATATAAAATACTTTTCACCATTAACCAGATTGGTGAAGGTCGTTTTATACTGGGATCTTAGACTATTATTTTATTTATTCAAATATTACTATTAGACACAATTTACTTTATTAACTCAACTTAATTACTTTCAGCATATTTGTTTAATAATTTTGCTAACATGTGCCTTGCAGTAGAAAAAAAAAATCTTAAAATTATATTTTTTTTATTATTAACAGCCTTATTGGTCAGAATAATGAATAATTTGTAAAAAACCAATCTATCAGTAGTTCATGCACACTTTTGTGTTATAATATTAAATTTCTCCATGATTTTAACTAATAATTGTCATTTTCATTAATTTTAAAGTGACACTCTATAATATCATTTGAATGTTTTATTTATAAAAAAATAAAATATATAATGTACTTAAAAATTAGAAATAAAAAAAGTATTTACTAAGTCATACCTTGAATAGAGCTCATTGGCATAGATGAATGCAGTTGATTTGGATGACTTGTATTTGGTATAAGTTGCTGAAGCATGCCACCCATAAGGTCCTTTGAGACCGACACATTTGGTGGCGACTGTAAATTAGGGCTCTTACTTCCTAAACTACTCAATCCTAAAGGGTTGTTGTGGCCAACTAAGCCACCCTTGTTGCCCTGTGAAAAGACCAGCAAACGACATAACAGATCATTAGTTTTACTTGCTCCAGTACAACTTATAAAATATTCTATTAGATTATACATACTCATACATATGCACACTTAGCTAATTAATGATAATATTAAGTAAGGTTTTTTTATAGCAAATTAGCTTTTGAAATTAATTCATTTCTGTTAATTATTAATTAAAAATTTGATTTGAAACAACAAAATTTTATTAAAAAAATGAAGTATTAGGTACATTACCAAAAAAATTGCAACAGTAAAAAAAAACATAACCACCATTTTTATCATTAAAAACAGTTAATATATAAGTTTTAATTCTTTAGATTAAAAAAAATCACAGATATCATTTCAAAAGAAAGAATAAAAAAATTAGTAAATATAATTATTACTTTTTGTGTTACCAATATATTGGCATAAAAATTAATACAAAAAATGATGTACATGTACTATGTAATACTACAAAAAAATCTATTTTTTAAGTTTTTAATAGGATTATTCTCTCAATAACAAAGTGAAACATTTATTTTACAATACCAAAATGGATTTTGTTAATAAATAAAAATATCTAAAATTGTAAATATAAACATATCATCATAAAAGTAAACATCATCAGTCCCAGATACTCACTTGTTGTATAAGGTGATTATTTATTTGCCTTTGCATTGCAGCTGTTGGGTCATCTCCATTTAGCTGCTGCTGCATTTGTCCCCCGGGGCCAGGTCCCTGCGCCGGGGGCTTAGGTCCCGTGACACCTGGTTGTTCACCCCAAGAACCTGCCATCAACTCATCAGGGAGGTCCTTTTCAAGGTCGAACATGTCCAGGTTAGAAAACCCTTCTACTGAAACCAATTTATGTGTTTGTATCATCTAAAATATAATTTGTATAAAATTATTGGTTAAATATTGAAATATATAGTATTCAACAATAAATATAATTTTAAAGAATAACCTGTCAGGATATTCGAAGCCACATTGTACACACTTGGGTCACAGACATTGGCTCATTATAAATAATAATGATTTTAAAATATTTAATTACGCAAACAAATTTAGTACTGCAATATAATTTCACAAGACTATTCCAGTGAATATTGTACAAAATGTGTAGGAGATAAAATATTGTAACAGAACTGAAACTAAACAACATAATGTGAAACATTAAATGTTAGATTTTATTCAATGACAAATTGCATAAAAGAAACATACACTATAATTATTTTTTAAACATACATAAAACTTTTATAAAATAATAATAATTTGAAGTAACATCATCAAAATAAAACATTTAACATTTTCATTTTTGAAAGATTTTCATATTACAAAAATAAAATACACACTAGTAAATATAACTCAAATTTTATATAAATATAACTGAATAAATATAACTCATATAAATATAACTTAAATATTATAAGTTATAACCAACACATAAAATTTTGCTTTTTGATACATATTTTTGATTGATATAATGTCAAAGTTTGAAAAGGGTATTTGAACTCCCAAATAAATTATAAAATAAACAAAATTATTCATTCATTAAATCATTTAATATTCAGTAGTATGAAATGAGCATGAAAAACTTTAATCCCTTTGGATATGTAAACAATTTTTCGTCTAGATTATATTTTTTCCAGTAATCTACAATAAAATTATAAAGAGTGTAACATAAAGCATTGCTTAATTATTTACAAATATATGATTTATATGATATTCTATATTTAGCGGATATAAGAACAAATGTTTATAAGCTAATATTTTAATAGCTTAAAATTATATTCTTTTTCATTTAATGCCTTAAATCTTATTAAAGAATGTGTTAAAATTATAAAAACAGAAGATAAATGTAGGTCATCAACTACTTCAAAAAATCAGGTGTTTCTATTTAGTATTTATTATAAAAATCTTTACAATATGTTTCTGAAATATAACTATCACATTTAATTTATTTATCTAATGAAGTATTTAAAATAAAAAATACCAATTAGAGATAGTTCAGTCATGAACACATTCAAAACAAAGAATTTAGGGATTAATTAAATGAGAAAATGTCGGCAATCGATTATATTTGATTGTTTCAATACAATACTTTTTAAAATAAATTTTAATTACAAGGAAACTTCGAGTAATCGAATCGAAATACAATTTTAACACAACAGTTTGATATGTACTAAAGTATCGCAATATTTTGTAATTACACCCAAAAAAATACATACTTATAATAAAAATTGAATAAATATTTAATTTTTAATTTATTTTAGTGTAAGAAACAATAATACGACGCAAAACTTACGGGGCGCTAACAAGAGCGACGGCAAAATGTCAAAAATCTCAGTAATATTATAATGACAGAAAGGTGTTCGAACTTAAAGAAACTCTTAAAATATGAAAAAGTACTCACCTCCTGTGTCCGAGGGACCCTGGAAAGGATCCCGGACCATTTTAGCCCGCTTGTTAGGCGGCTCATCCACATGATGATCGGCCATGGCTCTGTTTACTAAACGTAAGCCGTCGTGAATATTTCGGCCCGCCGATTCAAATAACACTTTTATGTCTTATATCTTCAAGAAATAACATTTTAGAGCGATTTGTCATCCATTATAACGTAATTCACCCACATCACGATCGTTCGTTGTCCTTCGCACCGTTGAAGGCACATATTAAAATTTCTCACTCAAGTATTCGCCATTACAAAGCTCCGAATCGAAGAGCTACACAGACCCTCTCACCATCTTCCGACGGAACTAGCACAATAAATGAAAACAATATCACCAGATTTTGCTACTTTATGGAACTTATTTTACCGATCGAACTACACGATTTCACTTAACACTTTAAAATATACGGAATGGTACAGTTTAGGATAAAATGATGTAAGAAAAAACAGAAAATTTACACGACAAATTCCGAAATACTTCTCAGTCTCTCCAGCGCAAAATGGCGGCTGTTGATGAAAACTTTTTCTACGCTTGTCAGAAAATGTCGGCCTATAAAGAGACAAAGCGCTGTGATTGGCTCACAGACACCACGTGACCACCGGAAGTGCTGATTTGACGCAGGATCGGTCCAATTATTCTGACGTCAACGCGTTCAAAACCGAAGAGCTCCGAAGTCTACCGATGAGTATTTTATTCATATTAAAAAGCTAAACAAAATTTGTAAAATATATTTTTGCCTTTAAAAGAACTTATAATTACTAAAAATATGAACTTAATTCATTTAATGTTCAATTTATTACAAAAATTATACGTAATTACACTGTTTCAAATTGTGATTTAAATTTTCCCTCCAAATTCGGGAGGGGTCACCATCAATACAACGTGTCTTTGTCTATGGCCTTTAGGTCACCATAGAGAAAGTATTTATAATATTTAAACTCATAGAGTAAAGGATAGTTTAGTAAAACCTTCTCTATTAAAATAACAAATATTAGAATTAATAAAATTTAAGCAAATAATTAATTCAAGTTTTATTTAAATACCTTTATATTATATAAACACAACTAAAAAAAATCAAGGAATATTACAGTACTTACAAGTCTTGTTATGTAGTAAAAAGTGTAATATACTTGTACAAGATTAATGTAAAGGTAAAATAGGAATGATTTTTTCTACTATCTGCTACCTTTTTCTACTAGCTGTATCTAATAAAACAAATTATGACCTGTAATATTTTTATACTCTCAACGATATTAATATAGTAAGAAAAAGCTGTTGAATACCAGCGAAATGTTATCTTTTCAAAATATACCTAAAACTGCTTGATTTTTTTTTATCCGATTATCCCAGAATGTTAAAAAAATGTAAAAACATAAATTTGACTCTTTAATTCTACTAGTTTTTATACAACTTATGTTTTGTATTTTTTACAAATGTATAACTTTTAAGATCATACACAAAAATGGTTTTGATAGATGGGGTTATTGATCCCCCCCAACGTGCGTTCACCTTATCGTGGTGGGGGGGGGCTCAGTAGTGCCCGGCAATACAGCCGGGCGCGAAGCCAAGAAACGCACAGGGAGGTGGCCCCCTTCGGTGGGCGGTGGGAGGCGGCCCTCTTTGGAGGGCGGTATTCCATGCGGGTTGCTCCTGGTACTTCTCTGATAGCAGAGTGGACCTTGGAGCAACCCCGTGGTTGTTGTGGTTTGCTTCGGCAGACCTGCCGTCAGGGCGTCGTAGTTGAATGCGTAAACGATCCTGCGCCGCCCCATTTTGAGACGGGGGAAGGCTTTGTTGGGTTGTAGTGGGTAGTACTGGCTTTGCCGGTCAGTCCCACACCTCGTGCGTAAATGCATTTTCCAACGTAAAAAAAAAAGATGGGGTTATTGATAAGTCATTAATAAATACAGATCACATAATACTTTACACACATAATACTCTACACATGCTTCATCCCATTCAAAGAAATTTGTCAGCATTAATTCGGGCTATTTTTATTTGCTTGAATAGATATAGATGCCGTTGATTAGAAAATAGTTGAACTGTTTTACTTTATAAATATGTGCATACTAACGTATAGTAAATATTGTAAAATTCATTCTACTAACATTCTATTAAACAAATTTTAGTGGTTTTAATTATTTTTAACCGTGATACACAAATCAGTAAAAGCAGCATCATCAGCATCAGTAAAACTAAGAGCAGCATCTGTGAATATTCACTACAAGCTCATTATTTGATTGCAGATATTTCAATAATAATTTAATTAGTAAAATCACGCAAATTTGATATACGGCCACATTATTTAGTTTCCTTTCATTTAGAGTATTTTTAACACCAAAGTATACTTTTATAAAATCTATTTTTTTTAACAGAAACTTTAATATCAAATCGATATGTGAAGCGTCACCTATTGACGTTTATTTTAACTATTTTTCTTTGGTCGTGATGAGATATATTAATAATAATCATTGCGCCATCTATTGTTAAGGGCAGAACAAGATCTGACGAACGTAGTATTTAATCAATAATAATGAACCTTAATATACTTCATAGAATAAGATATAATATGTATACTGATGTACTACTTAATGGACGCGAGCATGTTTCAAGCGCAAAAAACAGCTACGTGGGAAAATTAGGCGCATTGACTACTGCATTTACGATTTTATTTATTTGCAAAATATTATAGAAAGCATTGGTGGCGGTAGAATTATTTTCAGGAGGTTCATTTGCTTCTTCACATTAAACTACTAATTAGTTTTTAAATGATTAGCTTTATAATTTTTATTCATATCTTATTTATCGTCTTTTATTTGAAGATATCTAAATTTAAACACGGATTTGATCGAAGCATATAATTTTATTTCTTTAACCTTTTCTATAGTATCCTTCATGGCAGGGGGGTGCAAGTGCACCTCCCTCCCGACGCCCATGATAGAATATAAGAAACTTGTTTTATCTTGACTGCATTGTTTTTATTAGAATAATGGTTTATACAAATAAAACCAGTGTTATCTGAAACACAGAAAAAATAGTTACACATATACGTCAATAGATGGCATTATATGAATTCTAAACAGGTATAATATCGTTATAAAAACTGAATACTATTAGTCTTAGAAAACTGAAATAATGCTCTTGTAAAACAAATTAGCGAAATTTTAATCGTTATTGAAAAATCAGCCATTAGATAATGGGAATGGAGATCACAGATCGCGGTTTGGTTTATGTATCTTAATTGCGGAGAAAAACTGTAGGGACTGTTTGTTTAGTAGGATAAATTTTGCTTTATTGTATATAATATTTTGGTATGTCTATATATATGTTTGAAGAATAAAATATTTTATTGATAAACGTCATCTATCGTCTCTACAAGTAAACAAAAATTATCCAAGTTAGGATTGTCCAATTTTTTCTTGGGATGGGATGTGGCAAATTATTGTACTGGTATAATAACTTTGTCATCTGTGGCATGAACACCTCTGACGCTTTATTTTAATACATAAATGATAAAACATATAATTTAGGTGTATGAAACTAAATAGGTTTAGTTTAATAAATACAACATTTTTATTATAATATATTGGAAAAGTAATTAACTACATTTCAAATACAGGCTTAACTCCTAAAATTTCTAAGGCTTTTTTAATGACAAGTCTTGCTGAGTGAAAGACAAGCAGCCTTTGAGATCCAAGATCTTGATTAACATTTTTTACTTTAAGTTCATTAAACATTCTATTCACCAATTTGGCTAATCGAAATAAATAATTAACTATTATACATGCTTCATTTTCTGTTAATGATTTATTCAAAATATCTTCAAATCTTGCAACTTCTTTAATGACTTCACCCACAATTTCTTCAGTAAGACATTCTGGTTCACACAACTGTGGTATTGCAACTCCAGAATTTTTTTCTAAACTCCAAAGTCTACAGTGAAGGTATTGGAGTTTAATTCCACTGTCACCTTCACTTTGCAATGCTTTATCCCAATCAAAAACATAATCTTTTTGTCTTCTTTGCTTTAAGTCATTTATCACAACAGCTGTTGTCCCTAGGATGTCACATGTTTCATCATTGATTGCTGCATTTCGGGTATCTAAAAAAAATTATAAATTAATAAAAATATTCCTACAACCATGCACATGTGCTTACAGTACTGATAACTATAATATGATTTGATATGATTAGATATATAATATGATTTGATATATATGTCAGAAATTGTACTAGCCAGAATATAATGTAGTAGTAGTAGTATTATGAAGTAAGAAAATTAGAAAGTCATACTATGAAACTGAAAGAAAGTACAATTTAATATTTAATTTATAAAATTAAAAATATATAAATGTCAATAGATGGCATGATTACTTTTGGATTCCAGCTGCTTGTCATACATCTTTTGTTTAGCTTCATCTAATATGTCATTAAGAAATACAACATTCCCACTTCTCGTACTCATTCCCTTAATTCTACCAAATTTGATGTGTTTACATCCTTTTGTACATTCAATGTTAACTCTTCTAACTATATCAAACACAGCTGTAAAATGATCTGTTTGTGCATTATCCACAACATATAACATACTGTCAAACTTGTACCTTTCGTATCTATCTAATAAAGCTGCAATATCCCTAGACAGATATAAAGTAGAATTATCACTTTTTAAAACAGTAACCTCTCTGTTGTTTACTATAGCTACTTTCTTTCCAAAAGTATCAGTAGTAATGATATTTTGCTGTTCTAGTTTTTCTATTATACTCTTTATAGCTTCACCATTATAATTTGATTCCCAGTGATATACATCAAATTTAATTCCTAATCTTTGGTATATTTTTTCTAGTTCTTCTATGGTTATTTTTCGAATTTTATTCCAGTTTTCCAGATTAGTTCTGCCTTGCTCAATATTTGAAAAATATTTTTTAGCTTCAATTTGAACATTTTCATCAACTAATGAAAGCTTATTTGCATCAACATAAACATTATACAGGTATTTTATAGGATTCTTGCTCAGTTGATCAATTGAAATATTATTAGATTGCAAGCCATATTGTAGTAGACCAAACTGTGTCCCCCAGTCACCTAAATAGTTTAATTTTACTACATCATTACCAAAGTACTCATTTATATTTGCAATAAAATTTCCTATTATAGTAGATCTTAAATGTCCAACATGAAATGGTTTTGCAATATTTGGAGAACTAAAGTCAATAACTATTTTCTTAGGTTTAATTTTTGATTCTTCTTGTACTGTGTTTTCCAAGAAGCTTTTTATAAATAAATCTCTGTTTATATCTATTATGAGTTCTTCAAAATCACCACTTTGGATTTCGTTGGTGTTATGTTTCTCTAAATTATGAATACCATGGCACGACAAGTTTACTGTATACATGTTTTGTTTATGCTTATACGTTATATGCATATTTTTAAGGTTTTTAATAAGTCCATTTTTGTCAATAGAGTCATCTAACACCTGAGAATTTAAGATTGTTGATATAACAAGGTTAAAATTATACATTTAAAAATAATAATAATATTTTAATACCTTTTCAAGTAAAATCCTTCTTAGTTTTGTTACCATTTTGAAACGTAACTAAAATACTAATTTCATTTTTAGCCTAGACAATATGTGACTTTTTTTTACATAGTATAAATGATTTTATTATCTCAAATCTATCTAAATTTTAAAAAGTAAATAAATAATAAATATGTTTACTAAATACTTTTTTTCTAAATTTTAGGTTATTAGCATAGATAAATAATTTTTAAATTATAAACTTATCAGGCCACAGACAATAAAGATAATAGATCACATTAAGATTTAGATATAATATATTATTTAATATCTGTTAGAATATTAGTTTGGTTCTACACTGGACATTATTATCGTCATTATTAATTATACTATTTTTACATAATTATTATATAACTCGCGACTTACCCTGGCTTCGCTCGGGAGCATCCCTGAGTACTAAGCAGCAGCCTATCTAGTACAGAAGTACATCAGGTCATAGGGACTATGAACTTGGAGTAACACACAGGCATCCGTGTACTAAATCTTATCTAAATCTGCCAAGCCGTTTCAGATTTAAGGACCAACAAACATACATACACATATTAATACACCTCGTCTTTTTACATCAATATACATGTGAAATTAATAAACGCTATACGCCAATATGTATTTGAGTCGCAAAAACTTTTTAATTGGTGTGTTTACTCTTGAGTTTTTCCCTATAGAACTGCTTAACGATACAGTCCGCGCTGTTTAAAATAAAAAGTCTCGTTATTTCAGCATTACTTGCAAGTTAAAATCGATATATTAAAACAAAACTTAAAAAAAAATCGATTTAAGTAATATCTAACTGACGTGTAAAGGTAGCATTAAGGAATAAATAATTAAATTTAAACGAAAAAACATTTTCTATTAAAACTAGTCACATAGCCGAATTATAAAGTTTCTTTCATTAAAATTAGTGTAATATTTGTAATTAGTTTTAATTGAGATTTTATTTATTCTTTAAATAATGCCTATCGTCAGACTTCATTGCAAAAATAAACTACAGCCGGTTGCTTAGCAACAATGTCAATGTTGATTTGAATGGCATCAACATTTTCATAGAGTAATTTGTCATCCATGATCAACATTTTTAAAATTATTTCTGCTAATAAGTATTAAAGACAAATGTTAAATTGAGTTGTTTGTCTAAAAAGTTTTATAATATGGAATAAATTGGATTTATAGTATGGAATCATAGTTTATTATCGAAACATTTCGTTACTTTGAATTTTGTAAAAAAGTATTTAAAATGTGTACCCCAAAAGTAAGGATTTAAATATTTTATTATTAAATAAAAACTTTTACACAATAAATATAAGATGATCGTATTTACATATGTAATTTTATTTTAAGTTATATCTGATATAACTCCAAGGTATATTTAGTGTCATGTTATCTTTGCAGTTACTTTACACTATAGAACAGCCTCATGGTCTAGGTGAACTTTATTTTTTATGGCAAAAAGGCGAGTCACATTCATTGTTGGCAACTACTGGGACAGATGCAACAGTTGCGATACATGATCGTTCAGGTCAATTAATGGAAAGGATAAAGCTACCTGGGTGATGAATTAACTTCTGTTTTCCCGCACAACCCTTCAATTATTAGTATTATCGAAATGACAAGCTGGCTAACAGCAATATCAATTTTTATCAAAGCTCTTAATAAAAAATTGAAAATATCTATTTTTATATTAGAAAATAAAAATGTCAAGACATTCCTTTTATTTATTTATTTATGCTATTTACTTCTATATATGTCTACAATTTCTCATACTAACGAATTCATGACCAGTCTGTACAAAAATGTTTACTTCTTTTACCCAAAAGTACAGAATGACATGCAAAAAAATCCTTGTAATAAAGTAAATATATTATTAAATATTTTATATGAAAAATAAATGCTCAGTAGTTCTACCTTCAATGCTGATAATTTAAAAATTAAGTTTAAATATTCAATGTTTTGAAAAAGTTGAAGTAAGTGAAAAATATCAGTTAGATAATGTGGAAAATGTGGTTCGAAATCAGGACTTTTTGGACAAGATGGTGTCTGGTGGTGATGGGTCAAATAAAAAAATGTTGATAAATATTGCTAATATCACAAGCATAGTTTGTTAATATATATGAATCAAAGAGGCTAATTTATATAGAAATAATAATTATTTTTATGTATAAATTGAGACCTTACATGTCTCACATTCAAAACTGCTAATTATGTATGCAATTTATAATAGGTATGAGTATGTGAATATTGCGAAAAAGAATTAATGTATTTTATACTTATATAAATATGTAAGAATTTTCAATCAATTAATTTTATCATTAATGTCTTCAAAGTGTGCCAGTTAAGCACAGATTACTTTGCCAATGTCATGTAGAAAGGAGAAGACACATAGGAGATTGGTCGGTAACTTATTTTTTTTAACACAACAAATAAAACAAACCAAAATATTAAAAAGATTCAACTTTTACATTTTTCTTATTATCGTTGTAAAAATTTTCAGGCTTTGTGCTGGTATGGAATGGGATAATGATGGCGATTATTTAGCAATAATAACACCAAACAGTAACACTGTGCTGCTGTGGGAGTGCCATGCCAACAAACGCGTCAATATCGAGACAGGTCTAAGGGAATCCCCTTCATGTCTGGCATGGTCCTATGGGGAGCCTCTATTAGCAATAGGAACATCTAAAGGAAATCTTGCTTTATATAACCATCATACTACCAAGTGAGTTATTTTATTAAGATTAAGAGGGAGAGATAGCTAGAGAGAGGGAGAAAGAGAGAGAGAGAGATATTTGGATAGATGGGATTGTCCCAAAGTTTGTTACTTTTATTGACGTAATTTACATCTCAGACTTAAAACACAAGATAAATGTAGATATCTGAAATAGTAATTAAAGTATGAAATGGTTTAATAATTATCCATTTACAATACTATACTCATTGCTATTTCCTCATTCTGTTCCATTAGGAATAAAATAAACAAACTAATTTGGGGAATATATTATATTGAACATATTTTTTTTAAGAAGTATTTTTTTCTTCAAATCCCAACCCTCCTTTCGAAGGGGAGGATTGGGAAAACAAATATAGTCATATTTCAGTTTTCATGCCGTTTATTTTACTTGAATGCAATTAAATTTGGTATATTCGTCGGAAGAAAAAAAATAAGATACACAATCAGTGACAACAAAAAATGTCCTTACCGAAAATTTCTCATTTGAACATTTGAACGTGCGTTTAATTTTTTTTTTGAAAACAACTTTAAGCATTGCATTTAAGGTTCAATTTACATGGTTAATAATAATATTTATTTCTACTAGAATAATTCCCTAAACTTGTATCTAGTACTTCTTTGATCAATGAGTATTTACTTTACAAAGATATCTGCAAGCTCTCATGATTTTGTCTGTTGTATTTCATGTCCAAAGTGGGTTTTAATTTAGTATGACTGGAGCGGGCAACAAAAGAAGTATTTATTTTAATTTCAAGCATAAGTTATATTTCCTTTTTACTTGTTACTTATAACATTCAGTTTGGCTTAGCTGCTGAAACGCTAGCAATGTGCTGGCTACGGCCAGTCGAATGTTGAATCTCGTTGCCCCTCTCGGTCCCCTCTCCCCGCTCAGGTGCATCGTAGCCTTGATGTATTTTTTGAATTTATACTTCATTTGGCACGTTTCGAAAAAAATATGAGAATACATTTTTTTAGATGCGTGCGCGCGCGCGCACACCGTCAGTGCAGTGAGTTAGCTGCATTCTTTTTACAAACAGAGAGTTGTCACATACGGGATGAAATCTTTAGCTACTTTTGTTCTGTTACGCCAAAGAAGTATAGTTTCTTACGTGCATACATAAATACATACAAACTTTTTTTTTATTTTAGACGCATACCCATAATTGGCAAGCATACGAAGAAAATAACCTCGGCAGCTTGGAACAGAGATAGCATATTAGTTCTAGCTTCTGATGATAAAAACCTATCTATAAATAATTCTGATGGAGACACTCTTAGGATGATATCGCTGAGAGATATTCCTAACGATTTACAGTTCTCTGAAATGAAGACTGATGAAAGAGTTGCTGGTGAAAATACTGTGAGTGTCAAATGTTTCTAAAATATTAAAAATACCCATATTAAAAATATGTCAGATTTTATGTTCAGCTCATTGTGAAAAAGTATAATATATTTTATTTGTAATCTAATAAATAAGAATACCGGGCGACCGCACTTGGCTCATCTCGCCTAGGCGCTCATTCAGTAGGCTTATCATCCATTGGTATCGATGAAAAAAGTACTAGATACACAATCAGCGACAAAAAATGTCCTCACCGAATAAGCGCTCATTTGAACATTTAAGCGCGCTTTTTTTGTCAACACAATTTTAAACATTGCATTTAAGGTTCAATTTACATTTTTGTATATTTATTTCACTAGAATAATTACCTAAACACAATTAATTGGTGACAATTTTTAGAGAACTTTTGCATGAGATTGTGTATCTAGTACTTTTTTGATCGATTACTGGCGACATATTGGTAAGTACCCCGTACGAGATGGCATTCTATGACATTGTCAACATGACGGTGTCGGGGGGTATACGGCTGTAATATTTTGTCTATAGGGGCTGGTTAATGAAATCTCGGAGCACTTAATTTCACACACTTAATTTTACTGTCCGCCACCATATAGGAAAGGTTTTGTATAAAGAATGGAAGAACGAAGTTGTCAGCTACAAAAACATAATAATTACAAATAATTACAAAATTGTTGCCAACTATAAAAATGTACATGTTGAAAATGCCAACAGAGAGAAGATAGAAAAAGGTTTTATTATTAAATTAGTTTATAAGAAAATTTTATTTTTGTGAATAAATGTGTTTTTTAAGAAGATATATTACACGTCTTGTATTACTTTGTAGATAAGCCTCGTTGTCGGGAAAAGAACACTGTACTTATACAATCTGCTAAATCCAGAGAACCCAATAGAACTTGCCTTTCAACAGAGATATGGTTCTATTGTGTCATACAAATGGTATGGAGATGGGTACATTCTTATAGGATTTAGTGCCGGATATATAATAGCTATATCTACCCACATAAAGGAAGTTGGTGAAGAATTGTTTCAGGTGAAGAATCATAAAGATGGTTTGACTGATATCGCTATATTCGATGGGCAGGCAGCGTCGTGTGGCGACGGACAGTGAGTATTTATGTATTGGCGTGAATTATATGTATAACTTTAAGGTATGTTACAAGAAAAAACTATAGGGTATTGAAAGTTCAAAGTTATAAAGACCGGCAAGTAACTTGACAATTTGCTTTTAATTTTGTATAATAATAGCTATTTAGGTCTCTTTTGTGAGCTGAAGCCTAACCGCCGCCTCTAGTGCGCTAACTTTTCTTTTTGTTCAAGTTGTTTGCCACTCGTTTCATCACTTGGTTTGAAGAAAGTTAAATAAACAAAAAATAACAGAAAACCAAGTATACGTACGTTGTATAACTGCAGCTAGTAGTGTGCAATAAATATGTAAATGATATTTACTGATAATATAGGATAATCTTTATTATATCATTTATCAAATTTAATGAAATATATTTATAATCAAAAACAGATTTGACAATAATTAATAATTTATTAATTAAGATAACAGATAACTTAATTTCTATTGGTTATATCTACATTAATATTTTAGAATTAAGAATTTGGTTGTTGCATGGCGTTTCTAGGGCAGTAATATTTTCTTACTAATTTAATGTTTACAATCAATTTACGGTAAAATTAAATTTTCAATTCTATCCAAGAATATCTAAATCACAAAATACATGAAATTGTTAAGTGCAGTAGCTGCCGTAATACTGCATTATAAATATTAAAATAAATTAGTCAAGATTTTTGCCAATAATTCTCAGCAAAGCTTCTTTACTGTGCTGCGTATTTAGGGTTCCGTATCTCTAAAGGAAAAATAAACCCTTATAGGATCACTTCTGTCACTACCCATTTTGTCAAAAACGCGCGAGGTATCATGTTGAAATTAATATCAAATACTCAGGTCTATAATCTCTTGGAGCTATAAAAAAATTAAATTTCTAAGTCAACACAAACAAAAGGTGCCGTATATTTTGACATTCGCAAGGGAAACAATACCGTTGACCTAGAATAAAGAAACTTGGCAAGAAGCAATGTCCTTTAAAACGAAATTTTTTGCACGAAACTTATTTTAATGTTGAACGCCACGGAATCCTCGGTGTTCGAGTCAGACTCGCACACTTGCACTTGTCCGATTTTATTTAGTTTCGAATTTTACTGTTAAAATATTTATTAATAAATATTTACCAAATTCGAGTAGGTATACTTATACTACACAAACCCCTACGTTTAAATGTTTACGTATATATATGACTTAAATAAAATATAATTTTACTAAATATAATATTCGTTTTAACATTCAGATTGAAGTTAATATCAGTATGGAACAACGGTGAAGTCTCCGGGTCGGTGGTGCCCGTGGGCGGGTCCGAGCGGTGCGGGTGGAGCTCCGACGGGCGGCTGCTGGCCACCTCCGGCAGGGGCTACCTGAGCGTGTACGTCACCGCCCTGCCGCCCTTGTACGCGGCGTACGGCACCAGAGTAGTTACGTTAACTAACCTCACTGAAGTAACTGTGTACCAGTGCATCGGAGTAGGGGATGAATCGGAGTCTGTTAATAAATGTGAGTGGATTTGTTTTATTTTTATGGAAAAAGAGTAAATATCAAATAGATTATGTGAATGACGTAGTTTTGTATTTTGTATTTATTAAATTATCACAAATTCTACTTTGGTCGGAATCAACTGAAGTTAGTCTAGTTTTGTTATGGTTATTGAAATAATAATTTTATATAAATCATAACTTTGTTAAGATTAATAAATAATGCGCAAAATTAACACATAAAACATGGTTGCTCGACAACATTTTCTCTTTTACCGATAACAGCGCATCTAAGGAAATTTAATTTCAAACAACTTTTGTCATAACAATTTTTCCTCTAAAATTGAAAATAAACTAGTTATTCAATAAACAAAAATGAACCCTTAAATTCAAGATGGCGGATGACGCAACGGGCCTGGTACCCCGGGAACCTATATTTAGATGGCCAGTGACCCAAGAGCCCAAAGAATTTACAAGGAAAATTGCCAGTAAAAATATTTGCAATGTCAAATCCTAATTCGACTGGGCTATATATTGCTATAAAAATATTTTATAAGTTAAATTATTTCCAGCGGAGCCGGTCCCTGTCGCGCGCATATCGCTAGAGACAGAGCCGTCGCTGCTGGCGCTGTCGCAGTCGCACGTGTGCGCGGCGCGCGCGCAGGCGGCGTGGTTCCACGCGCTGCGCGGCGGCGTGTGGCGGCGCGCCTACCCCGCGCGCGTGGACGCCGTGCGCGTCGCGGGCGACCTCGCCGCGGTTATGTTCCAGGGGAGGGCTATGTTGCATTCTGTGAGTCGTGGTTTTTGAAGTAAAACTTCTTACGCACGCTTGGCTTGGGGAGTAAGCTGGTGACGAAAGCGTTACGAGAAGTGTGATCGGGCGAGGCGAACGTTTGTTGCCATGGTAACCGTTGCTATTGTCTGACAAATGGTATATAATATTATATTCTTTCCTTAAATGATATTCTATAAATATATGATAGTAATATGCCTAATATGCGGTATTTAATTATTTTATTAAACTTTATCATTCCTTTATCAAACAGAGAGTTGTGACATAAATTTTTAGCTATTTTTGTTTTTGTTATGCCAAAAAAGTTTTACTTCAACCGCGCGTAAAGATATACACGCACCCATTTTTTTGAAGGTAAAACTTCTATAGGTAGGTTTGGATGGGGAGTAAATTCATGTAAGTCGTCATCGACATGGTCACGTGACGTGTCAACGCTAACACTCGACAGTGTCGATAGATGTCAAAACCAGATAAATGTAAACAGTTTTTATTTTACTACGGGCGTTTATGCGGATGTGATGATGTGTATGGTGTTAAGATTTTCAATATCCATTTACACTAATATATCAATTACTTTGAAATGAAACAAAATAATGATTTTCAAGTTGTTGTAAGCTATAAATGGATATATTATAAAATATTATTTAAATAATATTTTATAAAATATCCAAAAACGTTCATATAAATTTGGAAAATTAAAAAATCTATCATATTTATTATCTTTATATAGCGTTACATGGCCATATGATGATTGGAATAACAAAGAGAATATTGGGTATGGCTGTTACTTGATTTAAAAGTAGAGGTAAACCAAGTTATGGATAGACTGTGTGAAAAAAGATGTGCGTGGGAAAGATGTGAGTGCTGATATAATGGCTGTTAGAGGAAAATAGAAGCGACTATACGTATTGTGGAATAAGAATAGGGATAGAATAAGAAAGGGGTAGAAGAAAAATACTTATAATTATCTTTACAATCCATTCTTAGATCGAAGGGCCGGACTCCTCGCAGCCGGAGCGCGACGCCATGATGTTCCCCGAGCCGCATATGCAGGGCGCCACCATCGTCGATATACATCTTACTACAGATTTCTTTATATTTGCAACGGATGTGAGTCATTCGTATTATATGAATACAGAAACTCGGCTATGAATTAAGTAAAAACAAGCTTTATTTTAAATAAGAAAGTATTAGACAAGCTTTATAATAATGGGCATATATATGAATCTGTGACTCTAATGTCGCATACATTGTAATAGACATGTGAAATCCAAAGATATAATAAGAGTTAAATAGTTAAATTAATGACTTACTTTCGCTTCACTTGGATTTCTTTAGGTGTTCCCCTAGGGCAGGCTATCTGTTAATTAAATTTCATTTAAATATGTTCAGACGTTATAAGCATGAAGGAGTAACAAACGTACATCCAAAGATATAAATTTTTGCGTTTATAAGAAGTAGCCAAATTGATTATTATTGATATTAATTGATATTGTAATAATATTTGTATGTAAATACAAATAATTACAATAATGATTGAAACTTTCATGTGAAACTAAATCTTCTACATCTGTAAAATTCAAAGATCTAAAAATGTTCTCTAATCTCTTTAAAATCCAGAAGTTTAAATAAACTTAAATAGTTTAAAAAAAATGTCTAATAATATTTAGAAGTTATGTTTAAACCGTCCAGCAAGGTCACATAGAGTACTTCAGCGTGGAGGCGTGGCGCGCGTGCTGGCGGCACGCGGGCGCGGGGGGGCTGCGCGCGCTGCGCTGCGACGCGGGCGCCGCGCGCGCCGTGCTGCTGGGCGCCGGCCGCGCGCGCCTGCTGCTGGCGCCCGCCGCGCTCCTCCTCGCGCTGCCCGACCCCGACACCGACCTCGGCAGGTACATGTATACCGTATACCTCCCATGTGACCCTTCGGCGATAACCGAGTGAAGCCAGTTTAAATCCCGGGTCTTACACCTTTGATATTTTCATGTGCGATTCATTTCCAATATGATTGCCACTTGTCTTAACGGTGAAGGAAAACATCGTGAAGAAACCTGCATGTCTGAGAAAATCTAGCAAGTTTTTAAAAAGACATTTGAAGTCCGCCAACCCGCACTCGGCCAGCGTGGAGGACTATGGCCTGATTCCCCTCATACTGAAGGGAGGCCAGTGCACAGCTGTGAGATGTTAAAAAAGGGTTGAATACATACATTATATAACAAATATTACGTGTCCTAGCTGTGAGTCAGTGATCTGGGACATGTGCCTATCGGAGCGCAACGTGTTCGCGCTGGCGGCGGGCGGCGCGCTGCACACGTACTGCGTGGCGGCGGGCACGCGCGGCGCGCACGCGGCGCTCGTGGCGGCCACGCGCCTGGCGCCCGCGCTCGCGCCGCTGCTTATGTTCGCTGGTGACGTGTACTGCCACGCGCCGGGAGGCAGGTAGGTCATAAAATAAATGGATCATAAGGGTCTCATACAAATTTCTTAACCTTAGTAACCTTTCGTATAAATAAAGAATCAAATATAATTTCATAAGGCGGAGATATCCAGTAGCACTCTTTTTGCCCCTTTTTGGAGGATGTAAACCCCTTCCCCCACCCCCTTTCCCATCAATTAAATATCCAAACACAGTAAAGTTCTATAAAAAACACAAAATGAATTCTATAAAGTCGTGAAACCTGTATACCAAGTTTTGTCCAAATCGGTTGTAAAATACGATCACGAGGAGTACTAACAATGTGACAGAGGAAAGCCAAACTTGTATTCATATACCTAAGGCAAATCAATTGTAACAAATTTTAAAAAATTCTATGCATTTTATAAACAAATGATCTACAATAACGCCAATAACATAAATAATCCCCTATAATTTTATCATTTTAATCAATACATATTGAACTTCCAGTGTAGTCAAGGTGGCCCTAGAGTCGCACAACACGGCGGGGCTGGCGGACGCGGACACGGAGCGGCGGCTCGCCAACCAGCGCGCGCACATCGACAAGCTGGTGGCGCTGCGCCGCTTCCACGACGCCTGGCTGTTCTGCGACGCCGTGGACGAGGAGCCCATGTGGAGGAAGTTGGGGGAGGCCGCCATCGAGGATCTCAATGTGGAGTTTGGTAATTTGTTTCTTATATTTTTTTTTATTCACTTTTATTATTTACAATTATTAGTGATTTTTGATAAAAAAGCAAGAAAATTATTTTTTAGCAATCCGAGTGTATACAAGGCTCAGCGACGTTGCCATGGTGTGGGCTTTGGAAGATGCTCTGCATATAGAAGAAATACCTATATTATGGTAAGGGTTTTAATTTAATAAAAAGATATTAATTATAATACCATTTGAAATTTATGCTAATATTATAAAGAGGAAAGATTTTTTTGTTCGTTTATTTGTTTGTTTGTTTATACCGAATAAGCTTCGAAACTACTGAATCGATTTATATAAAATTTGGTAAGAAGAGAGTTTGAGACCCTGAGAAGGACATTGGATAGTTTTATTCCGGAAATCATCCTTTAAGGGGGTGAAGATGGGGATGAAAGTTTGTACATCCATAGTTTTAGCATAACTCTATCCCCAGCGGCATGCTGTGCGCGTGCCTCGGCAACGGCGAGGCGGCGGCGCGCTGGCTGGAGGGCGCGCGCGGGGCGGCGGCCGCGCTGGCGCTGGAGCTGCACGCGGCGCGCGGCGACTGGGCGCGCGCGGCCGCGGCGGCGGCGGCGTGGCCGGCGCGCGCGCCCGCCGTGCTGCTGCACCAGGCCACGCATCTGGACCTAACGTCGGTCTTAGTGTTCATATATATTATTATATATACATTTATTTATTTGTAGGCGTACAATATATTATATGGCCGTGTTGAAATTTATGTTAAGATTTTACTTTTTTAAACTTAATTTTCTTTCATTTACTATACAGGCATTTATATACCCTCTCTGTCTCTACATAGTAGACGCAACAGGAATATTCATAACTTTCAATCAGTTACACTATTATCGGACAACTATTATCTGTATATATGCGGAAATTTGTTTATGTGTGCTCGCGCATGTGTATGTGTGTTATTGTTACTCCTTCATGCTACAACGACTAGACGGATTTATATAAAATTTTGTACAGATAGTGTAATCTGTATACTCAATTTTTCTGACTATAATAAGAGAATATGAAGCGAGAATAAATGTGTTAATGTTTGTAGTATATAAACATAGGTAATTGTTTCAGAGCTGACTACCACGAAGCTTTAGCAACTTACGAGAAGAGTATGATTACGGAAAAAACAAACGATATCAAAGTTAAGGAACACAACGCAAAATGTGAAGCCGGCATCGCGCGCATGTCCATACGATGCGGAGACGTCATGAGAGGAGTTACAACCGCGATGAAATATTCCCACGACACAAGTTTACTAAAAGACTGTGCCCAATTACTTGAAGAAGAAAAACAATACTCCCACGCAGCAGCTCTTTACGATCACGCCGGGAACACAGAAAAGGCGGCGTCCCTATACATCAAGCTGAAGTCTTGGCTCAAAGTCGAATCTCTTATACCAAAGATCAAATCGCCAAGTATTCATCTACAATATGCGAAAGCTAAAGAGGCAGAAGGCAGATATAGTGATGCTCTAAAATCATATTTGAAAGCGCAAGACTTCGAGTCGGCAATACGGTTAAATTTAGACAAACTGGATGACATTGACGAAGCAGTTCATTTAGTGCAAGAGACAAAGTCCGTGCAAGGTGCTAAAATGGTGGCGAATTATTTCCAAAACACCGATGATCCGACATCAGCGATAAAGTTTTTAGTGATGTCCCTGTGCTATGACGAGGCGTTTCAGTTGGCGAGGAAGAATGGCAAGTTGCACTTGTACGGGGAGATATTGATACAAACGTCACAAGCGCGGTCGGAGGATTTCAAGAGTCTCGCGTTGCATTTTGAAGGAGAAAAAAACTATTTGTTAGCGGGAAAGTTCTATTTTCACGCCGGCGAGTATGGAAAAGCTATGACACATTTGTTGAAGGCGGGGGCGTCGGATACTGAGGAAAATGAAGCAATTACGATCGCGATTGATGCTGCCGCTGCGAGCGATGATGAGAGGCTGGCTAGAAGGTAATGTATTATTTTTGTACAATGACGATTAATATATATATATATATATATATATATATATATATATATATATATATATATATATATATATATAGTATAATAATATAAATAAATTGATTGTTGCGGTTTCTAATCGGAGAATTTAATTTGAAATAGCCAATAAAGTATGACTATTACAAACAGTTGTTATTTTTTATAGTTTGCTCAAAGATTTGTATCTGTGTAATGTAATGGAGATACAATGTCTATTGTTGGAATTTGTTGCAGGTTGATAGAATTTTTGCTTGGCGAAACAGATGGGAATCCGAAGGATCCGAGACATTTGTTCCGTCTTTATATGGCTAAAAAGCAGTTTAACGAAGCTGCCAAAACTGCTGTAAGTTCTTTTATAGAAATTAATCAAATTCTGACTTTGTTATGAAATTATTTCCCATACAAACTTTCAGCCCCATTTTCATCCCCTTAAGTGATGAATTCCGGGATAAAAGTACCCTATGTCCTTCCTAGGGTCTCAAACTATATATCAAATTTCATCTAAATCGGTTCTGTAGATCCAGAGATTACCCCCTACAACGTCACAAACTCAGAATCTCACAAACTTTACCTCTTTATAATATTAGTATAGATAACTTTATTAGTCTATAATATGTACCTAATATGATGTAATGTTAATGTATTGTAACATTTTAAAGCTGTTTTTAAATATTTTGTATAAGACTATTTTTTCGGATTTTTTCGCGGATTTATTTTATTTTTTTGTTTCCGACGTTTCGAATGCTTTACAGCGATTATGGTCACGGGAGAATCATGTTCTTAAATAGTGTTTTGAAAATTAAAAGTTGTGGAAATATTATTTATTACTTTACATTTAATTAGAGCGGCAGTGTCATTTACAGTAACTAGATTATACATTATAAATTATGACAAACATAAAAGGAAAGAGAAAAAAATAAATTCTGAGAATATTAATGGATTATTCAATAGTCTCAGCACCTTAGTAACTTAAGAAGCTGACCACTTGTCATCGAGTGGGTCCCATTGAGTATTATGTAATAGCGAATGTGTGTGGTCTTGCAGGTGATAATAGCGGGCGCGGAGTGCGCGGCGGGGCGCTACCGCGAGGCGCGCGACGCGGCGCGCGTCTCCTGCGCCGCACTGCGCGCGCGCGCCACCGCGCCGCCGCGCGACCTGGCGCGCGCGCTCGCCGCCGCGCACACATACATGCTGGTGACCGGCACGCACACACACGCACGGACGCCCGCACGCACACACGCACGCCCACACGCACGCACACCCGCACGCACACACGCGCGCACACCTTCGTGCGTGAACGTGCGCACGCACTGAAACACTGTACTACAATGCTGAATTTTATAACATAAAACTAGTTTGGGACATGATGAAATTATTTTACGTAACATGATTAATGTTTTCAATAAAATTTAACTTTATAAGATTAACGTCTTAAGTTAATAAGCAAATGTGAAAAGGTATTAAATGAGGATAATATAACTGTGGATGTTTGGCTGTTTCGTGTGTTGTGTGCTTGGGTGTTTCGTGTTACGTGATAGATTACTAAAAAATATCGGAAGGATTGAAATTTAAACTAATTTCTGATTAAGCTTTTTATCAACGCACCTACGAGTATCATGAATTTCATGCATTTTAATTTAAGACAATTTAATATTATCAATGTTCTGCTTAAAGGTGCGCACACACGTAGCGCGCGGGCGGCACGAGCTGGCGGCGCGCCTGCTGCTGCGCACCGTCGACGAGATCGACTTCTTCCCCACGCTGCAACGTGAGACACCATTTGATTTAGACTATTATTTATACTGTCCTTTGTTGATTAGCGCCTTTTTGATAATATTATACATGATTTGAGTCGCCAGAGATTGTTAGATTTTTGTTGTTTGGAATCTTAAGTACGTATAGTAATATATTTTCTGTCTACTATGTATGAAATAATATTGTAAAATTCGGGCAACAAAATTACTGGATATGTTTAAGTACACATTAATACTGTACCCTGTAACAGTTTAATGGATTATACTGATATTACAAAAAGTAATAGCCCCAGGATATACATGGATAGGACAGTTATTTAATCGACTAACATACTACGCGATCTAATGAGAGGGTTAATTATAATAATAAATAAGTAATTAGAAATAATTATATGTGAACAGACCAAGTGTCGATCCTGACGTCGGCCGTGATCGAGTGCGGGCGCGCCGGCCTCAAGCACGCCGCGCTGCGCTGCGCGCGCACGCTCATGCGCCCCGAGTACCGCGACCAGGTAGTGGGTTGATTTTGTTGTTTTAAATAAAACTATCTTTTCGGATTTTTTCGCAGATTTATTTTGATTTTTGGTTCCCGACGTTTTGAATGATTTACAGCAATCATGGTCACGGCAGAGACTAAGGTTTTAGGTGACTCAAAGGCATTATATAGTTGTTACAGACAGCCTACCCAAAAAATAAGAAAATTAAAATTCCAAAATTGAAAAAGGGGACCAAATTACCTTACAATATTTGTTAATTTTAAACACTTATAATTTTAATAAATTTTATAATTGAACATGGAATATTATTTATTTAATTTTAGCTGTTTTTGTAATAATTATAATCTGAAAAGGTGGTTTTATTTAAAATGTCAAATATTCGCGTACATCTAAGAAAGTATTGATTTAGTTGCATGTACAAAACATATATACGTGTATCACGCTTTTGTTTTGTTATAGTCAAAATTGTAAAATACCCTTGTTTTTGTTTTATCAATATGTATTTAAAATCGAGTGCAGTATTATTACACAGTCACAAGTAACAAGTAAAATAGGTTAAGTGTGGGAATAGCTAGGCTCTATGGATAGGTCAACTCGGGTTTTCACCAAACCGTGTTAATACGAGTTAAAATTATGGCAACATGAGTTGAAGTCGAGTTGGACAAATCAAGTTAGCACTTTAGGTGGTATGAAATTCATATGTACAGCTGGATAAATTATAGCGGATCGATAGTATTAATCCCTCCACGACCGGGGACACGTCGGCGGAATTAACAATAGATTTCTTAGAAATTTAATTAATTTCTTAGAAATTTACCTGGACATACTACTTGAATGTCAATCGATCTTCAAGTACATCGTGAAGGATGCTGCATTACCGAATAGTTACTTTACTCGAATTATCTCGAACAAGTGTAACTATGATCAAAATTTCTTGATATATCTGATGGTTACATCTGCATATAAAATATTTAAAAAATATAATAATATGTATTAAATTCAAAAATATTTTAGGCATGTAGGAGTTCTAATAGTTCTTTGTATGAAAATGGAACTGGGATATATTGTTGTTATTCATACATGTAAGTACTCTTCTCATTCTTAGGTTCATTCATCTGTGACATAATGATTAATTTATAATGAAAAAGTTAAAACACCTTAAAAGTTTTAAAGCAGCCGATTCCGTTCCACTCCCGTTACTTAAAAAAACCCCTTCATTTAGAATATGTAATTGTTAAGAATCAAATTCCTCGTATTAACAAAAGCGCCCCCCGCCCTCAGATAGACCCCAAGTACGCCAAGAAGATCGAGTCGGTGGTGCGGCACGGCGCGCGCGGGCCGCCGCCGCCCGCGCCCGCCGCGCCCTGCCCGCGCTGCGGCGCCGCCGTGCCGCGCGCGCTGCTGCACTGCGCGCGCTGCGAGGCCGACCTGCCCTTCTGCCTCGCCACCGTGAGACCACGTCTTCACTCTCCCTTACCTTCCTCTACCCCTTGAATCCCACTTTTTTTTAGACACGAGATGTGAGACTCACCATCAAAGCCAGTGCTACTCACTAAAACCGACCGATCGGAAATGACACAATATGTGATGTATGATTACAGGTCTGTGTAGTTGTTTCAATGCTACTTATTGTATAGACTAGCGACTTTAATCCTCGCTTCTTTCGGGTGCGTCGTTTTTTTAGCGGAACCCTAATTATTTTTCTAAAATAAAAGTAGCCTAAGTTATCAAAATCAGTCCAGCCCTTTTGAAGATTCGCCGGAACGAGCAGACACACAGGCAAAAATTTGAAAAAAATGTGTTTTTTATAAGTACTGTATAAAATTTCATATGCATTTAGTAAAAAACTTATTTTGACATTACAAACAGGCACTTCAATTTTATTTATCTATATAGAATTGTCATTTGAGTGATGTATGGGCTTTTGTATTAAATAGACAATAAATATTTTTGTAAGCAATTGTTACAAGGTATAATAAAGATCAAATACAAGTATAAGATATTAACAAAATAAGATTACAAGACCCACGAAAACGTAACAAAGTGTACTTTTTCTTGAATAAATTTAATTTTAAAACTAACATAAGTAAATTTTCTCCAGGGTATGCACATTGTTAAAGATGATCTCACAGCGTGTCCGGAATGCGACTTCCCCGCTATTTATTCTGAATTTAAAGAGTAAGTGAAAAAATTACTACATTTTCAAATGAACTATATAGCAATACTAGCATTGCCCGCGGCTCCGCCCGCGTTCAGCTGACCAAAAACCAAATTCTTAGGTTTCACATATTAGTATACTCTTACATTGCCGTTTTTGTACTTTTTCTCAGAAATGAGATATTTTTTCGCGGTAAAAAGCATCCTATATGTTGACCCGGATCACCAGCTATCACCATACCAAATTTCATCAAAATCCCTCCAGTGGTTTTTCTGTGATGCGGTAAGAGACAGACAAAAATTCTAAAAACTATAGATTTGGCCTCTGTATCGATAATAATGTTTATTTCAATAAGATTTTCCAGAAAATTATAATGTACAGATTGGGCTTAGTTACAATTTTATTATATACTAGCGACTCACCCTCGCTTCGGCTCGGGTTCGTCCCTGGGTTGATTCCCCATATAAACTTTCATCCCTATTTTCACCCCTTTAAGGGATGATTTCCGGTAAAAGGTAAAAGTATTCCGGTAAAAGTATCCTATGTCCTTGCCAAGGTCTCAAACTATCTTCTTACCAAATTTCATCTAAATCGGTTTAGTAGATCCAGAGATTACCCCCTACAACGTCACTAACTCACAAACTTTACCTCTTTATAATATTAGTATAGATAACAATATAATAATAGTTTTTGCCCTCAGAGTTGATCGCTTAATGACTTTGATGAATAGCGGTCTATGAATTAATCCAGAATAAGATATATCCATTCCGAATTATATTTTTCTTTAAACATTCAAATCTGTTGAGCCGTTACTGCTTGAAGAAGCAAAAAATACACCCAAACTTTTGTGTTTTTATTATTTATGCAAATAGTATGATCGAACTGATATTGAAATATTTCCATATAATATTGAACTCAGTTAAAAATAAAAATAATTTTTGAATAATTATCTTTCAGAATTCTACGGGACGAAGGCAAGTGTCCGATGTGCGGTGAAAACGTGGATTATCGCAGACTCGTTAAAATAGACGATGTAGCTTTATATTTGGACTTTAAGAGCGGGGAATAAGGTCTATATTGCCTTACTAGTAGTACTTAGCAGTGCTTTAATGTATTGACAAATTGTGATTGCTATCCGTCCTCGTAATGATAAGATCGACGATTATTATCAATTTTAGATAACATTCATGTTTTAAAATAAGTTGTACTTCCGTGTAAGATAATTTAGTTTTATTTTAATATTAAAAAATAAAATCATCAATTAATTTTTTTTTTCTTATTTAAAAATAATAATATTCCATAAGTTTTTCTGCGGCACGTGGTTAAGTTATATATTATAATATTGCTTCATTTTCATTGATGAATTTGCTTTAATTAACATACAAAATAACACAAATATAAAAAATAATAATAAAAAGTGAACTTTATTTAAGCTCCCGAAGAAGGTTCAGGAATCGATACATAATTATTGTAATTCTGGATGAATGCTCCATATTATTAAAATATTAAAGACTAGCTATGCCCCGCGGTCTCACCCGCGTTAAATTTGTTTCATTATAATCATTCGTTTTACAATAATGTATGGAAGTCTGCCCGAATTGTTGACATTTATGATTACTGCTCTCCTCCCTTGGGTAGTAGCATGATTATATATAGCCTATAGCCTTCCTCAATAAGCGGACTATCTAATACAAAAAGAATTTTTAAATCATATTAGTAGTTTCAGAGATTAGCGGGTTCAAACAAACAAACTCTGACTTTTATAACATTAGTATAGGATATAGGAACCCACAGTAAATAAAACACGTAAAGAGTGATGAAACATTTAATTTTCATTTGAAAGTATACCAAGTTGTAGTTACACGTCCGATACTGAGATTCAAATGAAATGTAAAACACAATTGTTGGTATATATTATACAAAAACGCGACGGGTCAGCGCGGGCGGCTCGGCAATGTTTACTTCAAAATACTGCTAATGGTAAAAATTCATATGATTCCCTTTTAAAAATTTGGAATTGACTCAAGAATGAGATATAGGCGCTGAATAGTTTAAACATTCTAGTTTTCAAGTCAAGAGTAGGCTAAATGTGATCAGAGTAAATATTTTCAAGTAACCGCAGCCACGTCCGTCCCGCCGACTTCCCTTTCTTTAGTCTAGAATCATCAATATTGCCCTAATATAATTACTACTACCTATCTATGCCTTAAGTAGACAGTACATTTATACAACTTAAATTAATGACAAGAAGAATAACTCAAATAATATATCAATGATAGAAATCAATGGATTGTGCTAATCGTACGCGCGCGGGGTGCGGGGGAGAGGGGGGGGGGCTCTACGCGCGCTCTGCTTACATTACTACATTAGTGACGTGAGACATTCACCATATTAGTTCGGTAAAGTTTCTAAGCTTCTCACAATGCATGTATTAATTTAACGAAATTAAATAAATTTCTTGCTTGAAATAATTAATTGTAATTTTTTTTTACAAAACAACTCACGTAAATATTTTCATCGTGTAAATAGAACGTGAATTTGACGACATGAATATTTGTTGTATGTTTTGTGTCTGTGGAGTTCACATCACTAAATAAAACAATTGAAAGCTAGTTTCGTGAAATTAATTGAACCATGCGTAAAACTAATATCGTAATATAAATAAAGGCTTAACGCTCTATATCAATTCTCCTTTACTCCAGTCTATAGTTTATAAAACCGTAATGACCACTAACGGTTCGCTCTAAATTTTTATTGTATATACTTATCAAAAGTGAATGTTGCGGAGTGCGAGCCGCGCCCGCGCGTTGTAGTACGATAATTCCGTCGAGGCAATTCCTAATTTTATCGCACTGAGTCGATTCATCATTGCAAATTATCCAGGCCTTCAAATATGTTGCGACGTGTCGCGACATGTTGCGACACGTCGCGTTACGGCTTGTCGCGACATATTGCGACACGCCGCAGACAGTGTACAAACCAGCCTAAACTAAAAAGCGTTTGCGGGTGCATTATTTTAGACCGATTACCTCCGATATGCTATATTTGAAGTCTTTGAATGCATATTCAGAATATTAAGAGTTATTTTTAAATATATTTTCCAAAGAGAAGAAAGCCTATTTTACTTCTAGAGGAGGTCTCTAAGAAAGTTAGGACAGTTTTATAAATTTTCAGAGCGAAAATTAACTCAACACGTCATGATAGATTTTTCACGAGTTTGTGAAAAATTCGCAGCGCTTTCTAACCTATAAGATGCAAATAATTGGAGTACAAAATTTTAAATATTGGTGTTATATATATTCGTAAAATTTTTGTCCATCACGTGACATGATTTCAATAATGGACGACTTTAAAGTATACGAATAATAAGTCGCATAGACAATAGTACTAGATAAATTATACTTATGACGTGATTATAATGATCTTGTTATATTTGTTTCTGCATAGTTTCGTATTGAAATCACGGCACAGACAGAGCTAATATAAAATTTACATTATAATGGAACGGATGACGCACTAAAGCATTGAATCAATAATGAGCATTAGCCTCGGCGGCGGCCGGGGCTTGCAGCGGGGAAGTTCCCGTCGAAAGAGTGGACACCTCGATAGATTGGACGAATCAAATAAATCAACTTTTTCTTTTTAAACACGAATAGAATTCAATAATAACAAAGTATATGTATAAATATTGCGATTATATCGTATCATCTCATCTCGTTCTCGTTGGCCGGATACACTTTTGTATATACAAATATCTAGGTCCACTCTCTCGACAATAAATAGCTCTCGTAGAATATTTACAAATGCATATAAAAATATTACAAAACAATAGACACGATGGCACTTGGTTGCGTTGTAGAGGGAGACCGACCGGAGCGACAGGGCGCCTGCGACGCGGCGCGCGTGTACAGTCCATACATACATACGATATATATACTATATTAAGGGAATGTATAAAAATTAGCTTCGACTATATCAAATGTTAACTCCTCAACAATAAATACTATAAATCTTTGGTTTGATTCAGTGATTTGATTACAAAAGTGTAGGTGTCGCTCAGTGGAGGTGCGCGCGCTTGGGCAGCGCGGCCACCACGCGCACGCGGTCGCTGAACTGCGGCGGCGGCGCCAGCACCGGCGCGGGCGCGGGCTCCGCCGCCGGCTCCTCGGGCGGCGGCGGCAGCTCCGCCAGCGACACGGCCGCGCGCCGCCCCGGCGCCTTGGCCACGTCCACGCCCAGGCGCTCGGCCGCGCTGCGCCCCGCGCCCGCGCCCGCGCCCACGCGCGCCAGCGCCGCGGCCGCGCGCTTGCGCGTCAGCGAGTTGTGGCGCGCCATGGGCGGCGGCGCCAGGCTCTCGGAGGAGCTGTGCACGGGCTCGGTGCTGATGACGTCGTTGCCGGACTTGACGGTGACGGAGGCGCAGAAGGACACCTTGTCGCGCCGCGGCCGCGCCTGCGCCTCCTGGTCGGAGGACACGCCCGAGGACGAGTTGTCGCCGTCGTCGCGCTCGCCCGACAGCTCGTCGCCGCACGACTTGGACGACTTCAGCCGCGTGCGGATCTTCTGTATCTCGTCCACGGAGAACGAGTGCTGCATCGACCCCGACCCCGACCCCGAGCTGCTGCCGCTGGAACAGACGGACGCTTCGAGTTATCATTTATCATAATTCAAAATTATATTAACTGAAATGCTCGACATGAAACAAATAAGTACAAACAAATGAACAGTACAAAGAAACAATGAAAGTACTAAAATAATAACCATTTTAAATATGTACAGTTGCTGAATTTTTATATTATTCCGAAATTAGATATATGAAATTCAGATAATAAAAACTTAAACCCATTGATACCAAATAAAAAAAAAATTAAATTAAAAAAATATTACAATAATAATGAATATTGTACACTCATTAGATTTATCCTATTATGAAACAACAGTAACACTGCACTATATTATAATTCAATCAACAGAAACATCTCCCCTGGACAAAGACAAAAGCGATCCCGGTGATGTATATAAATCAACAGTACCTTTCGTAAACATGCAATCTCTACAAACAACTAATGGACTTCTCCTTTATGTTCATAAATGGTCGTGTAAATAGGTATCCTGAAACTGTAATTAACATATAAGGCAAATCTATTTATTGGTCTAAATACAGTATTATCTACTGTTTGATAATTTGAAATTCCTATATGTGAAAATACCGAAAGAATAAGAAAAGTGAAAAATACTCGTACTGTTGTATATTGTACTATTGTTTTAATTATAGGAGTAAGAAGACTGATAAAATTTTTATTACCATTTATTACGTTAACCTAGCCTAGCCAAATGAGGCATACCGTGGTCTAGATCAGCGGTTCCCAAATGGTGGTGCGCGGAACCCTTGCGTTCCGTGGAACGGTCAAAGATTTCGAGATTTCTGAATTTTAAGTTTTCAATCGTGTTTTTAATAATGTGTGCATCCTTAGATTTTTGTTGATTTTTTTTTTACTTTTGTCCATCATGTAACTTTCAAGCCCGGTCCACCGAGTGGGCCTTCCATAATTAAGTACAATTTTTTTTCGAATGTTAAAAATGCAAAAAAAAAATTTAAAAATCGATCAAAAAATCTCAAAATTTACCAGGAAGCCCCTTTTGAGGGATACTAAAAATACCAAAACATTAAGAAAATAAATAACATTTTTTTTCAAACCGTCCAATTCGGCGTGGAATTTCCCGAATGTGTGTATGTATGTATGTGTGTATGTATGTATGTGTGTATGTATGTATGTGTGTATGTATATATGTATGTGCCTGGCTATGGTACCTGGCGCTGCCGCTGGCGCCGGCGTCGGCGGCGGGCGCGCCGGGCCGGCGCTTGGGCGCGTCCTCGTCCGACTCCGACATGCTGTAGTCGGGCTCGGGGATGGGCGGCGCCGGCGTCGAGCTCTGCGGCCACACCATACCATACATCTCATGGGCTTTCTGGGCATTTTGTTTTTTTTGGCACGATTAACATTTTTTAACGACTTCAAAAAAGAATACTCAATTCAATTATATGTGTTAAGAGATCTTGGATTGTGAACCGATTCATTTATAATATACTATTATAACATATATACAATATAAAAACTAACAAATATTGCAAGGTACTTTGTTGCCCATTTTTGAATTTTTTGATCTCATTTTTGTTAATTTGTGGATAGGCTGTCTGTAACAACTATACATATAATGCTTTTTGAGACACCTAAAACCTTAGTCTCTCTTGTAACCATAATTGATGTAAAGCATTCGAAACGTCGGGAAACAAAAATCATAATAAATTCGCGAAAAAATTTGAAAAGATATGCGTTTCCAAACACACAGACAAAAATTATAAAAACTATAGATTCGGTCTCTGTATCAATAATAATGTCTATTTTAATAGGATTTTCCAAAATATGATGATCGCACCTGCCGCACGAATGGCTTGTGCATGTTGATGGGCTGCGCGTACTGGTGTGCCGCGTCGTCCGCCGACGCCGCGCGCGCCGGCCCCGACCACGGCCGCGGCGCGCCGCCCGCCTGCAGTTATACACATGTTTATATGTATTTTACATATATGTTAGTGTATTATATAAGTTCAATTCAATTCAATTCTCTTGCTAATGGCTTCAAAATTATATAAGTTAATACTATTAATTTTCGTTATTAAAATTGCAGGGTATTCGCTTTTTTGTTAGTTTTCAGAACTGACGTATTTTCTTTTCGATGGTATCTGACGGCATATGGTATGGTTCAGTAAAAAGTTGTGAAAAAAAGGTAAGATTAGTAGTTATAGTTTATCATGTTGACTCAATGGGGAAGACTTTATATTTTTTAAAATAAATATTTGGATTCTTTCAAGTAAGCGGGGGCGTAATATAACGTAAGCATATTTAAAAATTGATATACTATGTGAAAAGTTAAATTATTAAAAAAAAATATGTTTTTATAAAGAAATGAAAGTTTAACAGTAGATAGTTACACTACACTAGTGCAGTAGTATGTAGTACGTACGGCGTGGTCGGGGGGCGGGTGCGGGCGGTAGGCGACGGCGGCGAGGTCGCGCGGCGACGCGTACAGCTTGGCGGCGGCGGCGGGCCGGAACGAGGACGCGGGCGCGCCCGGCGGCGGCGGCGGCGCCTCGGCCGGCGGCGGCCCGCGCGCGCCTCCGCCTGCTGGAACCAAACGTAAGTCAATTAAATATATCGAAACATGATGAATGAATAATTTCCCACACACGCAAAATAGGCGTACAGACATCGAGTTGCGGAAACAAGCCCGAATATACCATACTATATATTGGGACATGAACGCACAGCGCCATCTAGTTCTATGGTAAGCTAAGAGGCTTGTGTTATGGATACCAGATAGTTGATACACTACACATATATCACTTTAAATACACACATATTATAAATATAAACACTCATGACTGGAGTACAAACATTCGTGCTCATCGCACAAATAAAAAAATTACATAGATTTGAATTCAAATTATTTACAATCATTACAAGCTATATATAATTCCGACCTAGACTAAGCTACTGTTTAGGCACGCTTAGCTTACGAGCACGCAACGACACAAGGACGCAATCGAGCAAACAGAAGGTAAGTACCTAGTGTACAATATAATAGGAATTCAAAACTTTTAACACGCTTTCATTAGCTTCGCTGTAACTAATTATTAAACTTCTTTTGGGACGTTTGGAAAACAATATGAGAGTAAAATTTTTACGATGTATTAGCTGATAAGTGTTTGTTGCCATGGCAACTGTTATTATTGTCTGACAACTTTATATATATAATTCATATATAATTATATTCTTTCCTTAAATGATATTTTATAAATTTAAGATTGTAATATGCCTTATTAATTTTTTTTACTAATTTTCATTCCCTTTACAGGATGAAATCTTTAGCTATTTTTGTTCTGTTACGCCAAAGAGGTATAACTTTACATGCGTACATAAGTACACACACACACGTTTTTTTTAATGAAATCTCGATATAATATGTATGTATGCACGCACCGTGCACGTCCTCGCTGGAGCGCGTGCGCGGCGGCCGCGCCGCCAGCGCCGCCGCCAGGTCCGGCGTGGAGTGGAACTCGCGCCGCAGCGCGCCGCCGCCTTTGCTGAACAGCTGTGGACGACGCATGTTGTTTAATACATTTATAAAATATTGTTAATATATATATTTATAATTGATTGAATAATCAAAATTAATAAAAAAAATACTATTCAAATAGTAATAACATACATTTAGAAAAAAAAGTATTTATAACACAGATTGATAATTATATATTAAAATTTAAAAACGTATTACTAAGAAAAGTACAACACAAGAATTTCTTGTATTATAAAACATCATTTTGATTTACAGTATTTTTAAGATTTTCTTGTAAAATAGATAAATGAAGGGCTATACCTTGGTCTTGTTGCGCTTCATGTCGGCGACGGAGGCGTAGACGCGCGCGCGCGGCGACGCGGGCGGGGACGCGCCGCCCTCCAGGAACGCGGAGCGCGTCATCATCGCGCCGCCGCTGTGAGGTGAGAATTACACATATTATAGTCATTGAACAAAAAAAAATACTAGATACACAATCTTTTTCTTTGTAAAAACAACTTTAAGCATTGCATTTAAGGTTCAATTTACATTGTTGTATCATTTTATTTTAGTTTTAAGAGAACTTTTGCATGGGTTTGTGTATCTAGTACTTTTTTATCGATGCATATAATATTAATATTATAATTGCGATATGCTTGTTACTCTCTCAAACAGAAATGACTGGATAGATTTTGGATGTTTATAATATAAATATATTACGATACACTGTACGTGTATATCAATAAAAATAAAAATGATTTATGTTTTTAATAATTCGAGTGCAGTGTACGTACGAGTGGTCGGCGTCGGCCTGCCGCTGGAACAGCTCCTCGAGCTCGGCGGCGGTGATGCGGCCGGAGGCGGGGCGCGCGCGGATGGAGGCCGTGCGCGGCGCCAGCGGCGTGCCCGACACCGGCGTGTTGCCTGCACAACCATAACCGCTATGTTATATACTTTTGTTGTTAACTAGCGACTCACCCTCGCTTCGCTCGGGTTCGTCCCTACTTACGCTTTCACGTTTAGTATAGATTTCTCAGAAGATGACATATTTTGCCCCAGTAAAAAACCAAGAAAAATTTAAAAACCGAGTTTTTGCAAATATCTCGAAAACTTTGAGTTTCTTGTAAAAGTGCTATTTATAAAAGTTCTAGATTTTTATTAAACATACAACTTTTGTAGAAAAAATCATTTGATAGAACGTCACAGTAAGCCGGAAATTGAAAAAAACTAGTTTTCAACGCTTTGCGTCCCCCCATTTCTCGGAGGTAGCTGGGCATGTGGGGCATTTCACGAATTTCTATTCCTCATATACCTGCTAACTTTTTGATATCATGAAACTTCCGATTGGTCTACAAGCGTTTTTGTCTGTCACAAGTCTTCAAGTGAAATTTGACTATGATTATAAATATCAAAGTTTGCGTATTTAATTATTACTTTTTCACACTGAAACGACTAAACAGATTTGGATCAAATTCAGCATAGTATGAGATGGATTCTTATAAATCATAGACAATACTCACTATTGCTACCTCCGTGTAACTGTACGGATTCAGCGGATGAGGACTTGCCGGCTACGCTCAGAGGCTCACAGCTCTCTTCTTTTTCACCTCCATTTTCTAAAAAGAAAATGTTAGATACTTTAATTAATATACATCTAAATCTTAATTAATAAATCTTATTTCCGAAAGCCGTAACGAGTCTATATATAAATAGGCAAAGACAAAACATTTCAATTCCTTTTCGTTCTCTGTTTGTCAACCTGTTTGTTTTTTCGTTTAGTAGTTATTGACGGCTTAAGTGTTTGTTATGAATAAAAAATATAAGCACAAGTTTTAAAAAATATTCATTGTTTAACTTCTTTTTCCCTCTACACTCCTTTATAAAACTTTACGCCTATGCACTTCTCACTGTTATAGACCAAACAGTTTTTACAACTTAAACCTCTTCCCTTATACGTTTTTTATTTTGCCATAAAGGTAAATTAAATCTTAAATCATTCCTATATAGAAATAAAGAATTTTTAAATCAATTCCTTTAAAATATGTAAAGTGAAGTTTAATGGTGAGCACTCACCCAGGCCGGCCACCATGGACTTGGCCCTGGCGCGGCCCACGCTGAGCGTGGTGCGCGGGTCGCGGCGCGGCGGCGCCGGCGCCGGGCTGCGGCCTGCGAACATTATATACATTAATATGTACTTATATGAACATTTTTATGTTATAAATAATAATTTAGTCATTTTGAACAACGGCACAAAGGCATTGATTAGGCTCCCTTTTGCAAGAAGTACTAGAATAGTTCTTGGGCAAATGTGGCATAGTTCAAGTTGATCAAATTTTGTGGAATCCGGAATCTTCTATCTATCTTTAGAAAACTAGTTAGATTCGCTCAGGCATTTAGGTTTAATCACGATGTTTTAATCGTTTCATTAAATAGTGGTCAAGTTTTCAGAGGTTTAAAATTCATTTTGCTTCATCAGTTCCTTTCACTTTGTCACCGAACTCAACGGAGGCCATGCTCAGTGCTGAAATATTATAAATTCCCTACAAAACCCTTTAACCAATTAATAGAAAACATTAATGGCTATCCAATGTGATGTAAGCAGGGCTACACACTCACCGCCGGCGGCCTTGCGCGGCAGCGTGGCGGCGTAGGGCCGGCCCGAGCTCGACAGCTGCGAGTGCGACTTGCTGGCCGGCACGCTGCACGCGCTCTCCGCCAGCGCTGGAACCGCGAGGGGTTGTTTTGTCATATACATTGCACAATATGTGGAATCATATTCATTTATAATAGTTGACCGGACTTAAATTAATAGTATATTGTGAGTATGTACAGTATACATAAGCGTATATTGCTCCCATCTAGTCCTAAAAACATTTTGTTTGGCGTCACTATCGATAACTTCGAATCACCCAACGGGGGTAGAAGATTAATTATATATTAATATACTTTTATTAATATTATAAATAGAAAAGTCTATATGTTAGTTTCTTCTTGCAACAAAAATCAACGTCATTGCTTGCATATCGTTCATTTATAACAAAAGACTTAAATAAATCATAATTGTTATCCTGGTGTATGGATAAAGTATAACTTGAATATTTGATTAACTTCAAAAAAGAAAAATTATAATTTGGAATAAAATTAATTAAAAAGATAACGTACAAACGATTCTTATCATTAAAAAAACAACAATTACACTAACCATGGTTATTCAAAGACACGACGGTCATGGAGACGAGCGCGCCGGAGCTGCGGATGAGCTCCACCACGTGCTCGTGCGACGCCGCCGACACGTCCTCGCCGTTGATCTGCGGCACCAAATAGTACATTGGTTAAGTGCTAGCTGACCTTGCTTTGCTCGGGTATGTGTTAAGTCCCAATCAGCAGCCTATGTGTTACTTCAATTCTTTGTAACCTGTGCACTAAATAGCATTTTAAACCGTCTATTATAGCGTGAAAAGTAACAAACATGCGTATATAATCAAACTTTCGTATATATAACAGGAGTCCTTTGTAAATATGGGCTTGCTTTTTCTTTTTTTTATTGAAGGCTGTCGCGCGTAATGGGAAATTAGATATATTGTATAGGTACATTAAGTTTACTCATTTATGTTTGGAAAATATTATTTTAGCTATATTTTATTTCAGGACTTGGTAGTCTTGAATAAAATGAGGGCTGATCCTAGTCATATTAATTTTACAAACGCAAAATTTTGCATGTCATAGGAGCGGTCTTTAGTTTAATATCGCGATTTAATAACTTATAATTTTTAATAACCACAAAGTGTTCTTAGAGAAATGGAAAGCTTTATAGTTACCTTTCTTCGTTTAATCAAATGAGAGAATTTCAGTACGGGTATATTTGTATGAAAATTTGTTATGAAAATGGTTTGTCAAAAATGCTTTGTTTTTCCAGTTTCTTTACTCTGTTTATGAATGCTATTTGGTTTACAATGCGATGTATTTCCTTTGTGAATTTCAAATAAAACTTGTTTTTTTTATATATATTTTCAGTTCACTGCTAACAAGACATGAGTACAGTAGAAAATCTACATTTCATATCTCGAGTGAAGCACTTTCAAAGCGATAGAAATTCCTGATTTTTTTTATATGTATACTATGAATATAAAATATCGATAACATTTAAAACGCCGATTATTTTTTGGTTGTTTATCAGTCGTCTAGATAGGGTAACCGCTGTGCAGTGTGTGGTGAGACTCGGGTAAGACGCACCGGTCTGACATACTTAATTTTACATGACAGTTCGGGAACAGTTTTAAGGTAATATATGGTAACTGTAATTTGCCACGAGATGGCACTACTGTAGGTACTTTACCTGCGAATCTGTTTGCCATGGAAATTGGTATTTTGTAATAACCTTTGAAAGTATGTTCGTTAAAATTTAAATAAAATATCTTTTTGATTTTTGGTTAACTTATTAATGAAGACGGACATTTACTAATTGAAAAAAAAGGTAATTCGGTTTCATTTCTCTATTTCTTTCAATTATTGTAGAATTTTGTGGTTTGATACTGTCTGTAATAATTATACTATAATTGCTTATAAGACCATGATTGATTTAAAGCATTCGAAACGTCGGAAACCAAAAGTCTAAATATATTCTTGAAAAAATTCAAAAATACAGTTTTATTTAAAATTTGCGTAAAGTTAAGAAAGTAATATTTTTATACTAGTAATAAATAATATAGAAGAAGATCGGCTTACAGCGACTAAGAAGTCCCCCTTGCGCAGGCCGGCGCGGTCGGCCACGCCGCCCGCGTCCACGTCGTCCAGGTACTGCAGCGCCGGGCAGCGCTCGCTGGGCCGCAGCTCCATCAGCGGCGACGACGCCTTGGCGCCGCGCAGCACGAACCCGAACCCGCGCCGCGCGCGGTGCAGCACCACGCAGCGCGTCTCCATGTTGCCGTACCTGCAATCGTGTGCTACTGTTTAAGCCTCATTATTCAAGTTAAACTTCTTTACCCACGCTTGACTTGGGGGGGCGAGCTGGTGAATGCGTTACGAAAAGTGTAAATCGGATGAAGCGAACGTTGTTATTGTCTGACTAAAGATATATGTATAATATTATATTTTTTCCTTAAATGATACTTATTCTATAAATATATGATTATAATAATATGCTTAATATGCCTTATTTTTAGTATATCACCTATCCGAATTATTTAAAACATAAATTGAATTTCATAAAGAATACCGATTACATACAGAAGTTTTACTTCTTGCGCGTGTAGACATTCATATACGCAGTCTTTAATTTTTGTTTTAAAGTGAACTACTTTAGCCGCGTTGAGCGATTTGTGGTAGGAGCAAAAGTTATGGGTTCGTGCAACGACCACTCAGGTAGTCGTTGGGTTCGTGTCACCGACATGCTACGTGTGACGCAGTCTGGGCAGACTGGCGACGCGCGGCGTCATATGTTTTGATGAATAAACTATATTTAAATATACATATATAATTATTGCTCAGAGTGCCGATGGATGTGAAAACCTGACTATTAATAATTTCAATTTACAAATTACGAAATTTTAATTATTTATATTTCATAGTATAATTAGTTTAAAAAAACACAATTATCCCAAAGTTATAAGTTTTCATTTGTGTTGGCAGTCCCCATGACCACCTATTTTAATATATTTTTTAAAAACAAACAGTATTTTAATCATATTAAAGACAATACATACATCAACATTTTCTACTGATACACATATCACGTTATTGAGCAGTCAGAAGTTTTATAAACAAAAAAAAAAAGGGAAAATACAGCAAAAATCAGCATTACAAAAAACATTACTAAATATTTACTAATTCTGTGTTTTTTTTTTCGTTTATCTTCAGCAACAAGTTTACAGATAACATAATTTAAGTAATTTAAATATTATATTTTTAACTGTAATATTTACTCGTAGGTAGACTATAATACAATAAGCTATAATTATTAATAATCCAACTATTATGATAAATTCGAAAGTTTATATATGTGTCTGTATGTTTGTTACACCTTCACGGCTGCACAAATTTGTACGAAATTAAGTATATCTATGAAATAACACGTAGGCTACTCTTGGGTACCTAGGTAGTAGGGACGTACCCCATAGAAGCAAGAGTAAGCTATTATTACAAGTTAATGTAACAGAATTCAATTCAATCAAATTAAAGAATGGCTAAAACTAATAAGAAAAAAATAAAAAATAGTAGGTACAGTCGATAAATGAACAAAATACCGAGCTTTTTGTAAGCAATTTTTGAAAAACTCTTGTGTAGCATATGGATTTAAATCCAGAAGCATTGCTAGTCAAAACGCGTTCATACACTTGCTTTGAAAGGCACATTGATACTAATTCCTTATTTGAACAGTTGGAACAAACAGATTTCTGTTTACAAATACAATGTTTGCTTATAGATTATGAAAGATTTGTTTGGGAGATAAAGGCATTGTTACGTGAAAATAAACATGCCTATAGGTTGAGTGGAGAGGGTTAATATGCGCTGGAGAAGGCTTGGTTCGATATTTAAGAAGTTATTATAAAGCATATTTAAATTAAAAAAAAAACATACAGTCGAATTGAGAACCTCCTCCTTTTTGAAGTCGGTTGAAAAGAAAAACTCATACTACTTTTAAATAATATAGGAATATATTTTTATAGGTATCCACTTCATTTATACATCAATGTAGTGACGATTGAATGTGACTTACAACAAAGGGAAAGTTAATGAGTCAGATAATGAAACCGGTTGCTCTTTATCTCGGTTTAATAAGAAGTTTATGTTCTATTATATTGCAATAATCTATACTACAGTATAGCAAGGTCTTCAAAGCGAGAGCAGGTCACTAGTTAAATCGATGTAAAATAACAATATTTACTCACGTCTTCTTTATCCTAGGCGCAGTTGCGCTATAAGTTTTGCTGAGAGCCATTTCTCGCCGACCGGTCACCCTCGAGTGGTGGATAGGTCCTGATGATAGTACCTGTAAATATAAAAAATCTGCTTATATTTGTGCAATTATTATAAAGTCATTCATTATAAATAAATAAATGCGTTTTGAGCGGCATTAACAATGGGGGCAATGATTTTTGAGTAATCTTAAGTCTACGCCTTAATATGAAGTGAAAAATTATGAATAAATAGATCTATATCTACGTTTCACACTGTATAATATAAAGGTACCTGCACACTGACCTGATGCAAATGTGCGTTTTGCCGCAGCCGCACCTCCTGCACGCAGTGCGCGGGGAACAGCCCGCTGGCGCCGCGCAGCGAGCCCTCCAGCAGCCCGTCGTCCGTCGCGCCCGTCACTACGTGGGTTCGAATTACTTATTTGTGCATTGGTGTATATTATTTGGAGATGTGGGAGAGGGAAACTAAATATGTGTACATTGTTTTATATTGTTTTGTTTTGGTAGAAGAAAGAGAGAGAGAATCTTAGAATGATTTGTCGTCATATTAAGTTAATGTTTATAATAGGTATTTTTGCACGTCAACAAAATATGTCATATGTTGAAATCAAAAGATTAATTTTTTTGTTAGGAAAAATATTGTATTTATACCAGTTTGTGTAAGAAATGTATTTAAATGTTTTCAATTTGTTAAATGAAAATGTGTCTTAAAGTAAGTAAATAATTTCATTCGTTGTTAAAATTGTTAGTCACTCAAAAACTCACATACACATAATTAGTCAGTGCATTGAAAGTATTTTTTAATTCCCTAAATATTCCTACCACATGTTTAATTTATGACCCTTTTTAAATATTGCTTAGCTCTATTATTTTAAAATTAATTATTTGCTAATATTCTAGCTAATTAGCGTACATGCCTACTACTATGGGAAGTAAGTTCAAATCCTGTTTGGAGTTAACGTTAGTTTGCACTGTTCATAATATTTGATTCGATCTGGGCGTGCATGTGATTAATACTACCTCTATTCTTCAACTTGCGTGTTCAAAAATATGTCGACTAACTGCCCGGACTGATACAAATATTAACATGGCTTGTATAAACTCCAAGCAGAAACCAAACCAGCCAGCTCTTTAGGCGAGTAAAACTAAAATCGATAGATTTGACCATTTTTCTGATAGCTAAAACGTCATATCCAGCGAGTTACCTTCGATGATGTCACCCTGAGCGAGGCGCAGGTGGCCGGGCGCGGCGGGCTCGTAGGGCTGCAGGCACACGGCCGCGGCCGGCTGCAGCGAGCACGTAGTGTCCGACGTGGACGTGCCCACGCCGCTCGAGTCAGAGATTATATCGCTGGTGTCGCCCGCGCTTTTATCTGTTGGAGTCCGCGCTCGCGGATTAGTTGCGCCGTGTGGCACGGCCTTTATGTTTCTTTGTTTTGGTTTTTTTAGCTTTTTTCCTATCATTCTATATTTTTAATATTTAAACGTAATATAAAAATATTAAAATCGTATTTTATGTATAATTCAAATCACACAAGGGTCAAAGAGTCCTATCAAAAAGAGGGTACCCTATAAAAATTCGAAAGGAACGAAGCGAACAAGCGGACCGTGAAACATCTATTATTTACATGAACACAGAACATGCAACGGTGGATGGTCGGTGCATGGTGATGGTTGTTCGTCACACAAGTGTAGGGTCGGTGTGGACGAAGCGGTATACCTGTTAGGATGCTGGCGTCGTCCTCGTGGCTGGGGTGGCTCGCGTCGCTGATGCTCGACGAGGCGGAGGAGAAAGGTCTCTCCAGACTGCACGGAGAGTTGGTGGAGAGCTGTGGTCTCCGCAAGATGGCGTCCAGGTCGGCGGGGATGCGGGTGGAGGAGGCCAGGGAGGAGCGGTCGCCCGCCGTCCACCAGCCGCCCCACGCCCCCGACCTCCGCTTCGGATTGTACCGCGGCGGACCCCGAAACGGCACTGCAATCGTTTCGTTACCGACCGAACAAAAATAGTAAAAAAACGTGCGATAAAATCAATACGAACGAGTCCTCCCATACTGTGGAATTAACACAACGGAAATAAACGTGCTATAAAATAAATAAATTATAAATAAATAAATAATACAATAATAGTAATATAATATAATGATAACATAATAAAATACAGTTGTATATATTATATTATACTTAGGCTAATTTTATAACTCGGTTACTTTATATTTCAACAGGTGTAACACATCTCTAGGTTTATTGTATATACAACCATCACCATTATGATAGTAAGCAATGATAGAAATATTTGTTAAATAGATAGATGGATGGTCTCATGCAATAATGCAATCCTATATAAGATATGTAAATAAAAATTACACATACTATATAAAGCGACGTGCTCATAACCTGTAATTTAAAAATTTATTGTATTCTGCGTCAAATAAGAATTTAAAAGTTACAGTTAGTTACAACGATAGAACATAGAACTCACTTGAAGCCAAAGCACAGTAAGCCAAAGCTAAAATAAGGTCCAAAAAAATGGAATTAAATGAAATTCATTAATAATAGAGAATTTATGTCATTAAAAATTATAACCTGATTTGGCGCAGATAATAAAAATAAATGCATAGTCCATCCGATAAAAGATAATTTTATATTGTATAAAGCGGCAGCCACAGCCATGCATAATAAAAGGTTCAAACTCACCAACTTCTTCCGATTTGTAGTTCTTTATCACTTCAGCCAATTCTAAATTGCCAGCTATAACTGCGACCTGAAAAATTAAAAATAATACAAATATGAAAAGGCAGAGCATTAAAACTGCAAAAAAATATTTTTTTAGTATTCATGATATTTGAAATATATATATTTATAATCTTGCAATTCAATTTTAATTTACTTCTAATACTTGTGTCTCTTTAAAACTTTGTAACTATACGTATTGACGACTTCGAGGTAACTTAAAGATGAAGCCTGAAGGAACTCTTCAATTTCTACTAATACATAAGTTAACATATATTACATCTCATTTTAACCAACTCACCTGATACGGTGTTTGATTAGCAAAGTTCAATGACTCCTTATCACAGCCCCTAAAGAGAAGCTGTCTTGCGCATGAGTCCTGTGCGTTGACAGCGCATACGTGCAGAGGCGTGTTGCCCGACGCATTGCGGCTGTTCATGTCCGCACCATAGAATAGTAGGTGGTCCAGATGTTGGACTAGCCCGTTGCGACATGCCTGGAATGTTAATATTAAATTTAGTTTTTTGATCAGTACCGTATTTTGATGATAGAATGAACTTAACAAATTCGATACCAATTGTCTTATTCTTGCGCAAAACCGCAAAACTTAGAAACGTAGAGGGAAAACCTTTGCCCAGCAGTGGGATAATGTAATTGAATATGAATTTAAAATTTGGCACGCTAAGCCTATGAGATTATCCGCCCCTGTATTGTACGCTCTAAGAGACCCGACATATTAATTATTCACATTATTTTGTGCAAATTTGTTTACAAAATCCTCGATCACATAATCGTAACAAATCAAGAAATTAATAGACTTTCGACAACGCTTGCTCCTGGAAGAAATCGCTGTCAGTGATAAGGCCTTTGCACTTCTGAGGACTAATAATTGTCACTCTCACTATTATTGTTAATATGTAATGTATATTTTGTTTATCAAATTATTTCAAATAAATAAAAAAAATAAGACACTTTTTCCGTATAATAATCACGTAGATTGAGTATTTTGTTACTTCTTGATTTTATGTAATTAAGTAAGAATATTAAAATAACCCTCTATTCATTTTTAGCAAATATTTTTTTTTATCCCATGTATAAAGAATGATTTTTGTATAATTTCATTCCAGATATTAGAATATATTGAACATTTTAATTAAAACTATACACTGTGTTTTATGATTACGTACCTGATGTACTTCCTGCCATCCCTGCAAATCGGTAGCTCCGATAGTCGCATGATCATGCAACAGTGTTTCACACAACAAGGGGTCTGTTTTGTTTGTCACGGAGAGATATAATGGTGTTAATCCTTTGCCATCTTTATAGTTTGGAGACGCGCCGAGTTCTAATAACGTTTTCACAGCTTCTAAAGAATTCTTTTCGACCGCTCTATGCATCGCTGTACTGCCATCCTTAGTCCGATAATCGAGTAATGCTCCGCCGTTTACAAGGGCAATCAATATTTTACCAGGTGATTTTAGGCCGGCTGCGATTGTTAGTGGGGTTTCTAAAAGAACAAAATTTCACAAATGAAAAACAAAAAAAAATTGAGACAACAAAAGCTTAAGATAGAAGATAATATGCAGATAATAATTCTGAGTCGAATATGCACGTTAAATATTTTTTAGAAAATCTTATTGAAATAGTCATTATAATCGACATGGAGGGCGAACCTATCGTTTTTAAAATTTAGTCTGTCTGGACAGATTTTGATGAAATTTGGTAATTGGTTATCCGGGTCAACATATAAAATACTTTTTATTGCAGGAAAATATCTCATCTCTGAGAAATCTATACTAAACGCTAAAACGTAACTAGGGACGAAGCCGAGAGAGCGAGGGTGAGTCGCTAATTATTATATAAAAATGTTGAATAAAGTTGAATCCTATTAATTATTAGCGTGCACTGTGCAACATTCATTTGAGAAAAGTCATGTGTTTTAATAACCAGCTCAGGCCAAAAATTCATTTTCCTGAGAAGAACTACAGAAAAACAATTTTAGCAAATTCATATATAAATTCTCTCATATCGTAGAATGGTATCAAAAACGAATTATTGATAGAAATATTCTCAGTACATTTACACCATAATGGTAACAAGAACCATACGATTACGAATAGTAATTGCAACCTAGATAATTCTGAGATATACATAAGAAATTAATTCTCAATGTCTTTGAAATATATACTAGAACCAGTTCTTTCGTAATCACTGGTGATACCACAACGTTAATATAACGTCACGTTTCCGCACTGAGGGAATATTTGTAGTGCATTTAATTATGTACGTCCGGCCTGGTAAACTCATAGCTTGGGAACCGTCACTCAGAATGCATCATCTAAGAAAAAGCGTAGTTAAAAAGTTAAGAGCTTTTGTGATGATGATGTTCTCCTAGCCGATTCCGGCCACGGCGGCCAATCTCATTGAGACTAGCCAACTGCGCAGGAGATATTATAGTGCACAAGTGTACGCGCAGACACAAGTGCACTCTCTATTCCTGTCACTCTCATTACTCCGGTGGGACGACTGCTCGACACGACCAGTGAGAGTTAAGGCGCAGGACCGACGGCTTTACGTGCTCTCCGAGGCACGGGGGTGAAACACCGCCAACTTCCCAACTCCAGGCTGTTACTGAGACTTACTATACAGAAAGACTCAATAACTAAACTTGGCCCGACCCGGGACTCGAACCCAGGACCTCCGAGTGTGCAGCCGTACATGCTAGCCACTACACCACCGAGGCAGTTTTGTGTAGTCCCTGCATATTATATCGCAAAAAATTTTGAGAGTTTACTTTTCGTCAGAATTTTATTATTTTAATTTTAAACTTCATAATACATTTAATATTTAAAACATGCTTTTATTCTAACATGCTCTTTTATATTCAATAGTTCTGTGTGAGGCGTGAAATATAACACACGTTCATAAAAGTGTTGTGTGTAATAGTCAATTAGTTTCAGTCGTTTTCAAGGCCAGAGTGTTTATCTCGGATTATCCACACTACACTGATACAGTATGGCATAACAATAGAAATTAATACAATGGTATTGAAGTTGAAAAATTTGAACCATGTACACGCCAAATAGTGCTGTACATTTCTTAAATAAAGTCTATATTAGTATGCATAATTTTCGCATTACGCGACAAGTAGTTAGTGCTAAGTGGAGGTAGAACAATGGGAGATAAAACATGGGGTTCAAACCTACTACATAATGACCGTAATAGCTCCTGTAAGTATACAAGTCATTTGATCCTGAATGAATGAGTAATGGGTTATAGTTTGGTGCGAGTTGCGAATCGTGACTAGTCTTTTGAACTGCAGATGCAACGCATATTTCGTATGTACGCTTTGAAATTAACACTATCATCACGGTATTGTTATATGTACTATTACTGTGCTATCATCAATGGCTAATTGAGTTGAGAATGAGGTTTTTTGAACTTAATTATTACTATAACATCTATACATATATTAAAATTCTGAGTCGAATCAGTACATTAAATATTTTTTGAAAAATCTTATTGAAATAGACTTTATTATTGATACAGAGACTGAATCTAAACTTCTTAGAATTTTTGTCTGTCTTTCTGTCTGTTACCGCATCACGGAAAAACCACAGGAGGGATTTTGAAGAAATTTGGTTATCCAGGTCAACATATAGGATACTTTTTATTGCGGGAACCTCTGAGAAACCTATACTAAACCTTAAAACGTAAGTAGGGACGAACCCGTGCGAAGCGAGGGTGAGTCGCTAGTTAATAATATAAATGTCTTCTTTATTTCGATATTTCCTTGTAATCTATACTTGATACAGATAACATGGGGTTATTTGATAATTTTAGTTGTGAAATGAAATGATAAACAGATATTTTCTGATCGATTAAAGATAAATTGAATATTTAAAATATTTTTTAAGATGTAAACTTATACGTAATCTTACCGCCAGTGTCTTGACAATGAAAGTTTGGATCCAATCCTTTAGCGCAGGCCTTGGTAATTTTATCTATCTGTCCGTGTGTCACGTGCTCGAGGAATCGTCGCAAATTAGCCCGCGAGTGCAGCGCTTTCAAAGTCTTTTCGTCCAGCTTCAACATTTTATAAACTCGCCGTTTGTACTTTAACTGAAAAAGTAAGTTTGTTATATTATAGCTTTCACATTGTTTTTGTGAGAAATTGACGACTTATTCTGCTTCGCTCGGACGCATCCCTAGGGATTTTTACACATAGTTACTATTATGTATCTAGATGCATAATAGTAGCTCTATGTGTTACTCAAAGTCATAGTTATACTGTGTACCTACTTTTCATTTAAACTCGTCAAACCGTTTCAGCGTGAAGACGTGACAAACATAAATACATATGTACATACTTTTCCCATTTAAAATATTAGTCCGATAGTATAAGTATTAAAAAGTGAATATTTTCAATTACACCCATAATATTGTTATTTGCAATTTAAGTACATATGTAATGCTCTAAAAATATATTTAGTACCTTATAATGTAGCATTACATAAGCCTTAGTGGTTTTTTAATGTAATATATTATATAAAAAAAAAAACTTTAAATTTACTAATAAAGAAAAAAAAGTAATATAGTTCAATTAGGCAACCTCAACCTAAGTCGTAGACACATAGGTATTGTGGAGTCACGGAGCGGGTCAAGGTCTGTCTAGGTCTAGGTGAAAATACGAGTAAGTAATTAATACAATTATGTGTATGTACATTTAAATAGAAGTTGATATGGTTTTTGCGTTTCTTATTAGAAAAAAAATATATATAATGAGATCAATAAGTACTTTAAGTATACCAATAAATAAAAACTTAAAAAAGTACTTTCAGGCACTAAAAAGTAAAAAATAACTAAACGGGGATTTTCTTTTAGAATAGATACCTAATCAGATATTTTCGAAGTCGGTGTCAACCAACAATATTTTAAGATAGGAATATCTAATAGGTAAATACGTATTTTACGTATCGAAATATATTAGATTTGCTTTGCTTCGGCTGGCACCGATCTTTCGTAGATTTATTCTAAATGAAATGCCCGTTTAGTTATTTTTTACATTTTAGTGCCTGGAAGTCGGTTTTTTAATTATTTTTTTCCATTTTTAGTGTAGACGGAATAAAATAAGCGGATAATTTGTAAGAATAACGTTTTTTAATAACTTATTCGATTAAACAATTTATTTAATAAATTATTTATTGTTGAATTTTTAAAAACCGCTCGACCGATTTCGATATGGGACCACCTGGGAACTATACCCTTTGAAACAAAAAAAAATCCAAATCGGTTCAGGTGTCTTCGAGTAATCGGTGAACATACATAAAAAAAGATTCCGATGAATTGAGAACCTCCTCCTTTTTGGAATTCGGTTAATAAAAGGTTCTAAAAATAAAATTAGTCGTCGTCGCAGATCGTAAATGTTTTTGTTACTTCAGTACACTGACTAATCTTTTATTATTAATAGCGTTAGAAATTTAAATGAGCGTAAAGTTTATGGTTTACGCGCGAGCAGACAAGTAATCTTGTTCAAATTTAGTATAGTGCCTCCTTTAAAGGTATGCATTGTATTGGGCACCAAAACAAAATACCTTGGGAGTTATTTAAACATCTACGTTTATATACTACTAGCGACTCACCCTTGCTTCGCTCGGGTTCGTCTCTAGCTTGCTTCCCAATACAAACTTTCATTTTCACCCCCAAGGGATGATTTCCGGGATAAAAAGTATCCTATGTCGTTCCCAGTGTCTCAAAATATATTCTTACCATATTTCATCTAAATCGGTTCAGTAGATCCAGATATTACCCCCTACAACCTCACAAACTCACTATCATTACCTCTTTATCAGTATAGAAGAGGCAAATAATTTTTAAATTATTATCCATTCGAGCTGTCACTCTCCGACGAGTAAACTGAATATTTTAATGCAAAAAATTATATCAACCAAATAAATATTTTCGAAATTATAATGTTAATAATAAAAACTTATTATAAATTGATTTTTATTTTTACCTCAAGATATCCAACGGGTCCATTAAAAGGGTAGTCTCCGAGGCGACGCTCTTCGTCCAGAAACTTGCCGGCCTTGCCATTGACCGGTGGACAGAACAACCCATAGTTGAAGCTTTCTTTCAATTCCTGAAAATAAAAAAAATAAATGTTTACGAATATTTACTAGAAACATAGTTTTTGATTTAAATATGCCTATAAATGCTTATTCAATATATTTGTTACTAGCAACTTACTCTCGCTTCGCTCGGGTGCGTCCCTAGCTACGATTTAATTTTTTTGAGCGGCGCCCTAATTTTTTTCTAAAATAAAAGTAGCCAAAGTTGCTCCTTATAACATCAGCTATTTGCCAGTGAAAGTGCCTTCAAAATCAGTCCAGCCGTTTCGGAGATTAGCCGGAACAAAATTGTATTTTTCTTATAAGTACCGTTTATAAATTCATATGCATCTAAATGCATATATGCCTATTTACTAATAAAAAGGCTTTTATTTCGTCATTACAAACAAACAATTCAATTTTATTTTACTGTATAAATATCTTAACTCAAACGTTTTGTTACGTGTTATAATGTAAAATAATATTTTCCCTCGAAAGGGTTATGTCAGCGAACGATTAATCTAGATTATAGTTTACAAGTATTAACACACCACAAAGCAAGCGTTTTCCACCATTAATCTTTTAGGTAATCGGTTACCAATTAAAAGTAAACTCTCGGGCGTAACACCTGAAATGGCTATTGTTTGCATTAAACCTACGGTCAGACAAAAAAACTATAGTTATTGGAATGATGCAATTTATTAAAAGTTAAAATTAATGATAAAAAGAAAACCAAATAGTTACAGAACAAACGAATCAATATTCACTACTATAATAAATTTGACTAATGAATAATTGGAGAAACATGTCTGTATTTTAACGAACGGAGAATCAAGATCGATTTACGATACAACGATTGATGGGTGCTGGACGAGCGTCAGAGCACAGTGTAATCAATGCAGCAACATTGCTAGCGAATTGTGCACTTCGGGTCAAGCCGATGCAAACCTTATAAATGACCGTGCCGTCGAAGATTTATGACTCTCGAAGAGCCTATTCACCTATAATGCGGATATTAATTAGGCCGTTTCAACGTACATAATTTTAAGATAATCACTGACAATAATATAAAGCAACGGTGTTCTAGTTAATAATTTACTATTACTATCTAGTATCAATAAGTTGCTGTAAACAAGAAATAATAAATGTTAGTATGTTTTTGTATTCTAAATTGCGTGGTGTCCGCTTTGCATTAATTAGAATCAATATTAATACGAGTGCTATAACGTTACAAATTATGAAAGTCGTTATTAGAGGATTAAACAAAATTGTGTTTTGAAACAATCATAAATCTATGTTTAACTGCGTCGGATAATTAGGTACATCTATATATATAATAAAATTGTAACTAAGCCGAATCTGTACATTAAATATTTTTTGGAAAATCTTATTGAAATAGACATTATTATCGATACAGAGGCCGAATCTATAGTTTTTAGATTTTTTGTCTGTCTGTCTATCTGTCTGTTACCGCATCACAGAAAAACCACTGAAGGGATTTTGATGAAATTTGGTATGATGATAGCTGGTTATCTGGGTCAACATATAGGACACTTTTTACCGCGTAAGAGTATACTAATATGTAAGATCTAAGAATTTGGTTTTTTGTCACCTGAATGCAGTCGCAGCGGCGGGCAATATTAGTATACATATATTTACTAGGGCACAATATATCAATTAGGATTCCACTATTTTTGTATTTAAGTATTTATAGATGTACCATCAATTATGTAAAAATGTTTTATTTAATCCTGCCATGATGACTGTACTTAAAATATATATCGTGCATAGAACGAGTCTAAAGTTAATGTTTATTTTATAATGGAGCGAACAGCGAGATTAACAGCTATGATATACTGGAGAGGCACTAACAACTCTGTTCACTAGAATTATTACAGTAGGAAGCATTGAGGTGATAAAGAGGGCGCTCAAACTTAAGGAATGGCAGCCATACGCCGTAGAACAGACACTGACTAGAAGTGGTTCAGGTGGGCGAGTACTCGCAGCCGTGAGTCTTACATCCCACATCCCTCCATTGGTAATATTATTTACTCTATACGTAATATGCATTTATATACGGAATAATCGAAAGTCTGTAAATGGTAAAATTTATGATACACGCTGCATTTGGATATGTTTATGGCGCTCGTTTTATTTTAGCATCGTCATCGTTTTTACGGCGATAAGTGAGAATATTTTAAAGCAATAATTTTACGATAGGTACATATAATGTTGTGTAGTTTCTGTTCTTAGTTTGATATTACTGGATATGATTCTGAAATATTTGGAGTTAGTATATAATATACGAGTAACTTGTGTTTGATATTAGAACGTACAGACTTATGCCCGATTTCACCAACAACCCATAAGCTACCACCTACATACGTATGGGATCTTTAGCTTAAAAGTTCTCCTAAACTAGCCCCTAAATTAAATTTCGTTTTCCCATCGTCAGATCCCGTATTTCTAGTACCTATATTTAGGTGGCATTTTAACATTTTGGTGACCCCTAACTGTCCCCTATCAGCCCTCTAACTAAGCTTAGGGGATCCCTTAAACTTAGGTGACGTTGGTGAAATCGGCCATTAGTGTTTAAAACTGTATAGTTAAAAGATGTATGTGTGTGTGATCGTGTACTTTTTAACACAATAAACCTACATATTATTGAATAATGCATCGTGTAATATTTATAAATAAAACTTAAACATGGGTTTAAATAAGACGAATTAGTTTTCAACAAACAGTGCTTCGTTTTGCGATGACTATTTAAGGTAAACCCGACCATGCTCCATATTTGGCATTTCCTCGTGTTTTTGTCGTTCTGCGTCATGTTTTATGATGGCTTGACCAGATAGTGAATTAGATCTTCCGAATATGTAAGTATTCACTTGATTTATACTCTATTAAATGTTCCTTATCTAAATTTTGTTTATTGTATGGGATATTAGAGTAACCAGTTTTTTTAATAAAAGGATTTAAGCGCATGTATTTTCGTTTTAAGTGGGTCCAAATATTGATAAACATTAAACATATTTTTTTAAATTATCTGTTATTAAATAAAAAAATATTATAAAGAGGCAGTTTGTTTGTTTGTTTCTTTGTTTAATCGCGCTAATCTCAGGAACTACTTTAATCCGATTTGAAAAATTCTTTTTGCATTAGATAGCTCGTATACTGAGGAAGGCTATAGGCTATATATCACATAATGATAACCGTTAAAACGTACCTAGAGACGAACCCGAGCGAAGCGAGGGTGAGTCGCTAGTCTTCTGATATAAAGAATAGAATAAATAAATTATATATATGAATGTAATTCTTTTTTATCTAGCAGTGAAAATATCTTTACACGGAATATGAAATTTAACACACAGACTTTATAGGATCTACCTTTAAGCTTTAGTGACTTAATCATTTAAACTCTTCCATGAAGTTATGAAATGTAACTCTTTAATATATTAACAGTAAGTACTAAAATCATGTATTTGGATGAACACCTAGTATTACGACAGAAGTGAATTTACATTGATCAATTGATCGATATTTGTAACAGAAGGCACACCGTAACAGTATATATTGCAACTTACGAGCGTATTGCGAAGACGTCGAGATAACAATTAGATACGATGTTTGCATACAATAGACTCTTACTCATTTCATGTCAATGGGTCAGTGGACTGATTTCTGGTCTACTGGGACTCGTTTACTAATAATGAAATAATTTGTACACGTGCCATATTAGATTATAATATCAGTAGGAACCTAATAATACGATGAAAGTTATATTAAAATTAAAAAAAAGTTATAGTACGTATACCTATTTCAGAACTCCTCATAAAGTCTGTACCTATTATTTCACAGATAAAATACTATATTTACTTCGATTATTATTACATTATAACATAATATATTAAGTGATCTTGTGGGATATTACAATAAAAAAAGCTTTTGCAAAAGCTTATTTATTTATTATTATTAAAAGCTACTTTAGGTCTGCTGAATGCTAACGAAATTTTACCAAATACGATAAGAAAAGGCCGATGTTTACTAAAATACTTCAGTACTGTATAGAAACTCAGTTTAAGATTATGTTTTAACTATTAATGTTGTGTGTCTTACGTTTAAATGGGAGTTCTTTTATATGTTACTAGCTAGTATCTTATTAGCTTCTAGTGCTACCGTTAAACGCTAGAATAAAAGTGTTCAAATTCAATTTAAAACGAAACGTGCAAGTTTAACGAATTGAACATGACTGTTGGAAATAGGGAAGCGATCAATTTATAGCGGGTACGGTTTAGTAATTAATGTGCGGCCGGAGCACAGTTGACAGCACGACGACCGTCGATGCGCTTTAACTGCGAGGCCTTCGATACCAGTAATTAATTAGCACTTGAAAAAAAAATGTTATTCAGGTCAACTTATACTACGTTTAATTATAAAACAAATAACTTATTATATCCTTTATGTATAAGTAGAGTTTTCTCTCGTAGCGATTCCGCTTTTCATTTTTCACAATTTTTGTATGCGTGTTGGTTGGGATTCCCGTTGAGTTTATTGTTTTAATAGGGTCAAGAGAAAACATCGTATTGTTAATACAAGCATTCTTCTAGAGGCAGACTACCACTTTGCCAGGTGGGTCAACATTATTTTATATACAACAAAATAATATAGCTATAACTGTACACCGTAATGAATTTATTAATATACTAGCGACTCCAGGACAAAAAGTATCCTATGTCCTTCCCAGGGTCTCAAACTATCTTCTTACAAAATTTCATCTAAATTGGTTCAGTAGAGCCAGAGATTACCCCCTACAACGTCACAAACTCACAAACTTTACCTCTTTATAATATTAGTATAGATAGATATTATTTACATTTAATATAACAACACACTAAACCTATTAGCTGATAAGATTGCTTAAGCTAGATAAAATTTATGTGAAATGTTGAATTATTAACATAAAAAAATCATTACGTCAATATGTTCTAATATCTCGATAAATAGGTAATGTCATTTAATTAATTACTTATCGTACGTCTATAAGTTGTAGCTATTTAGGTTAGTCGAGTGATGTGAGAGAGCAACTAGTAAGTACTCAAAGTTAAACTGATCGTTTGATAGATAGGTTCTGTCGTATCGAAGCCAACGGAGAGTGCGTGTGCGCATTTCACAAACTTTAACATTACTCCATGTATAAAGTTACAACTGACAAAGAAATCAGAGCAATCTAAGATGTTTATGTAACAAATTGGTTATATTACAACATTTATCAGCTTTGACTTACATTTTGACAATAATTGTGCTAATGTAACACATTCGTATAATTTTATCAAAAACCAAATGTTCTACAAGATATTTAAGATACGAGTAGCTGTAGTAATTCCAAAGTATTTCGATCGATAAGATTTACTTAGTTTTTGATAGATATTTGACGATTTCATAAATATTTTCTGAATTCATTCATAAGTGTTTATAACTTTGATAAGTACCTAATCTTTGTAGTGAAAGCGGAACATAAATCATCGTTTAAAAATGTAGCGTCATGCGTGACTCGACTTGACGCGTGTAGATACTGGAATTGAGTAGGCCATAAAAGCCGTTAACTGTTCACAACTTTATTGTTTTACACTAAGCAGATTATAACTAATAA